GTCCCTCATCTTGATTAAGGTAATCTGGCATCAAGAAACAAAAGTGAAAGTACTGGTAGATTTGAATTGTTGATATAGGTTCCTTGTATCCATGCCTCATTTCTTGCAGACTTTATGACTTGCCATCTCTGTTTCTTACATGGATTTTGACTTACCCTTATTCTCAATCTTTGTTCATGACTTGTCTTATCTCTCCGACTTAAACTCTTTCCGTTACTGACTTGATAATTACTTATTACTTGACTCCATCTCATTTTAATAAAGACTTCCCACATATCTGATTATTACTTCACCTGTTATGACTTGTCATCATTTTAACACAATTTTTCATGATGTAAAAAAGAAAGGGATATATCAATGAAATAATTACTCCCAATACCCCTTGTTTCACTATGGCCATTTTCTAGATTAAATTCCCTGAGAGATCAGGAACACTGTAAATTCTGAGACATTTATTTTATTTGTATACATCTTTGATGAGCTGTATGTTTGATACAGCTTTGTACAAGACAGTAACAATAACATAACACAAAGTAACAAACTCCAAATTCCCCTGATATTTTCACAGCATTCTCACTGGTGCTGAATATTTAGATAGAACAATTTTAGCATTTATCTCCCTTCACTTTAAAACTACCAGAATTATCTCCCCTTAACATAATAAAAGACTATCAGGCACTTAAATAATGACTGCACCGTAACAATGGATGTAGAAAGTAAGTTAAAAATCTAAATAAATAGGAATATCTGTTTATCGTCATGTCCAAAGAAGATTTGAACTTTAGTCTTACAATAATGGAGAAAAAAGTAACATTTCAACATATGTATAAATAGAAAATATTGATAAAACCATATTACAGTTCTGTATTTAGAAATTAATAAGTTAAAGAGATAATAATCAAGAATTCAGTTCAGACTTATCTATCGAATACTTTTATAAAATGATTGTCATGTAAAACAGATATACTGTTGTGTGACAACACTGGTGTTACTTAAGTCTTCTATTAGAATATTTAAAAGTTATTTGATGAGGAAAATCCCTTTTGATATACCACAGACTGACCAGTGATGCCCAGCTTATAATGTTCAGCTTAAGTAGCATATAAAATCCATGTTCCTTGAATTTGATATGCAGTACATGTACAAGCTGAAACTGGTATATTTACTGAAAATGTTTCAAAAGAATCGGAAAATGTAAAGAAAAACAGTTAGAAAAGGAGTTATAAGTTGATGACTAAAGACTCTAATCTCCTTACATGTATATCTAAATTTCTGACACTGACATCAATAAGTACTGAATATGACCAGTGTGCATTCCAAGATCATTACTATCATTATTATGCCAAAGACTATGTCACAACCATACAATCAAACAGCATCAGAACTTATTGCAAAAATGAAGAACATTTAGAGATCACAAAATAAGTGGATATTTAAACTTACATACATATACATATCAGTGTTTAACCTTTTTTTAGTCATTGTGAAATTCATTTTCCAGAAAAAAAAATAACAGGATCTTAGACAGTACCAATTACTTCCACAGCATTTTTCCCCCGAGTAAATATGCCTTCTATATTCAGTGAAATGCCAATAGCTGTTAACAATTAACTGTACATAGATAATACTGCATAGTTTATTATGGGAGGTATACCCGGTGAAATGTTGAATTCTTCTGATATATTTGTCTCCCATAAGTAAGGATGCATATGATTAAACCTGACACTACATGACGAAAGAAGAGAGACAAATTTATTATTCAAATGCATTAAAAAAAATACCGCCCAAACTGAAGAGACTCCTAAATTTCTATGGAACATGAAACTGAGTCATAGTTATGTGGCAAATTAAGGCATGTACATTGACACTAATATTCAAAGATCTTTAGCACAGTATAAACACATAATATACAAGAAATTATCACAGGCACAAAAAAATACATTTCCTCAACTGACATAACTGACTAGGTTTACAACTTAAAATAGAACATTTTAAATTAAGAAATGATGCAATGGTTCAAAGCACTCGCATAAGCACAGGGTGTTTGGCTCTATACATATTAACAGCTTTGTGACTTTGAAATACTTCTCCATATGAATGACATCACATAATTTAGTCTGTTTCCCTGGGGAAATACATGATGAAATTCACACCTCCTCCAATAAAGCTTTGTGATTGGCTACTTAAAAACAAGCCTCACTATGTCCATCCAATGAAAGTAAAGAATTCATCTGGTAGTGATGAGATGATGTTTGAAATGAAATTTCAAATGACTTCTAATGAGAACACAATTTACAGTAATTGAAGAGCCCCAATTTTTTTAACTTGCCAATAAATAAGATGATGAAAAATGAAATATTTGACTCTTTTTTTCCTGTCCACTATGTTCAATGGACCATGACAAATTCACTCGTCGATTTCTAGCTCCTCCTCCAACATGGCGTCTAACTCCTCTGTCAGGCCTTGTAACATATTGTCTATATCATTCAATACATCTTCATCCTTCTTCCTACCACTGAAAAACAAAACCATTCAATATCAATATTGGACCTACCCCTCTGAATATTAATCATGCTAAAAAATTATAATATAGCATTTTTTTTTTAAATCACTATGAGGAATTTAACTTCAAACTGAGTAACTAATACATGTGCTGAAATTCAATTTTCTGTTATAATATGAACTTTGATCGACTGTTTGGTGAAACCTACCATTGTTATAACATTAAATGAAGACCACAGTTTGAAAAATCATTAGATTTTATGCATGTCAGGTCAAAACTTAAACTGTATTAGGATTTGCTGATGAAACTTACATTTTTGGTTTGGCTGGCACTGGTGGTGAGGCATTTGGCTTCATGGCTACTGTAGGCCTTGGTCCTGAAACAAATACAGCAGTACATTATAAGCCATTAGCTATTCATAGTATCAATTCTCCTATTTCTTGTTCTCTGTCACAATGACCTTGCCATTAGTACCCTAAGTCTGTATTCTAGAGCCTGGTTAGCAGTGATTAGTCACACAAACAATACATAGACAGAATATAGTTCCCTCATTCAGCAACTTACTGCACAAAAAAATGTCTGATACAGTAAAAATTGATTATAAAGAACTTGCTTATAAGGAAATCTCAGTTTTAAGGACATTTTACAAACCCTGTAGATTTTTCACAATATTTTTTATATGGGGCCTTAACATGCCAGCGGGCATGGAGAGGATAGGTGAGGTGGTTTTTATACAGATATAAGGAATCTCAGTTATAGGTGAGGTGGTTTTTATACAGATATAAGGACTCTCAGTTATAGGTGAGGTGGTTTTTATACAGATATAAGGACTCTCAGTTATAGGTGAGGTGGTTTTTATACAGTTATAGGTGAGGTGGTTTTAATACAGATATAAGGTGAGGTGGTTTTAATACAGATATAAGGTGAGGTGGTTTTTATACAGGTATAAGGTGAGGTGGTTTTTATACAGATATAAGGTGAGGTGGTTTTTATACAGATATAAGGTGAGGTGGTTTTTTATACAGGTATAAGGTGAGGTGGTTTTTATACAGATATAAGGTGAGGTGGTTTTTATACAGGTATAAGGTGTGGTGGTTTTTATACAGATATAAGGTGAGGTGGTTTTTATACAGATATAAGGTGAGGTGGTTTTAATACAGATATAAGGTGAGGTGGTTTTTATACAGATATAAGGTGAGGTGGTTTTTATACAGATATAAGGTGAGGTGGTTTTTATACAGATATAAGGTGAGGTGGTTTTTATACAGGTATAAGGTGAGGTGGTTTTTATACAGATATAAGGTGAGGTGGTTTTTATACAGATATAAGGTGAGGTGGTTTTTATACAGATATAAGGTGAGGTGGTTTTTATACAGATATAAGGTGAGGTGGTTTTTATACAGATATAAGGTGTGGTGGTTTTTATACAGATATAAGGTGAGGTGGTTTTTATACAGATATAAGGTGTGGTGGTTTTTATACAGATATAAGGTGAGGTGGTTTTTATACAGATATAAGGTGAGGTGGTTTTTATACAGATATAAGGTGAGGTGGTTTTTATACAGATATAAGGTGAGGTGGTTTTTATACAGATATAAGTAGAGGTGGTTTTTATACAGGTATAAGGTGAGGTGGTTTTTTTACAGGTATAAGGTGAGGTGGTTTTTATACAGATATAAGGTGAGGTGGTTTTTATACAGATATAAGGTGAGGTGGTTTTTATACAGATATAAGGTGAGGTGGTTTTTATACAGGTATAAGGTGTGGTGGTTTTTATACAGATATAAGGTCAGGTGGTTTTTATACAGATATAAGGTGAGGTGGTTTTAATACAGATATAAGGTGAGGTGGTTTTTATACAGATATAAGGTGAGGTGGTTTTTATACAGATATAAGGTGAGGTGGTTTTTATACAGGTATAAGGTGAGGTGGTTTTTATACAGATATAAGGTGAAGTGGTTTTTATACAGATATAAGGTGAGGTGGTTTTTATACAGATATAAGGTGAGGTGGTTTTTATACAGATATAAGGTGAGGTGGTTTTTATACAGATATAAGGTGAGGTGGTTTTTATACAGATATAAGGTGAGGTGGTTTTTATACAGATATAAGGTGTGGTGGTTTTTATACAGATATAAGGTGAGGTGGTTTTTATACAGATATAAGGTGTGGTGGTTTTTATACAGATATAAGGTGAGGTGGTTTTTATACAGATATAAGGTGAGGTGGTTTTTATACAGATATAAGGTGAGGTGGTTTTTATACAGATATAAGGTGAGGTGGTTTTTATACAGATATAAGTAGAGGTGGTTTTTATACAGGTATAAGGTGAGGTGGTTTTTATACAGGTATAAGGTGAGGTGGTTTTTATACAGATATAAGGTGAGGTGGTTTTTATACAGATATAAGGTGAGGTGGTTTTTATACAGATATAAGGTGAGGTGGTTTTTATACAGATATAAGGTGAGGTGGTTTTTATACAGATATAAGGTGTGGTGGTTTTTATACAGATATAAGGTGAGGTGGTTTTTATACAGATATAAGGTGTGGTGGTTTTTATACAGGTATAAGGTGAGGTGGTTTTTATACAGATATAAGGTGAGGTGGTTTTTACACAGGTATAAGGTGAGGTGGTTTTTATACAGATATAAGGTGTGGTGGTTTTTATACAGGTATAAGGTGAGGTGGTTTTTATACAGATAGAAGGTGAGGTGGTTTTTATACAGATATAAGGTGAGGTGGTTTTTATACAGATATAAGGTGAGGTGGTTTTTATACAGATATAAGGTGAGGTGGTTTTTATACAGATATAAGGTGTGGTGGTTTTTATACAGATATAAGGTGAGGTGGTTTTTATACAGATATAAGGTGTGGTGGTTTTTATACAGATATAAGGTGAGGTGGTTTTTATACAGATATAAGGTGAGGTGGTTTTTATACAGATATAAGGTGAGGTGGTTTTTATACAGATATAAGGTGAGGTGGTTTTTATACAGATATAAGTAGAGGTGGTTTTTATACAGGTATAAGGTGAGGTGGTTTTTATACAGATATAAGGTGAAGTGGTTTTTATACAGATATAAGGTGAAGTGGTTTTTATACAGATATAAGGTGAGGTGGTTTTTATACAGATATAAGGTGAGGTGGTTTTTATACAGATATAAGGTGAGGTGGTTTTTATACAGATATAAGGTGTGGTGGTTTTTATACAGATATAAGGTGAGGTGGTTTTTATACAGATATAAGGTGTGGTGGTTTTTATACAGGTATAAGGTGAGGTGGTTTTTATACAGATATAAGGTGAGGTGGTTTTTACACAGGTATAAGGTGAGGTGGTTTTTATACAGATATAAGGTGTGGTGGTTTTTATACAGGTATAAGGTGAGGTGGTTTTTATACAGATATAAGGAATCTCAGTCATAAGGAAGTAAATTTCGAGGTCCCAGTGACTTCCTTATAACCGAGTTTTACAGTATTAGAGATAATGATTATTAATCTTAGTAATGCAAGGCACTGTGATCTAGTGCATGCAACTCCTTTATAGTAAAACTATCTATGATGATTAAAAAAAAAATCCTTACATTACATTGATTAAATGATATCAAGACTGATCAGAACTCTAAAAGCACTGCAAGAATTTTAATCAAAATTTCCCCTTCCCTGACTAGGTCACTACATGAGATCAAAATTTCTCTTTACAGTTGTTGATACCTCTACTCTGTTGCACATTGTTGTTTGACTTTCATTTACTACTCCGACACAAAATGCGTAAATGTTAAGGCTTGAGCCATTTATATCTATAGGCAACTTTTCATCAACTGACTAAAATCCTGAATTAGTGTACCATCTTTAGCCAACTTTTCATCAACTGACTAAGATCCTGAATTAAGAGCATTTGCAATTTCTCAGGAAATCGTGAGAATCTGGCAAAAGCACCAAGTACCAAAGGAAGCAATAGAGTGATATTAAGCAGGTTCATTTATATCTTTCCAATCTGTGACTGCCAAAGCATTACTTCTGAGAGATTAGATAAGGTGATAGGTACTCATCAGCCTTGATTTTAAATTCTTCTATCTCTAGAATATCTGCAAAAACATCAGGCTTGAGCCATAAAATATAGCTTTTAAGAGGAAAGGGATGAAAAATTGATATTTGGAAATCTATATATAAAAGTTGCATCACATAACTTATCTGTTGAAAAAAGCATATCAATGAATGCAGAATTTTTTTAGCATGCCAACTTGTTTATATTTTTGAAAATCTTCTATGATTAGGAATTAGCTAATAAAACTACATGCTAATACATTTTAGTATAGAGCATCAGAAAACAGGAGTTATGGTTCCTTATTGTAAAACAGGAGTTATGGTTCCTTACCTTTGTTTGGTGCCTTGAGGTGTGCTGGAATACTCGGCTTTTGTGGAACACTGGGTAAGACTCGTTGATGGTCAGGGAATCCCTGACCATTACCCTGAGCTGGACTCTCATTGATTGGCACTATGGAGGGCTTTGCTGCAGGTGCACGTTGTTTTATTGTTCCTACATTCTCATTGGCAAATGGCAAGGTATTTGAGTCTACACTAGAGGCCGACACTACAGAATCTGAACTAGACGTTGAGTCTTTTCTTTTGAGTTCATGAGAAACATGTTGAACTCTGGGAGAGGTTTGAACTTGGTCTTTTGATTGGGCAGTGGTAGTCACATGATTAAGAACAGGGGGATTCTTGGTAAAGTTTGGCACCATGGAGACTACAGGAGGCGATGGGTTCTCTTTGACTGTTTGTAGAACAGGAGCTTTGTAAGTGAACGAGTTTGGTTTATCTGTTGAGTTTTTCACTTGACTTGGAGAAGAACTTCCATTAGGTGTGGAGGGCTGCCCTAATTTTCCCATGCCCCTTAATTCAGCTGGAGTTTTATCATCCTTGCTGGGGATTCCATAGTTATGAATTTTTGGAGTGATAATGTCCATGGCTATTGGAGGAGGAGGAGGTGGAAAATCTTCCCCATCAGAACTGTTCACATCCTCTGAACTTGTCTCCATTCGTTTACTGCCAAATTTGACTGACAGACTTTGAACACACGAAGCAAAAGCAAGTTGTTTCTGGCTGTCCTCTATGGATCCCCTTCTGGGAGTTTGTTGAGAAGAATTCCCAGTAGGCATTGCTGGGGTCTTCTGAGTGTTTTGATCATTATTCTGTAAGGCAGACTTGGGAATACTTCCAGCATACCTGGATGAGTTTGTATCTTGCCTGTTAGAGATTGAATTAGTACGTTTGGGAGGGGGAGGAGGGGGAACTTTCCGATTAGTCGGTGAATTCTGTGGCTGTTGAGAACCATTCTGGTTTGAGACAGAGACAAAAACAGGTGCTGTTGTGCTGACAGGGAACGGTTGGGACATCGGAGTATGTGTGGGAGACTTTGGAGATTTTGGTGAGTTCTGCATTCTTGGTTGATCATAAATGTGATCAGACTGCCCTGTTTTCTTCAGCATCCCTGCATTGAGAAGGAAAGATTTCCCAGGACTTATCCCAATTTCATGATTTTTCTGCGCCTCATATTTCTCAATGTCTATAATCTCTGGTGATGTCTCTTTGCTGCTTCGCTTTGTTTTGGCAATGATCTTGGCAACTGGCTTTGGTTTGATCACAGCTTTCGGCACTGATGGGGCAACAATGGGAGCAGGCTGTTGTTCCAACTCCTCCTCTGCTGTGGGGGTGCTGTCTCGATCCTCTCTTACTGAAGAGGGCCCCTGAAATGATGAAATCCTAGCACCAGACATGTCTTTTGGAGATTCTGATTGAGATGCATGCCTTTTAACCTGAATGGCCACCACGTCCGGCTGATAGCTGGTGTTTGGACTGTGTGACACAAACTCCAGACTGTTGTCACTATGCTGCGAGTATCGGTCACTCTTTTGAGAGAGACGGTCACTGTTTAAATTGTCTCCTGAGAGAGATTTCTTTGTTTTAAATGGTGAGGATGGAATCTCATGGATGTAATCCTCCCCTGACCATCGAGTGTGGCCCAGGGGTGGGGGTGGGTCAATTATCTCACTGTGTCCACTCCTGTCCATTGAAGAAAGCCGTTTACTGTTAGCATTGATTCTCTTCAGACGCTCTATAGCCAAAGTTATTTTCTTCTGGTGACCTAAAATAAAAAAAAGTCCAATTATTAAAAGAAAACTGGACAGAGTTTAAATACAGAAATATTACTTAGCTTTATGTATAAGTTTTTGAACTATACTTGTATCTTCAAATTTTAACAATCATGTCTACTAACCTAGTTTCTGGATGCCAATTTCCTCCAGGTCCTCCCAGGTTATGTCTGTGACCTTGTCAAGGTCAGTGTAACCCTGCTGTGACAGGGTGTTGTAATACTGTTCTAGTCCTAGCATGTGAAGCCACTCCATCATATCAACCTACAAACACAAGGTCAAGGTCAAATCTATACTTGTGTATAAAACTTGTAAGCTAATAGTCATACACACATGCGAAAGAAATTGAGTAAGATTAATAATTGAAGTAAACCACATAGAGTAGATTGTATATTATTATGTTAGTCTATTTCTAAAATTCTGCTCAATAAATCTTTTATTTATTATCACTCAGACTAAAAAAATAGAAGCAGAACACATGAATGGCTCTTCTAATAGTACAAAGTTCATTTTTTCATTGATCCTAGTTACAAAATAAGTTGCAACTGACATTTTTTATGCTCTTTCTTCAAAACTACAGCACATTTGAACAAATCTAATACAAATGTTTATGGAAAACATATACAAGTTTATACCAACAAAACATTTTGATATAGCCTTCTTTAATATACACTCCTTTCTTTGAACTTAGATGAAGGTTCAGAGTTGGCAAAACAACCTAGTTACGGTAATTACAATTATCAATGAATTCTAACTTCACCAGCTGTACTCAATGTTCTATGAATAATGATATAAATCATGTAAATTACGGGTTTGAAATCAGGAATCCCATCATGAATATTCAGTCGAGCTATTTCTGCCTTCAGTCGTTTCCTGTGGCCGGGTTTGGTAATCCCAATAGCAGATAAATCCTGTAACAGAAAATCAGAATTATTTTCAATGATATAAAACTAAAACATTCGGGGATTGGGTGTTTTGCCTCGTCTTTGTATTCCCATTTTATTCAATATCGATAAATTTTTTCAATTCAAAAAGTTGCCACTATGTTTTTTTTTTCAACCTTTAGTTGATGGCAAGGGTTCCAAAGAAGGGGGGGGGGGGTCTGATACAGGGTGCGTGAAATAGAATGTAGGTTACCTTAGCACGATTCATAAAATATGCACTCTACTACAATGTGCCATTTTTTTTATGTGTATAATCTAACTAAACAAAATATTGTTGACCATTTTTAACAAGATAAACCATCATTAAAAGAGAGAGAGAAGATGTACTTTAGCATGACCTAGCTACAGTGCCATAATTTGTGTTCCTAGCACTCACTCAAATTAGATGAAAAAAACCCACTCAACATGGGGTAATAAAAACACAAAGCAGGTATCATTTGTAACATCACAGTACAAGACAGAAGATATGGTACACCTGTAGCTACAGACACACACACTAATCACTCAACTTTAACACACCTTCTAGGTGGTCGCCTCATAAAAGCCTTTTTGAATACAAATTACATTTTAGTAATTTTCCAACAAATTTCAAATTACTCAGATTTTTTTCTTTCTGTCTTCGAAATTGACAATAATTCACCAATAAATTGCCTGATGATGCCAGTGCAGAACAAGAATTTAAGCCCCAACATACATTACTATCATGTACGTAATTCCTTATCTCTGATATAATCATCTGAAGTTAGATGAAATTCGCTAGAAATGTACTGCTTCAAGATAATCTTCAACAATAAATGAAAGAATAGGACTCCTGGGTAGATTAATTTTGTCACATGTAGGTGAAAATTGGATTAGACGTGCAATCCAGGAGCAATTCAATGGATAATGGATCTCTAGCAGATTTAAATAAAAAAATAAAACAATAGTTAAAAGAAATTAAAGACCACACACTGCTGCTCTTAAGTAGGCCTTGATTATTTCATCTTTCACAGTTTTTTCATGTTCTGTTTAATGAAATGCTAAATGATTTAAACCCGAAACTTGAAATGAATTCTACTCCTCTACTTAATAATTTTATGATTTGTGGAAGTTAATCACAATGTCGAAGTTCAATACTTGAGAAAATTCCCTTCATTGAATGTGTAAGTGAGAGGATAACTAAGACTGACACCTGAGAACTGATAAGATTGTAACAATTTAGATACAAATGTCTGACACAGATGAAAGTTACAGAGAGGATGACCTCTATAACTGACAGTTCTCAGGACTGACCAAATTCCACAACTAAACCAATTTACTTCAACATTCTCCTAAGGTCACTCTGACAAGACATTGGTCACTCTTGTTTTTCCTTCCATTCTGCCAGAATGAAATCATTATTTCAACTTCAATGTCACAAGACCAAATAAGTAAACTTGGCTAATTAGTATAAAATTCTAAGTGTAGTCAGAGTATGTGTATTAGAACTTGATACTGGTTGATTGAATTTACTCCCCCCCCCCCCCCCCCACCCACCCCTTTTTTTTTTAATTAACAAAATTCCATCTTTTGTGAGGTTTTTCAATTTCAAAGAATCCTTATAATAACTGAATGCTTATAATGTCAAATTAGTACAAAATAATGCAATACCAACTACAAAACATAAATTATGGCTTTAGCAATTCTTGAAGGTTTACTGTAAGGGGACTGAACTGTAACTATACCTGAGGCGTCATGTGGGAGATGGTGGGCATGTCATATCCTGCCTGTACAAATAGAATACAATATTCCTCAAACCGTAGGTCCCTCAGCCAAACCCGCATAACCTCATGATCCTGTAAGACAAAACAAAGCTGTCTTCAAAATATGTGTTTAAAAAAAAAAAAATAGGACTCTTCATACCAAATCAAAATTGTCTTAAAGTACTTCATAATAATCCACATATTACTGAAAAATACCATGCAACAAAATTATGAACTTAATAGTCCTTTAATTAAAAATTTGATAAAATTCGATCATGTCAACTTTTGAATATTCAAGGAATAATTATCCATTCAAATGAAGATTTGCTCTACAAGACATTCAGTCAATTGTATATACTCATATATAATATATGTACATACGGGCATTCCCACCCGGAACAGTTCAGCCACATTAATGGTGCTCATTTGTCCAGATTCCTCCAGTCGGTCAAGACTGCCCACACTGGAACTGGACGTGCTGTGATAACTCTGTCGTGAGGACACCCCAGACTCGTAACTCTGGCTGGACAATCGATTGTTGTTTATCTGGACATTGGCAAAGTTATGTGGTGGCTGAAGAAAAAACAAAGTAGACATATGAAAATATCATCGACCTAAATCAACATCAACTAGATGTTTAGAAACTCAGTCAGGAGTGAGATCAAAAACAAACATCTAAAACACAAAGATCTGAAATTGGTAGCAGCATTATTTCATGTTTTTGCTTTGTTATAAATCAAATCATATCTGCAGATTTGTAATTTGGAGGCCTACCAACTGTTGTCTAATGTTTCACGTGCAGACGCAGAAAAATATCAGATTAAATAAAAGAATCTAAAAGATCTATTAAAAAAATATCTACCATGTTCTAATAATTTCCAATCAACTGCTGAAAATGTAATCAAAATAGAATCAAAGCCATAAAAATCAGCAAGATCACCTAACATTCTGTCTTTGCAAGTGAATTTGTGCATATCCCAAAAGTGTGGTATGTCGAGGTGGAAGATTTTATGTATTCCCTATCTTAATTGTATCAACTAGGGGATAATCAAATCATGTTTTCATGTAAATGATTCAGTGTAGAAATAAAAACAAAACCAATACTTTAATTTATATATATATGGAATCATGACTTCTGGGATTTATAAAGAAAGAAGGATCATTATAACAAACTACTTAAGAATTTCCTTAAACTTTTTGTATTGTTACCTTTATATTATTATGAGAGGGAACCTTGAATTACTCAGTAATTTCATATAAATGAGCTATTTTTTCACTGATAAAGCCAAAAGCTTCTTAATTTCTCAATAAAGTTAAAACAATTCTAAAGACCCTCTTTACATACAGTACAGTGGCGCCTCGTTTATCCGGACGCCTCTGTCCCCAACGAAATCGTCCGGATAAATGAATCATCCGGATAATTGAGTCACATCTCAAAAAGCACTCTCTAAGCATGTATATATGTACATTCTTTTTTCAAATGTGACAGCAAAGAAAAAAAAAACTTTTAAATTATATTTTGGTTAATTGTTTTAAAAGCAGTGATTGATTTGTAACTTACACAATATTAAAAAAAAAATGGATTGGCAATTTTATGCCTAGACCTCCTTTTTTAATTTTTTAATTTGCCTTCTCTTTGGCATGTGACTTAATTCATGGGTTAAGCAAATTTTGATCTACGAGGATCTACTGTTGTTTTATTTTGCCATAAATTATAACTAGAACTGTCCAATAGGGACAAATACCCCCCGCTGGGTTTTTCAGAGAAAGTACCAAATCACTAATGTTTTCTAGATGTGAGAGGTGTTCACAATTTCCTTAAACATTTCCAGTGAAAATTTAATTACTCATTATATTTTTTATATGTCCGTCTTAAGACGGGACGTATTATGTTATAGCGTTCATGTCCCTCCGTCCGTCTGTTAGCTTTTTCATGTCCGGCTTATTATTTAGTCTTACTTTTTTCATTATGTTCTTTACAGCAATCTGTAACAAGAAAAATTCCACCTCTCCCATGGGTGTAATGATCAGGCACTGGTCAAGGAAAATTTTGATAGCAGAAAATTGCATGTCAAATTAGAGATAAATTAATGAGTTTAGTGTGAGGTGATAACTGGTAGAGCATCTCTGATCAAGCAGGTGTTATCTACATCTCTTGGGAAATGGGCAAAAGGAATCAGTCTCTTAATTAATTGCTTGTGTTGTATTGAATTGTTCTTGTTGGCTAGTCTTACTTTCAAGATAAATTTGATGTAATTAAAACTAATTTGATATTGTTTATAATAATTAAAACTTATATGATATTGTATAATATAATTTAAACTAATTATTTATTGTACATTTTTTATTTGAATTTTTCTATCTTTACAACAAATTGCAGACTGCCTTGTCTCACTAAGATGTCATTCGACCAATTGAATCTAAACTGTTTATGATAATTTAACAATATTTGATGGGCGTATAATGCTGTGGTGGGGCACTTTATTTTAATGAATGAAACTAAGGTGCAGCCTAATAAAATATCAACACTAATAATTACAGTGTTTTTTATTACATTGAAAAAATAGTTTGCAACTATCTGTCATCTTTGTGAGACATGACACTCTGCAAATTGATTGTTGAAAAAAAAAATATCATAATTAATTATACAAAATCAAATTGATTTTAATACCTTTATATCAAACTCATTTTAAAAATAAAAGGCTGGTTTTAGTAACTATGTATTTTGACAGACATAAATAACAATTAAGAGACTTAGACAACAGAGATCTTTATTTCTTTCTGCCCAATTCCCCGGAGATATAGATAAGACCTGCCTGATCAGAGATGCCCTAACAGCTTCCCACACTGAACTCATTAATTAATCTTTAACTGGACGCATGTCCACTCATTACTCCCAAGGGACAAATGGATTTACACTATCTGCTGTGTAATGTAAAAACTGTTTTTAATACTTTGTGGGGTTTTTTTTTAGTTCTAATGAGTAGTTTTAAGCTGTAGTTCACATTTTTGTACAGATGTTCTAGATTCTATGTCTCAAACCTTAGACATGAATCCGAAATGACTAAGTCAATAAAAATTTAAAAAAAACACCTGTAAAATGCAGAAAAATTATCAAACAATGTTGAAAATACCAGGTGCACATCTTCATATGGTAAATAATAAGTGTACAAATTATCATACAAATCTATGCAATAGTTTCTGGGAACAGATCCAGACAAAACCACATAATAAAAATGAAAAAACACCTGTAAAATGCAGAAAAATTACCCAATCATAATGAAGATACCAGGTGCACACCTTCATATGACGAATAATAAGTGTACAAATTTTCAGACAAATCCTTCCAACAGTTTCCAAGAAATGGTCAGGACAAAATCTCGTCTACAGACAGACGGACAGACGGACAGACAGACGGACAGACAGACGGACATGCTGATTCCAATATACCCCCCCTAAACTTCGTTTGCGGGGGGTATAATTATTGAAGCTCATATGATATGACAGAAGTGTTCAGCATCATCATTGAAAATGTTCAAATATAAACTAACCCTGTATATTCCCCGTATATTCATTACACAGGGTTACTATAAAATTAAGTGAACACTGCAAGCTAACTCAAACAAAGTGTTAAAAACATTCGTAAACACAAGCCATCTTCATGATTATCAATATTATTTCTTTGAATTTCGATCATTAATTAATACCTTGAAATACGTAATCAACTTCTGTACGTAACGCCAGTTTTATATGTAATGGATGTTTGTAAACAGTAGTACATTAAATAGAGATATTTCTTCGATTATGTACCTTTCTATACTGTCTTGTGTGGGAAAAAGCGTTTCAAATACATTTACGTTTTTTTTAGAAATGGAACATCGTATTTTAAACTAACGCAATCGACATGATAAAGAGCATTACAAAATCGCTAGTTATTTATTGTTCGTTTTATTTACAACTCTCCAAAATTCTCCTGAATTTACCGATGTATATACGGTTAGCAAGATGATTTTGAACGAATTATTATTTAAATAATGCAGTGTCAGCTAAATTCTTTGAGCTTCATAATAAAGATAAACGTGTGATTGAACTGGGGTAAACACACGCTAATTATAGACGCTATTGTTTGTAGGTCACAGGTAACCGCCTTCAAACTGACCACATGGCCAATGTTTTTACAACAATTAAAAAATTACCGTCCGGATAAACGAGTCATTTTTCAATGAACTATTATGTTTTGTAGTAGAAATTGACCGTCCGGATACGGAACGCAAATTTCCGGATTAATGAGACAAAATAACGTGGAATAAATCGGTTCCCAAAAAATATCGTCCAGATGGTGAAGCATCCGGATAAATGGCGTCCGGATAAACGCGGCGCCACTGTATATGGAGGGGGGGGGGGATACCACTATAACAGCACTCTCAACTATAAAGTCAAGGAGTTTTAAACCCTACACAACATGGACTAAACCATGATGTGTTTTCAAAGTTTATAAACCTTCTAAGAGGACACAGTAAATACTGCTGAATTACAGTGAATTATATCAAAGTTCGCCAGGCCTGGACAATTCTTAGCAAGGCCTGAGTCTTATAATGTGACTATTTAAAAGCATTAATCAAAAAGAAAATGTCAATTTTAATGTGCAAGTTACCTGTTATCAAAATTAAGAATTTCTATGAGCTATTTAATGTGACCATGACTATAATTTTACCATCCGTTAATATCAAAGTTATGATTTTAAAGGGTTATTTTGTGACAGTAACATCTTGTACCAGTAATCAATGTTTTGTTTTGTCTTTTCCAGATCTGATCTCTCTCTCTCTCTTTCTGGAATACAGGGATCACATATCTGTATCTACCAGACTAAACTCATTTACATATACAAAACCAGAAACTCATTATTACCCAAACATTTTCCATACCAGCCTGTATTGTCTCCTACTTGTCTCTAGCAAAGGTCCTTACTCTCTTTCTCTCTCTCTCTAGAATGATTACAAAGCTATAAATCTTTTCTTTAACTTACTAGTCATGTTAAGAACTTATGAAAATTGTTAGACACTATTTCTTTCTTTAATAAAAATGCTGACAGATTTGGGAGAAAAATATTCTTTTCACACAAATTTCATGCTTTAAATTAAATAAATTTGGATTTGATAAGTCAGCAGAAATGCTCCATTTGACTTGTGCCTGGAGACAATTACCTCACCAATCTTAAACGCTATTCCATTTCTAGGATAACACTACTTGCTGTCTGAATTAAGCTAAAACCTGACTAGTATATAGATACAGGAGAAATTGCTTTTAGTGGAGACATAAAAAATGAAAAATCTATATGAAGAGAAAACTCATTTAAAGGAAAATGGAAACTTTTCCGCACTGGGAGATGAATTTTAGAGACTCTCTTCACCATCTGACAAGGTGATTTAGGAATACTGTTTGCATGAGGAAAAGATTACTTCTTCCTGCATTGTTCTTCTTGACAAGCATATGTGCCAATAATGCAGTTACAAAAGCTAATCGCTGATCATTTCTGAACAAACAATTCCATATAAAATTATCCAAACAATTACTCAGAATGACAAACTATAGCTTCAGTTCTGTCCCAAAGGCTGGCCATTTCTATTTGCTGATAGCATAATTGATTTTTGCCTATTTTCCAAGTTATGATCTCATTTGAAAGAAAAATATGATAATTATGTAGAAATTAGGTTCATTTTTTCCCCTGTCAAAGTTTTTCCAGGTGCAAAAGTCCCAGCATGCCTTTAGGACTTCCTGTGTATCATTACACAGAGAATGCCTGAGCAAGATAAATTTTTTTCTATTGATTATTTTCTGTCATTTTACTTTTATATCAGATTTTTCATTGTAATCAGGCTTTGTCAATTAGAGACTATGGTTAATTATCCAAGGTTGACAGAGTACTTCATCAATGTTTATATTGGAAGGGATTGACACATAAAAGGGAGAACTCTTAGGTCTTTATTGCCAGATTCTGATGTTGACTTTGGTTTTCAGTACTCTGAATCACAAGCATCCTTGAGAAATAACCTTGATTCCATTTCTACTTAGTTAGACACTGCAGTGTAAAATACCCAAACATCAATCAATGAGTTCAATATGTACAATTGTTCCATTTCTAATCAGTAGCTTTAGTTAAATGAATAATTAAATCCAGACCAGGACTCTTTGAGGTGACAGGTCACTCAAAGTCCAGTCCTTGTGTAATTAGTGGCCAGTTCTATTGGATGTCAATATGGTCTGTTGAAGAAAGAATTAATACATGTACAACCTGACATTGCTGGTCAGGTCTGAAGATACAAAATCTGTTTAAAAATCTCTGTTGGAAGTACATATTTCTGACAATAAACAAGTTTTTCCGTACACAGTCCAGAATATTTAGGGTTTCCTGAACAACTGAGTCAATATTTATAACATAGAAAGGTTATTTTAACCCTTTACAGGATTTGGACAAAAATTATCCTACAGAGTATTTGACTATATAAGGATTTACATTGACCACATACTTAATAGTCTAATTATCTATACAGGGTATGTTTTAACTGGATAAAAAAAACTTTCCTGATATTATTTTGTAGTACATATTTTACTTACCAGAACCCTGTACTTCGACATCATATACAGTGGTCAATGTTTACGGAGTTGTTTACGTACCTTAACATTAGCGTTTGCGTGGTCTAAATGTCCTGTACTGTATCCTCGTCCACTATCACTACTGGCTGCACTGTTACGGTTACTATTAGTCGGGCTTCCTTTTCCATGTCCTGCATTTCTTATGTCACTAGCGAAGGCAGGAAGCGATGACCACTCTCCCACTTGTTCGCCATTATGGTTCACTATCCGGCCATTCAAGTTCTGAAACGTGCAAAAACAAAACGTCATGGAAATAGCCAAAGAGTCTTGATTCCTCAAAATATATAGTTCTATCACAAATTCAATGCATGCATTGGGAACATTCCAAGAAAATTCACTTTACAGGAATCGAACAAAAAACATGCCGTCTGTCCAATAAATGTTGAATTTTTTATATCATTTCATCACATCTTATCCCATCCATTTGCATGAGATGTCAGTAAAGTTTTCACAGAAATGACAGGGAAAATCAAAAAGTTATTATCTTGTCAACAACAGTTCCAATGGTGTTTTGTTATCACTTCTACAAAATGTAGAATAAAGCTAAATATTTATGATCTCTATAATGTCTTTGAAATCTGCAGAATGCCTCTAGGTCCTGTGTAACAGTTTAAAACATAATTGCATCCTACTACAATGTTCATTGACCAATCAATAGCTTGGAAATCCAGCAACTTGGGAGAAATCCTCTCTGGTTCCAGGCCAGTCTCCAATGTTTCAGTTTTATCAATAAACCTCTTAATACTTGGCATGGCTCATAAATACACATATCAGAATTCTATATCTCTGAGTATTGATGGATGAAATGACCATAAACAATGAATTAAACCACAAATTACCTCCACTTGAGCCGACAAATGGAAACAGGCACATTCTAGATCAGGTTGCTGCATGTTTACCTGGCCCCAAAAGAGACTCTGGGATCATTACATTGATGACCGAGACAAATAATTTTTATCACAGACTGGTCAACTAATCATTTCCTACCCCCAAGTCTCTAAGAATAATGGGGTATTAGACCCCCCCTCCCCCTTCTCCACCCATGCTGACACCTCATTGACCTTTGAATACAAAATACAAGAGCACTAAAGTAGGCTTTTTTTTAAAACCCCCACCCCCCAAAAAAACTTTGAAGGGGAAAAATTGTAATCCTTATTTATTTTGTCATATCAAACAATGTAACAACAATTCTGAAAGTATCATCTCTTGCAATATATTATACTGCTTGCACTTTCCTTTGTTTAGTTCATCTCTCTATCTCTGACAATGTTTCAGATTTTAATGTTCTTAAAAATACTCACAATATAGCACCAAAATTAATATGAAAAAATTTACAAGGCATTGAAAAGAGACATAAAGATGTCTGAAAAACCAGCTTCTGATGAAATGTCTCGAGATTAGAACACAAAAATCATAATGCACCTGTTCTTGGGAGATAAGCCTAACATTTGGAGAGGCATGACACACTCAGTTAACTAGCTGAAAACACAGCAAAGCAGGCAGGGGATGCACCGAGAGATCACCTAATCAAATTCCTCCCTGCTATTTTTAGGTTCTCCCCAAGAGCCATTAAAAAAAATTGTGACATCAAAGTATGGAGCTTTAGTAGAGGAAAGTTCACCTGATGTTACCAGACTGATAAGGCAAAAAGCAGGCATTGCTGACTGCATGCAAGACACATTTAATCAAAGTAAAATTAATATGTACAGCTGTTGTACTCTTTCTTAATGCATTCAGATTTGCAGATTCATATGTATAAAATATGTCCCGACTTTGATTTCAGCTTTTTATGATAAATGCATCCATCGATGATTCATCACAGAAGAACTGAGGAAGAATTCAAAATTTAAAAAAAAAAAGGATTATAAGGAATTAGTAAACATTTTTAATAAAACTTAGAAGGGAATTTCAATTGTCTGATACAAATGAGTATAACTGAAGTTGCATTACATTGTAAACTGCACTAGTTAGGTTAATAACAATATAATGGCACCTACCATTTCCATGGTTTACGAACTTTTTTTTCCTTTTCCTTAAAACATTAATAATATTCCATCATTAAATAAATGGAGTCTGCATGGTTCCAGTATCCTTGATCATAATCCATAAAATACAAGTACTCCACAACACTTAAAACTTGACAAACTCCATACTAATCTGAAAACTTAGTGTCATAAAATGAAAGAAAATCTATCCTCAAATGAAAAGGAGCAAAACATAACATGAAACACTTAATACAAGTAGGTCATGAGGCAGAGCAGAATCCTGCAAATGTTGTTGTCAAAGAAAGCTGTGGGTAAAGAAAGCATTCCTCAGTACAACACACTTGTCCCTGGTTCATACACGAGGGCTCGACCCTCGACTCATCAGCTCCGAGCTGTCTTATCTTTTTTACAGGGGAAGATGTTACTGGGACCCTTTTGAAATGCCAGAGTAGATAACATCACTGATGCAGAACGTGGCTGTGTTTTTCTGGGAAGCTGTGAGGGCCCTATCTATGTACATAAAACCTAGCCACATGATCAGCACCAGTTAGCATACAGTTCCCATCAGGGGGGTTTCCCCTCAACAGGCAAGGAGGATTCTGATGAATGGTTATCTCCACAAATAACTTTTTTATGAATATTTAGTACCAAAGAAACACCTTAGTTAATATTGAATGAAAAAGATGAAAACTTTTAACATGAATAGGATGTAGATATAGTAGAATTTTGAAGGCAATACATATACAGTGTGTATATGCATCAATAAACATTAAATATAACGCTTGTTGAAGTAGTTTTCATTACATGTATAGTAGCATATTGCAATGGTTGATTTGACATTACTTCACCACATGCAAACATGACTCAAGAGTACTAACCATTAATAATTCATCAATTATTCTTGTGAGTGAATTGGGAAATCTGAATGTTTCATTCAAATGGAACAATATTTTAATATGAATGGCAGACTTTGATTCAGAAGCATTTTGAGTATGGGAAATTAATGGGTGTCCATTTCATCCATTGCAGATTCCACTCTAACAGTCGATTACAAATTCCAAATGAGCAGAAAAATGGACATTTCCAGAGATAATTTCTGTGACAAAGGCTATTGCTTCACTCAAAACAAACCCATAAACCTGATCATTGCAATTTAATACTACAGAAATCCCAAACTTTCCAAAGCCTCTCTAAAATAACACTTTACACCAAAGTCAAGTTGAGCTTCTAAAATAAATGTGATTGACCTGAGGTCAATGGTCCCCAATCAATGATTGGTTTCAAATATCCCAACACTGAAGTGAGGGGAGTACTTAATATGGGGTATCTGGCCAATATTATAGATTGAACAATGGTCAAAAGGGGACAATGCCTTATTAGATATAGTTAGTTCATAGAGAAGGGGACTATTCCAGAGATATGTGATATTATAATGGAATTCATTCGGGTTCCTTTGAAGTTTACTTGTATGTCAAACTGTTAATGGTGTAGTAATCATTATACCAATTGTAGGATACACAAAGAACACAATCCTAGTAATCATATGTATTATCCAGTCCACTTACTATCAATTCTTTTGATGTACAACAAGCAACAGTTTTTTAATTATACTTGCCGGGTGAAAGCCTGAATCCCAAAGAGAAATGTTTTATTCCTAATTTTCTAGACAAATTGTCTGTCAAAATCCATCACATTTTTCGAGTTCTCCTCTAAAACAACTGTTGAGATAAAGTTTTGATTCACCACCTTCAGCTCTATGAAGTTATGAAGAAACCTTCCATGGAATTCAGAAGGACATCATAAAGTCAACCTTAAGCAACTAGAAGCCTTTCTTAGAATAATGGAGAAAACTGTTTGGGAAACAATAATGGAGCTGAATTGTCATCAATTATTCATGAAGTTTGTAACAAGATAAAAGAATCTCTAAACATTCCAAAACTTTATGCAGCAGGGAGGCCATTTTGTCCTTACAAACAGATGGTCATTAGAAGCTGCTTAATTAATGCTGTAGAATACTAACTAGCATCAAATTATCGGGATAGGAGACAGACCTAATCAATCAGTCTGACTCTGGTGTGGTGTAAGACTTGAACTGACCTCAATGATAAAACAAATCACCAATACCTATTCACCAGGGAAATATCCCATTTCCTCAACCTTAAAGTCAATTCCTCACATTTACAGTATATTAATCTATCCATCAATAACACTGTAATTAACAACTCACAATACCTCATTATATGGTTTGATCTTTAACTGAACCTAAAGGGACAAAAGTTCTACAATGCTGATGCTAATACTGTACTCAATGCAATACATGCATGGAGCCAAAGAAGATCTACTGCATAAAGCAAAAGAAAAAAAAAAAAGGGAAATCCATTGAATAAAATGATTGACATTAGACAAACAACACTTTTCCATCTTGCAATGTAACTGAATTACTTAGAATTTAGATATACCTCATCAATTGTACTTGTTATAATAATACAAACATTAATCAGCCACGATAATGTGCTGGAATCCTGTACAAATTGTCCCCAGATGAACTAAATAATTTCTGTAGCCACTCAGACTAGGAGAGGAGGAGATAATGTACCCCGTCCAGGGGGTCACATCATAGAGGATTAACTAAACAGATAAAGGCAATTATTCAAATCCCATACACCAGGATTGGAGATTATGTTAAAGGGAGATAATCCATACATGAAGAGGGTCTGTGAGTTTGTTGGATAAAAGTTACTGTACTGATGTCAGATTGACATGAATGTTCAAAGACTCTGGTTTCAACACTTGTTCATTACAGGCAGGGTACATTAACAGGTGATCCTTAGAAATCAGCAATCCTCGTTTACAGGTTGTGATAAAAATAAATGAAACACTAAAGTAAAGATTTTGTTTGTTTCAATCTCCAATTCCTCCCAAGTGAGAGATTTTACATACAATTTGGCAAGGGTATTTGTACAGGTTCATAAAGATCATTTGCTAGATCTCAAATGCCAAACTGGTCATCTCAGTTTAAAGATCAAGCACCTTAGTGATTGAGATGAAAGGCTGGTGGGATCCGACAGGAAGCCCTTCTTTTGGTGAGGGTGAGATTAAGACAGCTGGAGGGGAGGAAGGGAATGATATAACGTGTGTTTACATAAGAGTTCAATCTTCTGGAGCAGGGCCAGATCAGCTGAAATTACTCAACATGTGTAAAAAGATGATTTAGACTGTCAGATATCTTACACACAGGTAAGAGGAACCTGCCAGAAGGTACAGGGCATCTGTCTACTGAGGTGTTTTATATACATGTATCAGAACTGTATTCAAGCTTGTAGCAGCTACATAGCTCATAGCTCTTAGCTGCTATGATTTTGAATTGCTAGCCTTGAATTGTAAATTTTGGATCTTCAACATGTCATAACAGGGACAACTGTGCCAAAAAATAATTCACTGTAAGTTCAATACAACCTAGATATCTAAGTAAGAAGCTTGACAAGGTGCTACGATCTTGAATGCAGCCCAGAACTGAGCTATGGATGAAGCTTAACATTTCTAACCTAAGATTAATTAAAGTGACCTTCTGTTCTTTACAATCAGTATTACAGCGTATTGGTAGAACTCTTCACTTTGTGGAGGAACATATGCACCCCATTCAGAAAAAAGGTGTTAAAGAGTTTACCAGACCAATTACCAAAATTAACTGTTTTCAGATCATGCCATCTTATACAGTATATAACATCACAGTGGGAGCTGTTTTATCACTGCCATAATCAGGTTCACTGACTTTATACAACAATTTCCAAAAAACAATTATTAATGGATTTTGGAAATGTCAAAATAAAACAAAAAATAAAGGTCATGTTACTTATCTTTATGAAGTCTTAAAAACATAAACAAAAAATAAATGTAGTAGTTAAAAACAGCTGATTCTCCAACCCCCCTACTTCTCATTTACAGCAAAATTTATCAAATTTTGGCACTTTAGCCAGATAAATGTAATGGATACCTGATATATTGTTTAAAATGTCAGTGAACCAATATCAATATTTTACTTTGTATTACCTGCTTAGGCTACGTCTAGATAATATCTGTTTATAAAATACCCAGCATGAAACTAATTAGCTGACATCATTATCAGATGCTTTAACAGATCAGTTAATTGTAATGCTGGGATAATAAAGTGTTACATTCCCCCCTTCCCCCTCCCTTGATGTGGCCAGCTGTTTTGACCATGGTCATCAGTATGCATTTCCTCTCAGCAATAAGTCAGTCCCGGAACCCCAGAATCTCTATTAAGATTCAAGTTTTCTCTTACTGGCATTGATGACTGTATACACTTGTCACTTTATAATTCTTGTTTCCTTGTATAAAAGCCTTCATTTGATGACACATGCTACGCTACTTAACCAATGTTCTCTAAAGTTTAATGTTTAAGCATTTAATAGGGGATGTACCTATGCCCGGGAATTGGATAGGTTTGTGTTGATTCTAAAGTCTCTGGCACTTCACAAAATTTAAAAGGTTTTAAAAGGTTTGAGTATTGTGCACAAACATTTAAGATGCTTCAAGACATAATTAAGTGATACTGTGCAATTTCGTGCAACTTATACATACTCTGGAGAGAAACAGGAACTACTTTACTAGCTTAGATAAAAATATCTAACCACTAACTATTAAATCCTGGTACAGTGCTTAAAGAATGAAAGATCATCACTCTTAAAAAAAAAAACTGATTCAGACATAGGGACTAATCATAATTAGGAAAGAAACCCCATATCTGATAAAAACACATAACAAACATTGATTTTTGTGTAAAATAATGAAGAACATTTTTAGACCAAACACAATTACCTGATGTTTTATACTGAATGTGCAGAAACTGCATACAACTAACAAATGATTCCTCAGAATCTGTACCAAATACTCAACGTATATCTTACCTGTGCAATACTATGGCTGACATATATCTTACCTGTGCAATACTATGGCTGACATATATCTTACCTGTGCAATACTACAATTGACATATATCTTACCTGTGCAATACTACAATAGACATATATCTTACTGTGCAATACTATGATTGACATATATCTTAACCTGTGCAAACCTGTGTTTTGTATTCTGAGTTTTCTGACTTACCTCTGACGAAGTGTTGTACAGTCTATAAGTCTGAGGCTGTGACTTACCTCTGACGATGTGTTGTACAGTCTATAAGTCTGAGGAGGTGACTTACCTCTGACGATGTGTTGTACAGTCTGTAAGTCTGAGGAGGTGAAAAGGTAAAGGCACTACCACCGTCCCAATCTGAAAGCCAGGACAGAAATTATCATTCATAACAATATCATATTTACATACATAGACAATATCCTTTCACATAATGACAACACACCCACAATCTAACAAGAAAATCCTTTTGCATGTCAATGACAAATAAAAAAAGACCATGCCGTATCATTATTGGATGATCAACCTGTCAAAATTCAGCAACATTCTTTGACTTCATAAAAATCACTCTGCCATAACAAGATAAAATTTCGCTTCTCCTGAATTTGATCTTTATGCAAATCCTGATGCATTTAACTGCCACTGTTAGGTTTGATAATCACATGTATTAATAGGGCTTACTCTCAACATACTCTTGACATTGTAAATCAAAAAACAGGTCTCTAATTTACATATGCTAGAACAATACCTTCCAGAAAACCACAGCAATGGACACCTGTAATTTTTACCTGATTCAGGTGGGATGGTTTCACTTTCAGTGAGCAATTAACAAACACAAGTATCCAGCAACAGAATAATGCAGATCTCCAGAAAGGTGTGATGTAAGAAAATTAATGTTTTAGCTCCACAGAACATCACACAAAAACAACAGGCCTCCCAAACCTCCTGTAAACTCCAGGATTCTAACAGACTTTATCATCTCTGTGGAGTAATTATAGACTATTTCCAACTTCTCTAACACTGAGTAAGAAACTAATTAGCAGAGAGATGTCAGAATCTAGTTAGACATACACATTCTCTCTCATCAGTCTTTTACTGGCATTGGGTAAAACATTTGTGCAATACAAACATAAATATTAGAGTATCTAAATTATTATCATGAATATATACCTTAAATTTGCAATTCCATTTCCCTTCATTTCAATTACATAATGGCACTATCAATTCTAGTGTACACATTCATTTCACTTAGGAACTATAAGATACAGCTTATATAATGTATCAAGGGAGTTTTCCCCCCAAAAGTCCACCAGTAATATTGCTTGGTATTAACTAATCAATTGGGCAATATTTGGTTTAGTAGCCAACACTGCCTCAAATGATGAATTGAGAACAATATCAAAACTGAAGTGATCATGGAACAGATCTTGAATCATGCCGATATTGGACCATAAAAATTTTACTTTTACATTCATCAATTCCCTTGGTAACACTAAATTCTACTTTTTTCCAACAAAATGTGGATTGTTTAACCAGAAATCGTGTTACTGGCAACAGTTCTGATATTCCACAGATGAATAATTATAAAGGCATACATACAGCCTGTCCTTTTTGGGTATAAAATTTCAATTTATACATCTCTACTTTATTATTCCATAGTCTAGTAAATAAAAGCAGCAAATGACCTTGAAATATTTTGAATTTTTAGTAATTTTGGATAAAATGTGAACTTTATCCGACATTAAACTTTGATTAGCTACAGAGAGAATTCCGATATTGTAACCTTTTTCCTACGGTTACCCAGCATTACACACATGACAGCAGACCTGTCCACCTGTTCTTTTGTTCATTTCCACCTCTGACCACATAAAGTACCTGAGATGATTATACATGTATTGCTTTCCATAATAGCTTTACACCCATCTCCTGACAGACTGCACAGAATAAGTCAGAAGATGGACCCCCATCTGGTACCAGGTAATGACAGCCATGTAGGTAACCTTAGTGGGCCATGAAAACCACACAATCTGGGGGTCCAATTTCAATACACCTCCAAAAGTACTTACAGCAAGGCTGATCATTCAGATCTAAAAAAGTTAACAAGGAGGGCAAACTCAGAGAAATCATATATCCTGCTTAACTACATGTATAAACCACACCAAACATGACCTTCTGAATTTTTATGAGAGCATTTTATTTTGTATCATGCAATGATATAGAAGGAAAGACAGATTTGTAAAAACTTTGTTGTAGCAATCCAAATGTTTTGTCTACTAAACTTACAATTATATTGATGCTTTTTTTTTTGTTTAGTACTGTATGTAAGGCTTTAGATGTAATCTGTAACCCTTGTTTGGTTCTATGTAATATTGGGTGTGTGACTTTTTTACAGATTACTACACTATATCCAACTCAACAACAGATTGAAGCTCTACAGGATGTTTACAGGGGCAGGAGATTATTATTTAAGCCATGAAATTGAATATTTTGACCCTTCAAAACATAGATGAAACACCTGGTTTGATCAAGTTTAACAACAGATATACACAAACAAATAAGATGTACAATGCTATTGACATTGTGTGACAGTCATTTAACCCTTTTTTAACTGAGCAAGAATGTTTTTGTCAACTTTAATAGCAAATAAACAATTATTGTTAACAACAATATACATCATGTTGTCAATAAGAAACCAAAAATTTTCACCTAGCTGCTTTAATATTTTTCTTTGAGTTAAGTTACGGTTGCCTCTTTTAGCACAGAATTGAATCTTTTCATTACAAGATTATTCATTCTCATTGTTTTTTTAACACATCTTTATTAAAGAAAATATTGATTATCCTATATTTTATTCATCAATTAAAAAAAAATCATGAGAAAATAAAAATGTTAAAGAAAAAATATCATAACTTTATATATTCATACTTTCACTTCTCAATGGATAACATCACCCATTACATTTGTATTTTTTTTTCAGTGATGCTCATCAATGCTTCTTTCTAATCAAGAGTGAAAAATAATATTCTCATGTAATATTACTTATAAAACTACTTAAGAGAAAATCTCACTGGAAACCCAACAGAAATTTACATAACAAACACTTCACAGATATTCAGAAATGAATTGCTACTATTGGACATGGGAGATGCTCTCAAGCACTGGTTTTCATAAAAAAAAATATTCATGAAGTCTTACTGGTCAAGTTAAAATCATGCCGAGAGGTGTAATGAGAATTGATGAATTCACAGCTTAGGGTCCTCCCAAGACCACGTATCATAGCCACTCAGCAGAAAATTAAAATTCACTGTGATGCCTCAACGACAATAAAAAGTACAGAACATGTTTCCACAGTTACTACATGCATTTACCTACACACCCTGAAGCTTTAAAAAATTCTACATAAAACTATGACCCCCAAAACTATTTCTGGACTTCCTACATATGTGACATGATTAACTACGTTAACCACTTTTCTCATAATTTTAGACAATAACTCTAAGTCTCTTTGACATAATGGTATTCATGAAAGAGAATGGCAATTAAACACTTCAATAAAACATATAGAAATCCACCCACCATTATATCTCTACTTATTTTTTTTTGTGCCATTGCCAATGGATTTTATGACAATATCAAACCAATTACCATCAACATCATATAAAAAATAATGAAATTGGGCTTTTAATAGATATTTTCCTTGCATTATTAGATTGTATGAGAAAAATGAAAATATATAAAATCACAATTAGTCACAGCCTTGCCATGACTTCAATTCAATGAAAATAAAATACAACATTCTCACACCCAGAAATCTTAATATATACTTGAAAATGTATATAACACAATGATAATGACATATAAATCTGAGGGAAAAAATGGACCTCTGGTTAAAAACCTTGGTAAAATTTTCATGGGCCTTACCCATAAGTGAAAAGAATTAAAAGGATACTAGTAAATAAACACATGATAAACATAAAAAACATGTAAATAAAAAATTTAAAACAGATGTACAAGGAGGAAATAAATATGACAATCATTCTTAAACTGAGTAAACAGAATGATAATATATGCATGTAATTCTTCATCCTTGTTGACCAGAAATACTTTTGTTAACATCCTTAATAAAATTCTGAGATCCCCCTCCCCAAATACCATTTTTTAATGCCAAAATTTCACGATCCACTCCTTACCTTTTTTATAAGGTGAGTTGGGCGAGAACATGGCTGGTGGAGGAGGAAATGAATGATCCATGCCAAGACTGGACTGTGATTGGTGGTGTCCTGGGCTGTGGAGGTACCCAGAACTGGAGGATGGGAGGGTCGCCGAGTTGAAAGGGCTTCCTAGACCGGTCTGCAGGTATCCTGGGCTCCGATTCAACAAGTCAGGGACATTGGGCATATGCACCCTTTTTCCTTCAATAATGTGACTGGGATAATGTGCTAGAGTAAAAAAGGATCAAAATCAATCAGTTTCTTTATTTTGAAATATTAAGGGTCAGACATGTTAACATGAAAAGAAACATTGTCAAAAGATGACATTTGTGAAACAAGAGACCATTTTGCAGTGAATAAAATCTGTCTGCATTCTTGACTTATTTGTCACAATGTTGATCTTCATACAAATACTCCTTTAATACTTATAGAGAAGCCAATCATTAAAAGTGCATTTATTACCCAAGTGTACTCTAATGCATTATTGTAAGAATGCCAAAAAATCCCACTATCAGACATATCAGTTATTGTTTAGACCCACTCATTACCAAACTTTTGTTTTGTAACTTACACCAAAGTGTCGGCAAATCAGTTAAAATGGCACCAGGCATAACCCAATTCTTTGAGCTAATAATTGTCCACAATATCATTCCGTCTACATTTACAAATGATTGCAATGGCATTTGCCAAAGCTTTGTCTAGAGACAATTCTAAAGCAGATAGATGAAAACCCTCTAAATTAATCCAACGACCTTGATCAAATACATCAAACATTAAGCTCATTTAAAGTTAAAATGCTTTAATAATAGAGAAAATTCTATTTTCCTTTCAAATCTTATCACTTCTCTCGAAAAGATATGATTCTTGTACGGAAGTTTCAAAAAGGGTAAGTGACCTTTCAATGCTTTATTTTCATGTTATTTACAAAAACTGATGAATGCCTCTACTTTTAACATTGTTGACAAAGTATCTACAGAAAATGTAACTTTAAAATATAGATACAAACAGTTACCAGAGTTGTCCAATAAAACTACAGCGTCTGGAGGAAAGTATCCAGGTTTGGCCATGCGCCCATCACTGATCACAACACCCTTCCAGGCATCATCTCGCTGTTCTAGCACCTGTAAAATAATCAAGATGTAGGAGTCACAATCATAATGAGCAATCTGCCAGAATATATATGTACTTCATTAATTTTGTACTAGCTTCTATCAATTATACCACAATCCACACATCTCTACCTCCAATTCACAAAACGACCAGGAATGTTTTAAACTTCCTCACAATTTCATCCTGTGTTAGATCACATAAAAACTGATGACAACAATCCATTAAATTTGTATTTCACTGTTCACTAATAATTCATTGACTGAGCATAAGAAGCTGGGTAGCCTGTGTCATGTGATACTAAGCCTGACTGGTCCATTCCAATACTCCATAGAAGAGTGAGAGACTGCTAGCCAGGGATCAGGCACTCTCCTGGGAAATGGTATGGAGATTACCACAAATTAAATTTTCTGGAACATTAAATCTATTATGACCATGATAACCTAGATAGCTAGGAATCTGTTGCAGTCCCATTAGCAAGGAATTCCAGGACATTCAAATCCTCAAGTCTTCAGCATCAGGCAGAATGGTGCCATCAATGTGGGTGTTCTGGTGCAAAGTCATCAATGTTACAAAGCATGACAACTTACCTCAGGTGTAGAGAAATAGAGACTACTTTGCATATTACATTACTACAGGTGAAATGTAAGAAAGATTCAGTTCTCAGAACTCACTAATTAATAATACCATATAAACTTATCAAATCCATAATACAATGACTTCCTCCTCAGAATCCAAAGTATTTGGTTCTATAAAATATATCCATTGATTCCATACACGGTCTTACCTCCATACTATTTCTATAATACTAAAAGCACAGCGATGTATGTGGATATTTCAGTAATCTGTTTAATGGTCCAGTGTGATTGGTATCTGTTGGTGTTAGATGTATAGAGTATGTCAGAAATAGGGAGTTAGCTGATGAGGAGAAAGGGAGATAATCAGGTTATACCATCAGCGTTACATCAGGATAGTAAGTTGTAGGTGTTTTACAAATAACACTTCTATGTAGATCTAACACGCTGCTCAAGGAAATGTGGAGTTTGTAAAGGAAAAGTAATCAGTTTTGACTGATCTGCCTCTAGCAACATTGTTAAAAATAAAAAGAAAACAACTCTTCACTTGGTGAACAAAAGTGAAATATAATTCATAAAATTCCTAAGAGAGAACAGCAGGTAAAATTGACACAAAAACAAATTAAAACAGAAGCACTTGCATTTTCGATGCTAAAACAAATATTTATATAATAATCTTGTATCCATAATTCAGGTTGACACATTATGAAAACACTAAAGCAGAAAGGGAATTACGTAACAGTGTGTAACAGGTCCACAATCTTAAGCATCTTGTGAGTATAATTCAGTTAGCAGATTAAAAGGGGCAAACAGATGGAGGGAGCAGTCATTATTGTCCAATGACAGCCCATCTGTGAAGAAACCATACATTGCCATAACTGAATTATAGAAAACCAATACCTGCAACATGTGGGAACTGACTGATTTAATAAACTCCAGCAATGAATGGACATTTTCTACTGACTCAGTGATAAAATTACTTGATTTGAGATAGTAATAAAGTTATTACTCCAAGATAAAGTTAAAATTGAATTGTATTAACTCAAAAAAAAAAATTACTGAATTGCTTTTGGCATTTTGTTCTTTTTTTGGAGATGTTTGTGCACAACATTCAGAGATTCTATTTGTATGGTTCTGTTGATAAACAAATGAAATTATTTCACCTCTCTTGACTTGCCACACTTTGGCCCTGCCTAATGTCTTGTCCCTAACACAAACCATCTCGATCATTCCCCCTCCACTAGAAAATCCAAAATTCCTGCTGTATAACAAAGACCGAATCTGGTGTCAAACAAACGTCTGACACATAAATCACAATTCATTCAAGTACCCCTCTCCCCAGTGTCTAAACAAACATTTGCTGAAGCAATGACCCCAATTCTCCGCTCAAGTACCAGATCTGAGTGTAATTCTTCTTACTAGCCCCCCCTTAACTTTTACAATGGTCTCTTTGGAATGCTTCATCTTAAAACCACCCAAACTTTGAAGTTTAGGATTTTGTATCTGTTCAATAATTAGATCTCTGTAACGTTTCTCAACTTCAATGAAAATTAAATCTTTGATATTTTCATAAATTGTGTCACCCTTTATTTTCATGATGAGTGTGAATAAGTCTCCTTATTATTTTGTTTCTTAATTGTGTTTTAGGAATTTAATAACTGCCATTTAGCCTGGGTTTTTTTTGTTTTTGGCTTGTCTAAATGTACATCTTTTCACCTCAGCTACGATACCCTGTTGCGAGTGCCAACAGACTGAAGTACAAGATGATAAAAGACAGTAACCCTTTTCACAAAAAATCTTACGATTAATGTTCATTGTAAGAGAAATCTTACGATTTTATACCTTCTCACAAAAATTCTTATGAGATTCTCATGTGTAAAATTTGTCATAACTTTACGACAGCTCTAACCCTCTTGTACCTAAGTATCTAAGAGCCAATTTTAATTTAAAAATGTAAAAGATAAAACCCAAATAAATGTTTAATAGAACTTTCTACACATCCTATAGTAGCATTTTATACTGTACTTGTACATAAATTGGCATATTCAAAATTTAGTGCAATTACTGGGTATGGAGTTGTTGGTGAAATCATGAATTAGCGCTACACATGTCCGTGTCTTATATTGTGTTTATACATGATTTCTTTGCGGTATTCATGAATTATCGCATTGTTGTCTATGCCAAAGCTGCTAAAATAAGAAGCCCGCTTTTTTAAGTACACATACAGTATTATTTCACAATTACTGTTGAAAAATTAAATAAAATATACTTCAAAATATTTATGATGACAGTTATTCGATCTAGAACCTTCATATCAAGTCAAAGCTTAATTCAATTTGAATAATCTTCCACAATTTTTTTTATATCAAATATATCATTACTTAAGAAATGCATGAAAGATTAAAAAAAACAACAACATTGTGGTGCTTTATTCAGTAAAATATGCAGTAAAATAAACTTTTGATTAGGAACATTACAACACTTATTTATTTTTTCAAAGCAATTATGTCAGCATACTTCAATGATAATTCTTTAGTCTACATTACTACGGACCTAAAGTTGGACTGTAGTTTACTAAAGAATCTGTTATCAATTAGAAAAAAATCTATTAGTCCTCACTCTGAAATTTCTCTTTGGGTTGCTAATAAATTGTCCCCAAAAGATTTTTTTTTGGCAAAAGTCACAAAGCCACACTTTGTTTGAACTCAATGTTGAGTATAGAATGTTATATTCTTTTGAGTTAGCTGTGAAACACAGAATTTGAATATGAGGTATTCTATACCAATAGGGATCTATCAATAAGACAGACTCTACATCATACTTAGGTAAATATACAACTTGTAAACATGAGCACTAGGCTTGCTATAATCTCTATAGACCCAGATTGATGACTGATTGAAAATGTTTTTCTATATAAGTACAGACTCAAAAAAAAGTTCAATCCGCTAGAATTAAAACATTAGATAAATTATTCTCTTCAGAGAAGTGACCAGCCTTCACCCTTAATATAGATGTATTATGCCATTTACGATAGGTAAATTAATGAGGTATAAATGTAATGAAAAATTAAAATTCCTTTTTTCCGCAGACATTTACTTACCTTTATGATATCCCCCTCTTTAAATGCCAGGGTACTTGGATCATAAATATTACAATAGTTTTTGATGGCTCTGGCCTGCACAGCGAAACTAGCCTCTGTAAAATAAAAAAAAAAACTGGCACTGTTATTGAAATATAGAATAATGAAATTGTATCCACTGTGTCTCCGATAAAGAATTTTCATACACTGATAATTATATGCTAGTAGCAGTTTTGTCAAAAAACGTAATCAATTTTACACTTGAAGACAGACATGAGATGTCATTATTCATGTAGATACGAACCAAAGTCATCAAAAGTCACAGGCACCTTCCCTTGTATAACACATATGTATATATTATTCTATTTTTATTACACGATGTCAGTTTTTAACTTTGACACATAGAGTCAAGTTCATAAGATGTGAAACCACATTTTTTTTTCATCCTTGTATCACAACAAACCAGTAAAGGAATGAGGGGAAAAATGTGAAATACAGTATGTAAAAGGAACGTATATATATACAGTGTGCGAGATATACAACTTTATCTGGTGCGTATATTACAAGGTCGCCATTGCTCTATCATAGAGAGTAAGTCAAACCTACCTGGGCAGATTTCAAACACTTGATAATTGAAAACAAAGTATCCTATGTAAAAATCCTATGGCGGGTATTAAACTCCCCCCAAGTTTTTATCTGTAGAGACACCAAGGAACAACGTACCATTCCAAAGATGACTGATTATCAAATCAATTTTAAAAGTAAACCGTCACTTCAGATCTGATTAATAGAGGACCTGGGATGCCAATATTAACAGGTTCCTGATAGAATTCTATACCTGTACATGCATGGTGTTAAAATCTTACTAGTTCAAAGACTGACCTCTGGATTCTTCCTGGGCAAAGTTTTACATAATTTTCACATTTAAAATCACTTCAATTACCTGCTTGAATTCCTAGCCTACCATTACACTATCTAACCCATCTTAAATAGGTAAATAAAATATCTAACATGCCTTTCTAATCAGAAAAAGTGGAGAGGTTGATATGTAAGAACACAATGACAATCAAAGGTATTGAACAGCCAACAGCTCTTCAGAACCTCGGGGAATTTGGAGATCCTCATACACTGCAATCACAGATTTGTCTGCTCAGTGGAAACAATATACACCAAAGCTCAGAGAGCAAAAACTTGCTCACTCATCAAGAAGTCCATATATAAAATTCCTCAACACTTGGTTTCTCCAATACAGACACATAAATCATGTAACTATTGGAATAAATAGTCCAATTAAGATGAACTCTTCATTGTTTGAAGGTAAAATAAGTGACAATTACCTCTTGAAGTTAGATGAGGTGATACAGTCACAACAAACTAAGAAACTGACCCCTGTACCACAGGTAAACGTAACACGACACCTGTCTGGCCTATCTCATCTATTAACCTTTGTTGACCTCTGTTGACCACCATACACTTAGCCAGACAACTAAGGTCAACAAGAATTAATTTCTTTTTGCTATGTATAAATATATCTATTGCTGAAATGTTTATATTATGTTTCCTCAGCCTGTTTTTTTCTCCCTGCCATGTATAAAAATAATACAAAGTCATTTTTATGATAGATTTTCCATATCAATTTCAGATTTGTACTTTCAGAAGAAAATTTAGCTTTCTTCCTGTCAGTCTTTCAATTACAAGTTCTTTTTTTGTGTATTTAAATCAAGAGTCCTGACATCTGATAATAAAAACAGTAACTAATGCCACATCTCACAGAAGAACAGCAATGAAGGGCACATATCTGTGTCAGGTCTCTCTTTAATAGTAGTGTAGCATCCAATGGCTCTTTACTTAGGGACTTTCTCACTTCATCATCTCATACCATGTGACAGACATTTAATACCTTCAGTTCCACTCTGGTCATTAGAACTTTACAACTATAAGTCTGCATGCATTTCTCCAAAATGTAAATTGCACTGTGACACAATAAAACACAAAGACATTTTTTTTTTGATTTTGCATTGATAATGCTATAAAATATGCAATAGACCTAACCAGGTCAGAGATATTGGGATATTACTGTGCCATGACCCCTTACCTTCCTGGGGCTCAATTCTGTCCCCCTCCCCATTGCTCCCACCATCACTACTACACAAAGGAACACACAGCATCCTCCTAGAACCTAACCATCCTCCCTATTTCTTGTTCCTCTGAGTCTTCCTGTCTCTGAATTGTCTAAGTTCTACATCACAATGCGAGGCTGACAATGTCATGCATTATGCATGTTTTACCATTGTCAGAAACAAAGCTAAGCCCTCTGTACAACTTACTTTGTGCCAAGAAAACAGACAGTAAACAGGACTCTTTATACAAAGCTTTTTTTTTTTGTTTACATTTGTTTTTTTCCTGACCTCTTTGAGACTGGTTGTGTTTAAGCCTGTTTTTTGAGATCACTGTTAAACTGAAGGAGAGCTACAGCCATAATAACAGGGCACACAAGTTGTAGGTTTTACAATCAAATGTCAGGGGACCTTCTTTTGAGTGCCTGAATCATAGTGCATAAATCTTCCTCCCCCTCCTTCCCGGGCTGACATTCACAATGATGGGAACTGTTACTGACTGGGTCTTCCACAATGAGGTGTTCAATGGCCATCTATAATCTACTCTGAGTGATGAAACTGTCAAAAAATTTATGCCAGGGTGTTTTGGACCTAACAATTATTCAAAACACTTTAACGTTTTTCAGGTGTCATGAACTTAATACATGGTGTTAAAAGTACTTGACACAAAAAAAGCCATGTTCCTTATGTAAAACTTGACCCGTTGAATCTATTATTCTGCAAAGACCAAAACAGCAATAATAGTTTCTTGATCCTCTCCTCTTACATTCTAATTAACCTTTTTTCTGTTGGGTGTCTGAACTCTTACAATCTTGGCAAAGGTTTGAGCCAGCAGTAACATAAACAAGGTAAAAAACAAGGACAGGCTGCAAATGTTCAGGTATAAAACTTCAAAAACTGACGATTTTACTACTATTTACTTCATGAGCTTGTCCATAAAAAACAATAACGAGGGTGTTATTGATTCTTTGGGGGAATTTGGTGTTTTATTATTTCTACTCAATCATTCCTTTATGCTCATCCTTAAATTAATTGTTTACACTTTGTTTGAGCATTTATTACCGGAAATCTGACACGTCTTCTATAAAAACCATAATTTCTGCTGTTTTTGATAAAAAGACATGTAAACTAATAATAATTTTGATACTGCTTCCCTTGTAAGTAAAAGATGAACACATTTTATAGGTCATTCCGATACCTACGTACACATACATTGATTTTTTTTCTCTTTGATAAGAAATTCTGAATTTCCTGTGTTTTATCTAAAAAGTAGATATGAGAATCGTATAAATGAACAAGCCTATTAACTCTGAAATGTCAGAAAGAACTGGGGTGCCTGGAAATCTTTAAGCATCTTTTACGCATCAGTGAATTCTTCTATAGCTAACAGGTGGTTGGAACAGTACAGCACAAATGGAAAACATAACAGTGAAATATTGCTATCTGTTGACTACAATGAAGGAATTAACACAGCAAATTACTTGACTTCCCCCCCTCTTATACATTTGTACATATGGAAATCATATTCACAATGATTGCTGACTGCAGGCAGTTTCTTCTCTCAATCACTTCTTATTAATGAAAATGGATTACAGGCTAAATAATATATCACAGATTTATTTTAAGAGAAAGATAATTTACTTTGTCTAACCTATAAATCAAAATGGAGTGATTATTTTTGCAAAAATGAATGGTTCTTCCCTACTCCTTTTCTGCCTGGCACAAGCGTGGAATATTTCTGTCAGGTAAATCGTTATTTGTACTAGACAACACTGTGCAAGGAGTACAACTGCTATAGTATAACATATAAATAGAATTTTACCAATTTATTATCAATCAGATCAAAAGGTATTTATAGGTAATGCCCTAAAATGTCATTTTCTTTTCATAAAAGGAAATATGTGTCCAATCCCCTTAATACATGGTCAATGTATAATACATGTATGTTCCAAAAAAAAAAAACACACACACACAAAAGAAAAGAAAAGATGGCCTCATGGATATGAATTTTCAAAAAGTCCAATTACTATATGTTGCCAAAAATGCATATAAATTGTGACTGGTATTTAAAATAACCCCCCCCCCCCCCTACCCTTTCCACATACATACACATTATAATTCTCTAAAGTTTTCTTTAACTAGAAAGCATATCAAACAAACTGCAAACTTAAATAAAGAAATGTGCTTTAAGGATACAAATAACCCTTGCTGCTCAAGTACTGGGAGTGAATTTAATGCTGGTTAAGGGAAACAAAGGTCAGTTTGCAGTAAACTTTTTGTCTTGTTTAATTTTTTTTCAAGAGCCAAAGGAATTTATTTGTACAAGAGTAAAAGGATGATTCATCCGACCTGGAACAAATTCAGGTTATTTTGGGAAAGTTGGATGACCTTACAATTAATATCTCTGTGAAATTAACATTCTAATCAAGATTGTTTGAATAGGTATTTTCCCCCCAATTTAAAAAGATGCAATTCATCACTGCCTTTCACCATGCATTTGCAGCAAACCTTTATGAAAATTTAAAAGCATGTTGATTAAAAAATAACTTAATATTGGCTTACTTTTTATATTCTGGTTAAATTTCTCTCCTTGTGTATGAATTGCTTCACAAATAAAATTCTGAGGAGCTGTCAACAGCATGTTTCAAAATATCTCCAATTGCAATATGATAGCACCAGGTTGATGAAGAGGAGAGGTAACTGAATAAGTGAACCAGTTTAACCTGTGGCAATCTGATATTAAGTTTCTGACCCTCCGTTTTTAACCTTGATAAGGTTGACATCTTTTAATGAGAATAAAGTACTGAAGCTCTTTAAAAATAGTGACATGGTCTCCTTTCTAACCAAAATATTTGTGGTTGAACGGTCTGCGATTTGATGTCCCTGTGAACATGGGTGTGTTCTTGTCATGAATTTGACAGAAAATGTCTTGGTCTTAAAATCTCGGGTGATAAGAATCTTGCAGTGAAATTATTTTAATGACAGTTTGTAAAAAAATATCTATGTACTTAACATCTATAAATGACAATTTGGATAATGTGTGGGAGACATTACTGATATTCAAACCATCCCAGCCAATTAAAAATCAGCCAGAAACGTAAATTGGTTTTTTTTTTTAAAACATGGGTCCTGAATTATAAAGGTACAGACCTTCAGTCTTCTTCTCAGTAATTCTCTTTTAAATTACATTTTGCTTTTTTAAAACATTTGATTTCCTTATAAAATAAAAAATAATATATCAGTGTCGTCAATCTCTCTCAACACGTCTAGAAAAAAGTGTTAATGTAACAGTTTATTACAAATAATAAACACCAGTTTTATAACAACCATTATGAAACTTAATTTTTAAAATGTAATGAAGTGAACACAAATAAGCCATTTAGCTTCCACAGACATATGGACTTTTATTTTTTTTGTCCTTTGTAGAAATTCCTTCAAAACCAGGACACAGAGAAATTACAATTGATCCATTCTGCCTTTGACCTTAGAAAATGACGAAGACATTGAACTCTAATTTAACTAAATCAAATCTCAGGCGTGCTGCTGGGATTTAGGGAAATGATTGAGAACATAATTCATAACTAGGTCTTTAACAAGCACTGACCTCATTTATAAACTTACGAGGTTTTGTTTTGTAGGTCACAAAGAACAAGGTTATATTTCTTTGAATCCTTTATATACAATGTAAGCATCTCTTTGATTAACATCAGACATTGGTGATCCAAACTGTAACAAGACTTATCACTCTAAGATCAATAGTATATGCTTTTATTCTGCTATGATCTCAATGGTTTCTCTTGAAAGATGAAAGCCAAAGTCAAAATAAACATGTAGTAGCTCTTGAATTTGAATATAAACTTTCAAAAACAAGCAAGTTACCCAAACAGACATGACAATGCAGTAACCAATATTAAAGATGCTCCGAGAAGATAACGTAGAGGTTAAAAGCTGCAATTTGAACTATTTGGAAATTAACATTAAACTTTCAACAATATTCCCTTAAAATAAGGAGTGCAGACTCCTAATAAGTAAGGTTTAACTGCACTGAGTTGAATATACACTGTTCGATTATTCATTGCACTTATACATTTATACCAAAGTTGTTCACTTAAGAAATGAATTTAATTTTTGAGAATTTATGAGGACATGCACTACGACATTTCACATCGGCATATTTCATGAAGCGCGTTAGCGCTAAATGATAAATATGCCGGCGTGAAGCATTCTAGTTAATGTACCTCAGCAATTCTCAAAAATTAAATTCATATCTTATATTTCCATTATTTTTCTGATGACTTGCCACATATTTTTGTCATTCAACGATAATTTTTGAAAAATAAAGTTTGCACTATTTTTTGACTTCAATTACGTCAAATATTCTTACTCATCCAACGGTAGTTTATGAGAACATGAACTTTTTCTAATTTGAAGAATCTTAAGGAAAAAAATCTGGAAATGTAAATATTATATTTTAAACAATTGTATGTTAAATGAAATACTCAGGTTGTATTTTGTGTTGAAATAGGACAGTTGAATTGTTTGTAAATTAATTAACACTGACAATTTTGAACTATATGTAAACTGATTTATTTAGATTGTACTGTAATTTGATGTCTGTATGCTTTACTCTTATGGTTTACTGTAAAATCACGTATTTTCAAGGGGTCAAATTTTCATGTCTTGAGGAAAAAAACATGGGTTCATGAGGATTTGATTTTGTGGATGAAGAATTATTGAGTAGTAATATATGCGGAAAAATACATTTTGTTGTGGACATAAATTTGTGGGTCTCTTTATACTTCGAAAATTAACCCCCCACAAAAATTAGTGATTTCACAGTAGCTGCTCTTGAGATAGATCTGTAATTGTTCAAACACTGCCTATATATATGAATTGATATTTCTATGTACTATACCTTTCAGTATCTGTTTTAGATCTTTGGCAGCTCTTGAGGTAGTGTATGAGTTGACTATGTCTAATGCTGTCTGGTCATAAGAATTCGCCTTGTTGACATCTATACCACACTACAATTAAAGACAATTATAGGATTAACTACCTCAACAGCACCATAAACTTTAAGTCATATGAACTTGTACTTTCATCTACATGTATACCAGTAATTTTTTTAAATAAATTTAAAGTCGGATATATTTGATTGACAAATTATATCATCTTCCATTGCTGGGTGAATCTTCGAATGGATAATAATGTATCTGCATGTTAAAACCTTTAATTGTATCAAGTTCTAGAGAATATGAAAGGAATATGATAATTCATGAGAAACATTTATACATTTGTTATACATATAGCATTCTATTATGATTCATATGTTTTGAAGAAAGAGAAAAATTAACTTTTTGTTATCTGTACAATTCTTATACAGGGTGGAGTACGAATCTGTGGCTTATTATATATAATCTTACAGACATAAACGTTTATTACATAACAAGTAGGTGGCATTATCTGGGTTATAAAGGATGAGGTGAATTTACCTATCAAATCTGTCTTCCTCCCATTTTAAATGAATATCATCATGCATTATGGATCATAAAGTACCATTTTAATCTGTTCACAACCATTATGGAGAATGCCAACGCTAACAATAATATATTCACATCACAAACACACAGACGCAATAAACGTTCCTTGTCACAACACTTAATTGTAAACACTTCAAATATGGCATATAAATATTCTTTTTTTCCTTATTGAGCAAAAAAAAAATATTTAAAAGCAAAAAATTATGATACAACGACAAAAACAATGATTAGTCATACCTTTGCCTTGGAAAATGAAAATAACAGATAAATATTGTCATATTATTTTCATTGTACTTGAATTTTATATATGTATGTATATCATCATTTCATTTCAAAATAATACCTTGTACATCTCTCATGGTTTCCAGCTAACACAGATTGTGAGGTCAAACATCAACTAAAGATTCTTAACACAAAATAACTGGAAGACAATCCGACTTAGGCAAATTCCATCCAAATTATCCAAGCTAATTAGAATGAGATGAAAGTTCCAAAACTCTTTAAGAATTTCTCTTGATAACCAACTTTTTTCACCAAAATTTCAAACTTACATTCTGCAAGGCATGGATATTCCCAATGGTCAGGCCCTGCACATTCCCTTCACTTTTACACCGTTTAATTCTGGGGCGAGGTGATTTGGGATAATTCATTGTAATGCATCCAAGAATACAAATGGCTATTCACTGGTCAATAAAAAAAGGTAGCCCCATCTACCACACAGTGAGCATATCAATGCTCGGGAAACTGGGCACATTATCATCAGATCATCAGGAGGTACTAAGAGAAAAATGGCAGAGATTTTGGCCATGTGCCTCCGATACTTATACCTTGTCATAGTACCAAAGGGATTCCTCTGACATCCCCTCATCACTGTCACAAATGATTGGAAGACCCCTACCTGTACATCCAAAAATAAGTTCCAAGGTCTAGAAGTGGGTCCTACTTTATAACACAATTACCTGCTCCTGCAGATTTACAAATCTATAGAACTGCAGCAATAAAATTATCACCAATTTTCTTTTCCTTGTTGAATTCCATTGATTAGTTTTCTTTATTGATCCTTAAAGATGCTTATATTTTATGCCTTTTGAACATTCAGACAAAAAAGATGTCTGAGCTAATAATGCCAAATATAAACCCTTTTTAATGACATGTGTCTCTTACAATAATAAGTATTGAATCCACGGTAAAAATTTAACCCCAGAAAAAAAAAATGATCAAAGCATTCATTAAGTTTGAAATATACCTGTATAAAGATAATCCAATTTCAATTTTCCCCCAAAACAAAATTTGCTTTTAAACTTTTTCTCAGTGTGATGGTATCATAAATATAAAGAATATAAAGGATGGAGAAGCTGTTATTGAAGCTAGATTTATCACCTATCTTAAGGTACAGCTAACAATCAACCCATCTCCTGGGTCCATGCCCACATAACCTGCTTTATGATTGGCCAAAAATCAATACATATCATAATAATCAATAATAATCCCCCCATAAAACAGAGCGCCTGCTTATCTTCTACATCAGGAAATACATAAAGAAGTTCTGAGATATTTCACCAATCTTACAGATATTGAGGCTGTACAGAGTTTTGTACAGGAGATAAAGTATACCTAGTAGAGCCAATAGAAGCAAAGAGGTTTCCAAATTTATGCCTTATTTCACATCTAAAGTATCTAGCTGTACATTCTACAAGAGGTGGACAAGATTGGTAGATGAGAACTGATATCAATCTTGATATAGAAAGATGTTATAGGCAGGAAAATAATTCTACTGGTACATACTTACATGTTAATCAAACAGTACACAGATTAGCAGAACATGTTTTGTACCAATAAACATAAACGTAAGGGGTAACATACAAGGACTAGAGAACTAGAGAATATTTTACAGAAGGAACAGAGAGACAGAGATATGTTGACAACTAAATTACACTGACAACAATAGACAGAAATTACAGGGACAACTAAAATATATTTAACTAACAACTAAAGAGAAAAAAATCTAAAAAATAAAATTGATAAGTATAGACAGAAATGCATGTAACACAGATAACTAAAAATAGATTTAACAGACAACTAAAGGTAATCTTACAGATATTGCACTGACAACTAGAAACATATATTACATTGACAACTAGTGACAAATATCACATTGATAACTGGAGACAGATATTACATTGACAACTAGTGACAGATATTACACTGACAACTAGAGACAGATATTACACTGACAGATATTACACTGACAACTAGAGACAGATATTACACTGACAACTACAGACAGATATCACACTGACAACTAGAGACAGATATCAAATTGATGACTGGAGACAGATGTTACACTGACAACTAGAGACAGACATCACATTGACACATATTATATTAACAACTAAAGACAGATATCATACTGACAACTTAAGACAGATATCACACTGACAACTAAAGACAGATATCACACTGACAACTAGAGACAAATATCACATTGACAACTACAGGCAAATATAACATTGACAACTAGACACAAATATTACAACTAGAGAAACTCATAACATTGACAAATAGAGAATGATAATATATCAACAACAAGACACAGATATTACACTGACAACTATAGACAGGTGACACATTGACAACTAGAAACAGATATAAAATAGACAAATAGAGAAAGATATTACATCAACAACTAGAGACAGGTAATACACCGACAACTCTATGCAGATATCACATTGGAAACTATAGACAGGTATTACACTGACAACTAGAGACAAATATTACCACTAGAGAAACACATAACATTGACAAATAGAGAATGATAATATATCAACAACAAGACACAGATATTACAATGACAACTAAACCACATATTACACTGGTGACTAGAGACAACATTGACAACTAGAAACAGATATCATAATCACAATTAGAGACAGACACCACATTAACAATGCAGACAGATATTACATCAACAATTACAGACAAACCTAGAGACATATATTAAAATAACAATTAAGAATACTGAGAGATAATTCACTGAGAGCTTGAGAGAAATATTGCATAGATAATTACACTACAAGATTAGAGCAAAAGGTACTGATAGCTAGCAAAAAGGCATTGAAAACTCTGATATTCAGAACAGTAGATATATCTGTTAGATCAAGCATTCATTCAAAATAGAAATACAAATGCACCTACATATTATACATTTTTACTGACACTTTGATTATGTATGCCAACAACAAATCAACACCAATGGTCAACCACAACATTTCTATTGCACAAATTCAAATACTGATGACTCAAAAGGAGGTAAAAAAGATGTATTGTGACCTTGAGAATGTCCTTCAAACTTTGGAGATCTTGTGTTTTTGTGGGAGGGCGTGTTTATGTATTGAACATGTTATCTGTTTTTTTATAAAGACAAATTGTCTGCCTCCAGCTGTGTAAACCATCACTTTACTGATGTTCTCAAACATTTATACAAAAAGTTCACCAGGGAAATGAAGACCCTCTCTTCCTATCTTTTTCATGGCCATTATGAAAAATTACAAAACCATGATTTTTGATATTAACATCTTTTTAAAATTCAAATCATTATATAAAGGTGTGAATGCAATAATCAAAAGATATATCTCCAAGGAAATAAAGATTTTACAAAATATTTAATTATATTTGTTGGCAAGTCATTTTTTGTGCAAATTTCAGACTGTGCACACTTCAGTTAAAAGTCAAAATAAAGGAAGAAATTCTTTTTATCTAATTTGATGCTCTCCTTATATTTGTATGTAACATAAGATAATGGGTTTCAGCACAGACTAGACTTCTTCTCTGACCTTGACACTTTTTGCTGACACTAGATTATACATTGTTCCCTAAATGCTATCATCTAGATTTACTTACATCTAATAAAAGTCGTACAACTTCTATTTTTCCGCAGAGAGCAGCTTCATGGAGTGATGTTCCCTTCAGTGTACTTCTATTGATGTTAACACCTGCTTGTAGCAGAAGTCTACAATATAATGTCATATAGAAATACAAATACAGTTGAACTTCAGTATCTCAAACATTGCTATCTAGAATACTAGGGATATGTCGAAATGATTTGAAAGTCCCAACCACTTATTCTTTAAGTATTTTACCCCGATATCTCAAATCCTCCGATATCTGTAAGTTTCTTTCTTGGTCCCATCAAGTTTGAGATAACAAGATTTGACTGTATAAAATTTATTTAGAATTTGTGATTTTCTATTAGAGCAAGATTGATAATTTCACTGATATGATTTTTAAGGCATTTAAGAGTTAAATTAAAATTTACAATATACTGGGGTAGCACAATGTAAAATTTTAAAAATATATATATAGTACAAAGAGTAACCTAATAATAGTAGACAAGAGATGATAACAGGGACCACAAGTCAAACACTTGACCTAACCTATTGCCATCAACTTACAGCCTCAGACAACAATGTAGTCTCTGGTCTGACAAAAATATCATTTTTATTTTGACATCTACTTGAAACTATTGTAAAGCAGATTTCACTTTATCTCAAGTCTAATATTGGAGTTTTTACCTTCATTATTTCAACTGTACAGACCTACATGAAGCTGTCTACAAAAAAACCCTACAAATTTCCAGAAATTTCACAATAAAACAGTCATGTTGGCTGTAAAACTTGAAACCCTCTGTCATCCCTTCCAACCCTGTGTAATCTCCAGTCATGTAAGCTGCTGTTATTGTTTAATAAAAACTTATTAGTGAGAGCACACAGCTTACATTTTTATTTCTATAGGAGAAAAAATAAATTGCTTGGTAAAATATTTATGTAACATCAATACTTTTTTGTACAATTAATTTATGTTTTTCCAGTATTTTTACTTTAGCTAAGATAACACACATCTCTTATTTCTGGTTTTGAACTTTATATTTTATAATGACTGTTTCAGCATACGCTTCATTTTTTTCACCTCTTTGGTAAATATTATACATTTATTGACTGGGTTTGAGGGCAACATGCGTTTTGTTGGACCCAAGAACCAAACTGTTTGCCTGAGGCTGTTAGGCCGAAAACAAACAGTTTGGTTCGAGGGGTCTACAAAACGCATTTTGCCAGAGAATACAGTCAATAAATGTTTTGTTTACCTTTTATTTTTTTGACATACATGTATCTTGTGCTGGCTTCCATGATGTAAATTTCCTTTACCTGCACTAAAACTCGATCAGTTTTGTCACTGTCGAACACCAACAAATGCAAATAACATTTAGCTAATCCCGCCCCCAGTGTGATGTAAGCGGTCCAATATCTCATCAACAGGTCCAATATTTCACACTGCGGTCAAACATCGAATTTTTTATGACCGCTCAGTAAAACATTGGAAATTTTAGACTTCTTTTTAGTATAGATTTAAATAGGAACCAATTTTTAAAGGTATAACAATATGAATTGCTTTAAATTTTCTGTCAGTGACAGTGTCAGTTAAACAAGTTGTTCATTTATGCATTTAGCAAACAATCTCATTGTACCCTATCATATCTGACTGATGTACAGATGTACATGTGCAAGTATTATCATTTTAAACATTTTGAATTTATATATACAATGTATTATTGTGTCCATTTTACTAGTATAGTAAATGTATATGTATATTTACCGTATAATTTCAATGTGTCCATTTTTAGCGGCCAGATGTAGGGGAGTGGTCCCGTTTTCATCTACAAGATCTTCAGGGCTATCCATCAATAGTGAGGCACACAGATTACTCCGGAGCAACAAGTCTACAACCTACAACATGGGAGGTCAAATTATACCAACTCTAAATATGTCTTATTTCTAATGTCAAGAATTTCTCCAATCAAAAGAAATCGATCTGCAGTTTTTGATTTCTTAAAAGAACATAATTATGATATCTAACAAATACTGTGTCATATCATGAGGATTTTTGACAAAAAATAATTTGATTGCATGCTTTACAAATTGTTTGAAATATTCTGAAGACCTGAACTTTATTACTGGGAAATCACCGATACAAAGTAGATGAAATGACTAGTCTACCAATATGCTGCAGATAATCAGTGGTCAAAGGGTGATAACTTCACAAAATGTGAAACTTAAATAAAATCAAAGATAAATGAATTTTTATGACAGTAAAAAGTGACAAGTAATTCCCTACCCTGTATCTTCCGAATTCACAGGCAAGGTCTAGTGGAGTTTTCTTGTCCTTATTTTGCATGGTGGGAGAGGAGTTGTGAAGTACCAAAAGATTCACCTGTATAAACAAGAAAACAAGAGTTATCTCTCTTTACATTATTTTGCATCTCTCAGAATTTCTGTTTAATGTTATAATAAATTGAAATTCTACAAATGATTAAAACACATTTCAAAATAAATACTTTAAAAAAATCATATTGTCTATTTTAAATTAATAATCAGAGCTTGATTTAGAATACTGCGCATGCATCTTTACGAAGCTTCAGTTTCTGAACCATTATCTCAAAAAAGAAATTCTTCGGTATGAATACGATACAGGACTGTGAGCTTAGTCAATGTATTTGTAACATGTGGACGTGATCTATGAATGAGCTCTGAATGACACTTAATACACAACTGGGTATTTGTCCCCTCTTTCACTTCATCTATAATCACTGCAACAAAGGACCATCTTTAGCAGAGATAAGTGAACTCCGATTACACACCTCTGGTTATTGTCTCTGAAATACCTGTGCTCGCTCAGGTACAAAATTAGGTCAACAGTCCCTAACTCACCTAAATCGCTAGAATAATAATTTTTATTCTATAACAAAACAATAACACCAACACATTTTTTTCTGCTGATTTAGCACAGACTTGTCTCGGAGTGTCAGGTATAAACAGTTTAAAAACACACCTGAATAGGCTACTGTGTAAAATACAGAAGTAAAATTTCTTGTTTTTTTGTGTCAATGTTTTCAAAGAAATATGCTATAATAGACATACATAAAAAAGATGTTACATTTGTTTCATTAATGAAGAATTGTACAGATCTATAATCGTTACTCAGGGATTATTACAATTCTTGTTATCTCCTGTGTTGTAAAGTCAATGTAATAACTGAATTCTGTTACTACTATCTCAGTTGTTTTGTTACCTTTTATTATTGATCACAAAAGAACAAAATTGACATTGACCAATTATCTCTTTTACAAGTTGACACAAAGCCGTGTACAAAAGCAGAGTCTGTGGGTAGTCTTTATGTACCCATCCCAGAAGGAGGAACTGACAATGTGAGAGGGGACAGATGTCCATGGTTTTTGCATCTTTTGGTGTACTTGAAACAGTAGAATATGTGTCATGACATAAACAGTTTCTCCTCTTTACACCACAAGTTCTCTACGCGGACTGGTACCCCAGCGAATCACTGAATCGTAGAACCGATTCAGCCTTGATCAAATGATTTACTATCTTAGGATTTCAACCCCTGGTGGCAAAAAATTTGATCGATTGCATTATTTGGTTTACTATCAGTATTTAATACAACATTTGATATCCTGTCATTAAAATGATTTAGGTTCAACATAGAGAATGGGGAGTTTGTTAGAAAACAATTCCAGCTTATGGTACAAAAACCTTACCTAAAACGAAGATTTAAAAAAAAAAATGCTTTGTGAATTGTACGTTGTACATCATATTTAAAAGAGCTTGTCTGATGACTTATAATATAAATTTACTATTAAATAATTATGTAATACCATACAATTTTTTTTTAAAAAGACATGACCCATTAAATATCTTTTTCAAAATGCTGTTTTCAAAAAGACTTTCAGATATTATATAAAACCAAGGCTAAAAAAATTAGTATGACACATCATATTTGGCAAATGCAGACTGAAACTACCATTCCTATAAATATCTAATAGTGCCCATACTTCTTTCCCTCTGAAAGTTAATATTTACATGTCTTATGTACTTAAAATGGGCTGAACAGTTGTACAAAGATCTCAAACTTATCGGGTATCAATATAACAAAAGATTGATTGAAATCTACTTTGAAAGAATGGCAAAAGGTCACAGGCGGAAACCAGGACGAAGAATTTTCTCTTTCTGCGGGACTGAGCGTATCGAAGACTAGAGACGTTTGTATCATCCTTTCCGTAATCTCTTTGAAATCTTTTACATAGAAAGTTTGAAGGGTGTATCGCCATATGAAGTTTTTGTTAGCTATACCTTGCATAGACACAGAGAATTGTTAAGCTTCAAAGCAAATACATTTTCATTTCTGCTATGACTTGTAAATATGACTTGTGTGACAGAGGTTAACCATAACTGGTGACTGCTCATTTTGAAGTACTATCTAATACCAAACAGAACAAAACCTGCAGAATATTCCATATCAATCATTCTCTTATCATTTGGTATTATTTATCAATTGAAATTCAAGTGGATTTGTGAAAGATTGAAATCAAAATGTACTTTACATTTCTATACGGATTCAATTTATACACCAGAAATAGCCATTTAATAATTACACCCACTCCCTTTTTTCTCACCACAAAAAGGAAAATCCCTCAGAGCAAATATTTGTTGTTCTACAAACTTCTTAAACCGTTTTAATCCCATACATTTATAATGGCCAAGAATGACCAAAATTGTTCTGAACATTATACTTGAGCATCATTGCATACCATAACCTATAGAAAGAGTTGTATGTTCTAAACTTATTTTTTCCCTAGACTAAATAACTAGAAATAATTCAACATATATTTCTAGTCCAATTTTTATGTTACGCTCAAATAATTTCATTTGAAGAGGGATGGTTTTTAAAAGAGGAATACCTACACAACTCTAAAAACATTTTTGTTAAGCTAAAATCTGTTTCCTTTTTCATGTGTGTGATTTTCTTGACCTGATTTTGTGGTGATTTTATTTAAAAAAAAAATGGTGTTGATTAGAATTTTTGGTAAAATTTTGTCAAAAATGAGTTTTATTTTATTGAACAAAATTTTATCCCTAATATATGTTTCTGCTTCTATGTTTTTTAGGTACTATACACACTCTCACATTTAAGAATAATCAGTATCTCTAGAGATACCACTGCATCAACGCTTAACTTACCACATCAAAATGTCCATGCTGACAGGCCAGGTGTAGGGGGGTGTTTCCATCCTGGGAGACCTCGTTTACTGGGGATTTCCACTGGAGGAGGGTGTGGACAGGATCGGACATTCCCTGCCATGCCGCATAGTGGAGTGCTAACATACCTATAAAATATGTGTACTCATAAAAGATCAAAATGATAACAGTAATTAAAAACAAAAGATCCATGGATAATAATTATTTCATAGGTCACCTTTCTCTCCCTGATAAATAAATATGTATATTATGAAATCTCTATTACAGTCATCAATTATCAAATTCCATGATTTCACCAATTTTACTTCACAGTATAATAGGGCTTGATGTCAAGTTTACAAATTGTGGTCATCTTTTCTTCAGAAGTTTATACATAATCTGACCCCCTATTGCTGCCCCACCCCAGCCCAGGGGATAAGATTTGAACAAATTTGAATTTACACTATTTAATGATGCTCTTATTTAAAACGACACACACTGTGTCCCAAATCTTGTCTTTCTTAGTTCAAAGGTTCTTCAGATGAAGAAGAAAATTACAGCAAAGAATCAGTACTACTGGTCTCTGTTTGTGATATTCAGACTCAGACAGCACGGCTTTCAAATAAAAATTAAATTGTATACTATTTTATGTGACCTGTCTCTGATTTATTGATACTGGCAGTAGACTATGGTCATGTAAGGACAGGGCCAGGTATTTCAAGGCTTATTCCACTTTAATCCTGGCACATAATCTTTCAATACACCCTTACAAGACTGCCATTCAAACATTCAATCTTTGTTTTACATGGCTACAGATTACAATCAATACTGTATATCTACAATGACCTTCATATCTATTATACAGGATTACAAATATAAAACCCACCCAATTCAAGCTAATTTTCAATGGAATCATGTCATATTCATAACTTAAGACCGGAGAGGAATGCTAAGTGCGGGATCAGAGGGGGCTCGGACAATAGTTACAGAATTAAAGTTGTAGAAAGTATTATACACACTATTACACACTTTCTCATGATAAAATGAATCATTCAGTTACGACTAGGCCCTCAGGAATACCCTAAGTTTGACTTCATTAAAACTGGCCCTTATGAATACCTATGGCTTAGCTCCATTGTGCTTGCCATTGGGTAAATATAAAGTACATGAATCATGGTTTACAAGGCTTTTATTTTATCTACATACAATCATTAATTCTTACACACCTCAGGAAAAACTTCCATCTTTCATATTTGTAAAACAAGATCAAAAACATGTTTGAAAACATTTTTTTTTAGTTCGTATTTTCAATTCATTTTATCAGCTGCCTCTGGTATAACCATAGCAGGCAGACTTTAAGGTGTTAATACATGTAATTAAGTACATACATAAATACACATATTGAAGTCCACACAATGCAGGAGATAATTAACAGCAAACTTCTCTCAACCCATTAACAATCACAACTTAATTTTGTAACTTTTCCTTTTCATATAGTAGGTGAAGTTGTGATGTTTATATCTCCCTGAGAAAAGAGACCATATGTATATTTATAGGCCGAGACATATTTATGTTAGTTTTAACGTCTTTTGTCGAGGTGCTTGGTCGGCAGGGAAAAGAAACCTACATGCTAAAAGCTTTTTACAAGCACATAAACATGGGAATTTCGGCACAATTACATATCCAGCATGAATCATTTAAACTTTCCGTTTTTATATGGTGATGAGGTGTTCCATTGTCATCAGTGTAAATATAAAAACATGCTGTCATTCCAGTAACATAATTAACAACTGTCATTAAATTTCTAAATAGATATCTCTTTTTTACGTGCATGTCCTCAGTTCTGTTTAATTTTCTACTATTATCAAATGTGAATCATCGTTTTCTGACCATTTAGGTACATAGATAATCAGACTGGTTTAATGCACATCCACATGATGTTTCCGTCAATGTTAAACCTTCATTCCCTTGACCCATTGATCTGCGTACAGACAATATCTCTTCTGAAGGTTATTTTATGGCCCTTACATTTGTCAAAAAAATACAAATTCTCCTGGTAATTAATGACCCACTACATTGATTCCTGTGAAGAGAGGAATGATTTTTTAAAAATTTATATACATTGCAAATATGCCCTTAGTCTGTTCCTTTCACAAATTTTGACCCCACAACTACATACACCTGGTTCAAATTAACCCATATACTGCATAAATTTTAAAAGAATTTTGTTTTTTATTGATGCAAAAAAGAGATATACTTCATGTAATTTTTTTTAATATCTTGTTTAACAATTATGAGGTCAGATTAACAATCTTTGAGTAATGAGTGAAGTTGCACCATTTTTTCCCCCTTTGTTTTGGCTTTGACACAGGAGTGTACTCAATAAAAATGCTCCATAGATCATGAATCTTGTCATGTCTGATCAAATTTCACATTTCCTTTTTCATTTGTAAGAATATCCAGTTGAATTTCAATAGCAGGGATTAGTCTGGTTTTGTGGAAGGTGTGCCCTAAGACACTGACAAAGCTATATGACAGTTGGCTTGATGTTTTAATCTCTCTCCTATGACCATGATGACAAAACTAAACTCATTCACAATAGTGCATTTCTGATTTCAATCAATTGTTAAAAAAATAAATAAATTCCTTAATAATGATTTTGCCACAGCTTTTCTTCAAGTGGGAATAAAAAAGCATGATATATTGCATCATTATTCATCGATTCTGAGTTTTTGTTCAAAATTGCAATAACTGTGTGAAGACAATTTAAGATGCATCAATGAATTTTCTCATTTTTTCCCCTTTAAAACAGGGGTAAAAAACAGGTACATGTGTATTGACACAATGGCAGTGTTGCCAAATCAGGGTAGAGCTTTTTTGAGGAGATAACATCACAAAATATTTAGTCTGTTTAACATTACAACATAGGCACTGACCCTGGACATCTTTATCTCTTCTCAAACACCGACAAAAAAATGTGGACACATGAATCAATAGCATTCAATCAGTGTTCCAAACAAAGAGTCGGCATTCCTGTGATTCCGAAGAAACTCTATTAACCCTCTTAAAAAAATCTCAACTCGAGCAAAACATGAAGGTTAAATAACAAAGAGTCTAACGCACTTTGCAGCAAGGCTCTGTTCTTCTCTCAGCAAGACACTGCAGTATCATAGTCTAAAATAGGTGTAATGTTTAGGTTTGCACCTTGATGTGAAAGTGCAAGGAGTGAAAACTCCACCCAACTTCATATTTTTGTAATTTTTTTTTAATGTCCGCATTTTTCTGTCTCCAACAAGATAAACCTTCTTGTCTTTCAATAAAGAAGTCATGAGTTATAGGAGAAAAATTGTGTAGGTATTGAATTTAAGATTGTCTCCATCATTCTTAAAAATATAGTTAAACTGGGTTACAAGTAAGTCACTGGAACCTCATATTTCGCTTCCTTTTAACTGAGATTCTTTACATCAATATAAAAAATATAGTGAAAAGTCTTCTAAGGTGTTCCTAAAAAATCGTTATAACCAAGATTTCCTTATCAGCAAGTTCTTTTTAACCAAGATTTACTGTACTCTTATACCAAGTTTAAAGCAACGTCATGAGAAAGTGATCCTCAATGCTCTGTAGGTGATCTCCACTGTAGACATAATGAAATGAAAGTCTAAACTTTATGGTCTACAACTATTTAAAATGTGTTTACTTTAAAAATACCAACAAGCACTTAATTTTTTTTCTCCACTTGAAAACCTATTATGTAATGTTCAATCCCCTGTGTCCCACCATGGAGATTATTTATCTATCTAACCTTGAAGGGAAAAAAAAAGACTTCATTTCTATTCATGAGGATTACCAAGGACATAGAAACTTTAAAACATGAAACTCAGATCCTTCACACAATCTTCATTGAACCAAACAACCCCCTTTCAGTTCTAGTAATTATTTGCTATGTACTTCTGAATTCCTTTCAACGTATTCTTACAGTCATAAACATAACAAAAAACAACCACAAACCATGCATTTATATGTGCATAACTTTTCCCCCTCATATAAAAATCAGCCCATATTTTTTTTTTGGCAGCAGGTACCGTTCTTATTTTCCTATTTGTTCTGGGTTCCTTCATTTTTTGCTGGGTGTTTTACCATTTCTTTTAACTTCAGTTCTGCGATTCTCCTTAAGTTTCGATAATTACCAGACATTATATGCTTCTTGAGTGATTTTGTTTTTACTTTGCACATAACTGCATGTGTGGCACTGACAAGTGTTCTTCTTGCCATCAAGTTTTCAGCTTCACCCTTTATAATGGCAGTCAACTGTGCATCTTATCTTTACAGGATTTACTGACAAATCTTTGTTACAGCCTTAATTGTTACCCAAAAACCAGCAGCATCTGTTTTTAAGCCATTATTCATTTTGAAGATCCCCTCGACTAATCTCCGAGCCAGAATGATGTTCTCATTTATTCAGATGAGGATTAATGTTCTCACAAGTCTGCTTGTAAATATTAAAAGCTCATCTGATGAATCACAAAAGTTACATTACATTAAAATACTTGGTAGACAATTTACAGGTCTTGAAATCTTCTTTTACTAAATATAAACAATGTATCTTCGTGGATTGTAAGGGACATTAGACAATCATGTTAAAGTAACTCAGACTCCATTTCTAGTTCCCGACCCACCACACTTCATCTTCTACGAGGGTATAAAATAAAAATTTAACTGTACAGGAGGCACTAAAATGATGTCTGAATAGCGTTCTTGGTCTCGTTTGCTAATTTTTGGACTTCTTAAATGTTTTAATATACACTATAGCTTGTAATGCTATTCCCTCACTTCAGTCATATGTTTGGTTACATGTTCAAATCTTTTTAGTTCACTTGTAAAATATCAATTTGTATTGTATTATGTCTCAATAGTCAACAAATATTGACTGTCAATGGCATTATTGCTATTGGTTGGACATCAATTATGGTAAATATGACAAATAGGTGTAGACGTAAGTCTATCGTCACCAATCCATCGTTTATCAGTCTTACCTTTATTGTCATGGATACTGACGTCGGCGTGACACTCCAGCAACATTTGCATCATCTCAACATTCCCCATTAAGGAGGCCTGGTGCAGAGCTGACATTCTACAAAAACAAGGATCAGCACAGATTGTCAAACGCATCAAACTATTATTGATGTTAGCATGGCAAAAAAAAAAAATTCAATAATAAACATCAATGTGTATATGTATGTACAATGATTTTACAAAATGCAGAAAAGCTTTAAAAATTTAAAATTAGATGTGTCAGTGTGACAAGAATGCCCCCGCTGACATGCAAGTTTCAAATATTTGAAAGTCCAAGAGTGTGAAAATAATAGTGGGTAGTCAAGTGTTACAAAAATAGAATATCATATTGCTACATTTATTTTCTGGAATCAATCATCCATACAATATACTTATGCTGCATAAAATGGTGATCACCTACAACCAAAGCAATTAAAAAAGCCAACAACAGTGAATGATTAGAAATTTTCAAATTCAAAGGGTCATAACTTTCATAAAAGTGGGTCAATCAACATGAAACTCAAACTTGATTAGTAAGTCATTAATATCAAGAGACATACTAAATATCATTATCTATAAGCATAGCCAATAAAGTCTGGAAAACAGAAATTTTTAAAGGCTAAGGGCCATAACTTTCATCAAAATGGGTCACAAAACGCAAACTTGATCTGTAAGTCATCAATATCAAGAGACATCATACCAAAAATCAACTCATTTTCTACAAGTATAGCAAAAAAAAGTTCGGAAAACATTGATCATGTTGATTATAAGAAATTTTCAAAACCTGGGCCATAACTTTTGTAAAATAATTCAATCATCACGTAACTTGAACTTGATCTGTAAGTCATCAATATCAAGGAATATACTAAAAATCAGCTCACTGTCTACAGCATACCAAAATTAAGTCTGGAAAACTATGATGGATGACGGAGTGACGGACAGAAAGGGGCAACATTATATGCCCTGGCCATTTCATGGTGGGGCTTAATGAAATCTTAAATATGCTGTTATGAGAGACTGCTTCTTGCAATGTTTCTTCTGTGGCTACATTTTAAAATTGAATCAAATACTTCTACTACATTTTCAAAAAGAACAATGATAGGAAATATAACTACAAGTATAATTTTTCCTAAGTGTTGGTTACAAATTGTAGCATTTTTGTACCTTTTCAGCCTTTTCTATCAACTTAACTTCATCCAAAGTAAATGCTGGTGTACTGTGTAACTCTTCAATATAACACCATGCAGTGGTCAAGACATGTTCAGCTATTCATGAGATTTTCCCTCCAAATTGATTTTTAATCTAGAGATTGTATTTGGACCCGACTTCCTATGGCCTCTTAAGACAAACTCTCTCAGGATCAGAATTAGATTCCTCCATTAATCTCTAATTCGTGACCTTTTCACTCTTGTCTGACCCTATCTTCAGAACTTCATTTCAACCTCAATATCTCAACATTGTGGTCTAGATTCAGTTTTTTGCTATATTTGAATTTGGACTTTCTAACTGGTGAATTAAGAGCCCTTCTTTTTCAATATTTAGAAATGTACAGTTAGAACTGGAGAACCAACTAACTATGACTGTCTTTGAAGTTCAATTATTATTTAATCTAAAAAAAGTCCCTAAAACTTAACAATCACAGGAGTTGCCAAATTATGAAAGAGGCAAATTAAAACAACCACTAAAACTTACTGGTAATACATATAAACATGTAGTTTTAATTAATGTATGTCCAATAACTTTACAATTATCTTCCATATATGCCACTCAACAGAGTTTTAGTAAAATCGTCAATGTACAAAATTACTACAAATGTAAATCTACTGTATACAGGGAATTTTTGTCCCCATTTTATTTTTGCCCCTTTGGCCCTACTCACAGGTGGGCAAATTTAAAATGGGGCAAATTCAAAGTACACAATATAATTTCTTAAACAGAATTGTCATTGGGCAAATTTAAAACAAGGCAAAAAGGTTTGAAAGGGCAAAAATAACATAGGGCAAAAAAATAACCGTTATACAGTATTTTGATGCAGACATTTATAGACATTAAATTCACTTCCTGACAATCATAGCTATCATTTTTATCAGCTGTCTGTCTGTTAAACTTCAAAATCAGGGAGTAATAAGAAAATAAAATAAAACTTATCAATCCATTGGTGCAAACAATGAAATAAGCAATCCATTTACATGTACTAAAACCTTATCAAATATGACTTTGTGATGCCTTCTTTTGATAAAATTTGTCATAACCAGATTAATGAGAACTATTTACACTGGAGGGATATTTAAAAACTCAAAAAATTCACCCCTGGAAGAGTTTTATCTGTTCATCAACAAGATATAAATGTGACTAACTTGACAGTGAAAGTTTTTCTTTATGACCTATTTAAACACAAGCCTGTCCTGCCACAGATTGCCAGTTCGTTAATTTTTGTTGTTGAATTTTCTCCTCCTTAATTTTGGGTGCCATGATGGTATTGTCATGACTGGTATATATACTAATACTATACAAGCAAATTTATAGTTAAGATCTGTGAATAAAATTCTTGGACAAGCCTTGACATGCCATCTCTTTACAGGTATATACATTGTACATATTCATCTCTATTCTGGTAAACTTACATAGATACCCATCTCTATTTCTGGTATACATAATTACATACCAATCTCTTTTCTGGTGTTATACAGACATACCCATCTCTATTCTAGTATACATACATATACACTTCTCTATCCTGGTATAATACATCTATTCTTATATACCAATCTCTATTCTCAGACTGGTATTCATACAGTTATATATATTAATCTCTATTCTAGTATATTTATATAATTTAGAGAGAGAGACAGACAGACAGACAGAGACTGACTCACCCATCTCCATCCTGGTAGTTTATGTTAATTCTTTTGCTGCTCCCTATTAACTCTGAAATATACAAAACAAGGAATGTAATTGATTTTAAGAATTTATTGAGGTTTTCCCTTAAAGACAACTCTTTCTCAACAATGACACTTTTTATTTCTTACAAAGATCTTTCTAATTTTAGGTATCTTAATTTTAAAACTGTTCTATTTTCACTCTTAAATTCCTTTTATTTCCTTAAACTTCGATACAATATCTTAAATTTATCATTAAACATGACCGGAAAAATTTAATCTATATTAATGACAAGATTCAATTAAAAATTCAAGGTTGAATTCATTATCCGAGACATCAGTTTGTCTTTCATTGATGTCTTTTAGCAATCATAAACTATGAAAATTCAATTAAACATTAAAATCAATTAATAAAGATTAACAAGCACTTTGACAACACCTCTGTTTTATGCTACTGTGCACGTAAATTAATAAAGTGCATTATGAAATCTGCACATATTCTAACAGCTATTGACCATTAAATCCTGGGCTCTCTAGAGGTTATTTGTGCATGACTAATTAAGGCTGTAATTAATGATTTCTGATAGACCTGATAAGGTCATTATACACCTCCCAGCATAACTGGCAAACAACCCTGACACATCAAATACTCTCTGCTTAGTCCTGCACGATAAATCAAAATGAAACATGACATCATCTACTGTTCATATTGTCCTAGTGAACACATCATTTTTGATTTAAATTAAATCTAATTGAAACTTGCATGCAATTTCCCAATCTGTTTCAATCATTACCATTAATCAGTGTTATATGAGTGAAAATAAATCATCTTCAATCATTACTTGAGGAATATTATGTACATGTAATAAATTAAAATTCATGTAACCCTTTTATTAAAATTAATAATTAATCAATTAAAAAAAAACCGATCATATCATAAAACCTTCAAATCTAACTAGTGAGCAATATTCAAAATTTTTTTAAAAGTTATATACACAATTTTACTAAGCTTTTAAACTTCCTAAAGGATAAACAAGACCTTCACACTTTTATAAGGTGTTGATCAACCACAAGTTCTTTGAATCTACATATTGCCAAAATATACCCCTTTGCAAGCTGTTGCAACTTTTGTGCTTATGCCAAATTTAATGTTTTATCTTTGTGTTTAATACAGTATAAATCTCTATACACATGTAAGATTAATTGGCAGCTTTAATTACTGACTGCACCTTCACAACACACTTGTCTTCATTAATCAAATACCACACACTATTAAACAGGCACCTTTTTTGCAACAAATAAACAAATTTCAATGACATGGTGTGTAAATTTATCTCAGCAATCTGTTTTTCTTTAGGTATCCACCCATCCTTGAAGGCCCGAATTCTATCCCTGTTCAGTTTGATCTGTGAAATCGGGCGTGAATTCTGGCCTGGGTCAATCATGGCCATTGGCATTTTGTGCAAATTGGTAGGAAAACTTTTAAATAACTTTGGTTTTTTTATGGCCTGTTTATTTTTAGAACATTATCTGTCTAATCTGAGGTGGGTTTTTTTACTTCCAGTATGGTCATTTATTTACCAATAAAAACCCTGTAACCTCACACTACCATGACAAAGCAGGTCTTTATTCCGCATGCCATGTGACATGGGACCGCCATCACAAGGCAATATTCATTTGTAACTGCCTTGCATCATGGTCAAGTTACATGCATTGTGGGTATATAGAGATATAAATCAATTATGCAACAACTGGTCTGCTTTTTTGTGAAGTGTATTGCAGTAAATGTACATTTACCTACAGTTATCCACTTTATGGAAACACTTGAGTAAAAAAAAAGAAAACAACTTGGAATGTTTTAACAATTAAGACTTCTGTCTCTTTTCCACTTTTAAGCTAGGAGATAGCATAATAAAAGTGAAGACTTGAAATGAAATATCAAAGGTTTTAGGATAATGGTTGGAGATAATGGTAATAGACAAAAAACATCATCCATAACTCACCAGAAACTGGGAAGGCAACGAGAGCGAAGATTCTCATAATTAAATCAAATACAGTAAAACAAAGCAACCCTTTGACAAAGCTCAGAAGAAAGTCAAGAAGTGTGCCCTTACATATCGTCTTCATTCCATTATTTAACTGATTGCTACGTGAATACTAATTTTCTCCTTTGATATGTGTTGGCCAGGGTACAAAGTGGTACATTCAACTCATTAGCTGTATCAGCATCCTGATAGTTAGTTTATTAACCAATGTTAAAAAAAGTTACTAAATGTATGTAAATTGATGCTCAATTTAGAACTGACATGTTATGTTATCAGACAAAATTCTACAAGAGCATAATTAGGTGCAGTTCTTATACAACATAATTATGTATGTAAAAAATATTGTGTGATACAAATATCTCCTGTGTAAACTTTACCAACTTTCATAATAGTTTGCATGTGAAGTCACACCATTGCTTTGACAGAGTTAAAGGGATCTGTGTTAGTGTCCTAGAATCAACAAAGTTTAACAAAAAAAACCCCAGTGTATGAAATGTTCACAAGTCTTTATGAAATGTGTTAAGATTTCTATCTCGTAAACACACCAAATCTCATGGTACTGCCCCTGGGTTGTTGTTTTAAGCACTTACGCCAACAAACAAGTCATACCATCTCACAAAATTTTGTCTTGTATCTATTGAATCTAGACTGATATGTAACTGTGTCTCTCTTAATTTTAAGTCCATACTCCATAATGCATGTCTCAGGTTATTTAAAAAAAATGTCAGTATTAATATTATATATGAAATATATCTACTGGTACTGCATCTTCATCTAAGTCTTTGGGAAAATAAAAACCTACTCGGTTCTTTTGATATGTTAATACATTTATTGACTGTTGTCAGGAAATAAAAAAAGAAATGTTTAAATGTTATTCCATTATCTAATTAAATTTCCAAAGTGCTTAAAAGATGCAATACTTATATTTTAGTACATGGGGGTCAAATCAAGGATATAGAGTTACATAATAATGCAACTTTTTAATAATTAATGATACGGGAGTATTTAATTAGAGTGAATAATACTCATGATAGTATTTATATATACGTTTCAAATTCAATATAGGCAATATGAGATACAGTTTTAGATACGCATGATATTCAAGGCATAAAACATGCAAAATTCAAGGAAAAAACGTGAGTAATAATTAAAATTGTCGATTGAAAGACTTAAACTGACAGGTATTATGGTACATACACCGACTGAACTCTACCTATGCACACCTGTGCATTTCACCTGGCAAGACAATCGGATGTACCATAGAACGATACTTACTTTTATTAGATTTTCCTGTTTTGGTCAGTAATTTTTGTAAAACTGGGATATTTCTATCCTTGACAGCTTGAATTAAATCTTGATCCTTCACCATTGTTACAAAGGGAACTAACTCTCAATAGCGTGATTCACCGAAAAAGTAAATATTGCTACGTTCCAACATACACGTGCCATGCCCCGGTGTTTTCACATGTCTGTATGAATTTCACCTAAAATTCCGAAACTATCCTGAGAGAAAAACTTGAGTTCAACATGTTGTAACAAACAACAACGTATGTATCATATAGAACTAGCCTCTAAGAATGTTTTCACCTCATAGACTGTTTTTCCACACCTGACTCGAGTATGACCCTACAAGATTACGCATGCGCAAACTCTCGCAATGCACAAAATGCCGAAATGGTTACAAAATACAAAACTGTGCAGGTCCGTTAGTTTTAATTGTAACAAGAACATAGCATTGAAACATAGTAAGCTTGGCAGTATTCCAACCATTGACCTCTCTTGGTCTCTGAATAACTTTTAATGTACAAAATTGATATATATACTTATTTTTCTCTCATTATTTTTATCTACCTGACTGTCCAAAAACTACATAGAATTACTTTTTGTATTGTATTTTTTTTTCATAATTCTTTTCACATGGCCGTAGGAACCCGGGGGGGGGGGGCACGGGGGGGGGGCCCAATAATTTTTCCGATATATAAATTACTATAGAAAACATAGAGCTATGTGCTTGTGCCCCCTCAATAATAACGTTTGATGAGGCCATCATTAAAAATATCTTTGTTTCCCCTAACCCGACCCTAGAATCTGAAGTTGGGTAGGTAGGTAGGTAAATAATTTTTTTTCTGACAGCAGCTTTAAAAAAAAAAAACATTCTGAATTTCTGATAAGAACGGGTTTTGAAGAAATTGTATGTTGATAAACATTAAAAAAAATATTTGTGTAATCTTTTAAAAAAAAACTTTTCTGTCGGCGGGAGTTAGTTGGGTCGGTCGCGTTAGGGGAAACAAAGGTATTTTTTATTTTGGCCTGACCTTTTTTTTTTTTTTTTTTTTTTTTTTTTGGCTTGTCAAGGAATTTTGGATGTTGATAGTGCCCCCTCAACTAGAAAATGTATGGTTGTGCCCCCTCAAAGTGAAATTGCTTCCTACGGGCCTGTTTCAATATATCAAACTACCTTATTTACAAGGAGCAGAGAAGATTTTCAGAGAATCGATGCATTGTCACTATATAGTCAAAAGAGCCCCGTCCAAACACCACTTGGAACCTTTGACTCAGGGGCCACGAATTTCACAATTTTGGAAGAGGCACTCTTGCTCATAACTATGCACTTATATTGCCTGCTAAATACCCAGAAAAAGAGAAGAAGATTTCAACGAATAAATGTATTTTCACCGCGTGTAATAGAGCTCCGCCCTATAGCACAAGAAAACCTGACCCAGCGGCTACGAATTTCAGTCACAATTTTGGAAGAGGCAACCTTGCTCATTATATTTATATGTACTTAGTTTGTCTCTAATAAATACAGGAAGAGAGAAGATTTTTGAAAAAAAAATATGCATTTTTGATATTATGTCACAAAAGTGAATGCATGGGAAATGGGCAGCAGACTCGGTCTATATTAACCCTCCCCCTACATCAAGGTCAAAGTGAATATATAGTTTTAATAATAAATAAACAAAGTAAAAGTATAAAAAGCAACCAAAAAAAAAAAAAAAAAAAAAAGAAAAGTAAAGTAAGCAAAAAAACATAGAAAAATAAACAAAATTACAGAGAAGAACCGGTTTGGAAATATTCAAGAATGTTACATATATGTGACAGTGCATCTATATAAAGCCCACCAATACACCATAAACTCTGATCATGAGGAAAAGGAATTTCAAATTTCGATAGAAGACTCTTCTTATATAAATAATGCCGAGTTTTACTGCTTGATGTCCAGGAGTAAAGAAGACGATTTTTGAAGATTGCATTAATTTTTACTGTTTTTGACCTCACCACTCAGCCCCCCCCCCCATCCCCCCGGGGGGGGAGGGGCAGAGACCAGGAAATTCACAATTTTTGTACCCTATTGCCGATAGCTCTATGCTATATATACCAAAATTGGTTAAGGTTTCAGAGAGGAAGCTGAAAATATTTAAATATTAACTCTTCACGCACGACGGCGGCTCCCGAGTGACTCGGGTGACGGTTTCAGGCCCCGTGGACCTCGTTGTACCGCGTGTCTTTGTAATAATAATTCATCCCACGAAAATATTTTTTGTTCAGGGTTCAATTTCTAAATTAATTATTATAACATATAGACCGAACAACTAACTGTTCATGTTGGTTTTCTGCGGCATTTTCAAAATGTTGTACATAGCTCGATACATTATTGAAATTATTGGTCTCTTAAAAAGAGACATAACTCCTATACAAAATCTGGCCTATCGTCAACATGATTTTTTCCCCTGAAATTTGATGATATATTTAGACATTAATCAATATGCAGGCCAGTAGCAATGGTTTTTAAAGGGGGAGGGGTCCCAAAAAATCTGACCAAAAAAATCCTATTTCGTGGGGAGTGGGGTTTTGAGGTGGGAATGGGGAATGAAAATTTACTATACCAAAATACTATACTCGAAAAAAAAAGTCGGGGCCGGGACCCACTGCCCCCCCCCCCCCCAGCTCATTCTGAATATGTATAGTCTGTATTATGCAGATTAATTAATATGCAGTCTGATTAAATCGCTGACACTTCCTATATCATTTATAGATCAGTGCAAAGCTTTTTATCATATAGGCCTAGTACCATATACACTCCCAATAAACTCATTCAATTTTCAACCCATTCCGTTGATAGTGCTCAGTGTAGGGCATTTTTAAAAATGTACTGTCTTAAAAATAGGAAAGCTACGATATACATGTAGTTGTAAATTTAAAAAATCATAAAATTACGTTTATTAGACAGAATCTCGGACGATGCTTAGAGTAGAGCGTGGAGGCAAAGTAAAAATATCTACATGTAATATATGCATAAATAGTTCATCATCAGCTGAAAGGAAACCTTTTCTCTCTTCTCATGGCCGTAGGAACCGGGGGGGGGCACGGGGGGCCGTGCCCCCCCCCAATAATTTTGCCGATATATAGATTACTATAGTAAACATAGATACTATAAGCATGTGCCCCCTCAATAAAACCGCCTGATGACCTTTTTTTTTTTTTTTTTTTTTTTTTGCTTGTCAAGGAATATTTGGTAGTTGACGACCTTTTTTTTTTTTTTTTTTTTTGCTTGTCAGAAAATTTTGGTAGTGCCCCCTCAACTGTCAACTGAAAAATGTTTGGCTGTGCCCCCCCAAACTGAAATTGCTTCCTACGGGCCTGCTTCTTATTTCAGGGGCAAAAAGGTGAAAATGAATGATCAAAGAAAAGCCCCACACCCCACCCCCACCTCAACCCACCCCACTCCAAAAAAAAAAAAAACAAAAAACAAAACAAAAACAAAAACAAAAAACAAAACAAAAAAAACTTGAGGCACCGAATCGGGTCTTAATTAACTGCATGGGTACACATAACACAAACTGCTTTATAAGTCGAACAAAACGTTTTAGACGTAACCCTGCATTTTTTCACCTAGAATTATCAAACAGTAACCGTGTCAACCATCGTTTTTGAATGTGGGGGAGGGGACAGGAAATATAATTGGCAAGAAAATAAAAAAGGGAAACTGTCGCAAGTCAAAAATCCTATTTCGTGTGTGAGTGTGTGTGGGGGGGGGGGGGGGGGGGAGTCGACAAGCAACAGGAGACAACCGGCCCTTCCATGAACATTTTCATTCTAAATTAAAAGATAATGCTCGCAAAAAAAGAGCAGCTCCACCCCACTCCGGACAATATGTGCCTGTAATGTGTGTTGATAATTATTGTGCTAAGTTTTACCAAGGACCTATAATATACTGTATAGGTCCCTGGTTTTACTTTGGCGTTAATTCGCGAAAGTATTCCATCGATTTTGATTTTGTCTTGAGTGTGTTGCCATTTTTTTCCCTTTCAAAAAAACGGTTTGATAATTTTCATGACGTATTATGACAAGTAGATGGGGGGAAATTTTGATTGGACGACTGTAAAAATTATAATGAAAAAAAAATAGTGCTCCGGGTGAGGCTCGAACTCACAACCTCCGCATTCCTCATCCTGTGCAAGCACAGGGAAGGTACTGTCTATAAGTACGGCGCGCTAACCGATTGTGCCACCGGAGCAACTGGAAGTGTGACATCAAACAAACTACATATTCCAAATGCCATAATTATAATCATTAATTTATTTCTAATTAACAATACACATAATCACAATCTCTGTTTGAGTCGATAGTTTGATAACAACTTCTCTTTGCATTCACACAACGGGGAACCAGCAATTTAATTCACCAACAAGTAAGCTCCACTTGCTACGTCAACAAAACAAAATGGCTGCGCCCATGTCAAATTTGTAAACATTTATGATCTATTAAAGAAATCTCTATACACCAGGTCTCTTCGAAGGAAAACCAAAAGAGGTACGAATAAACAATGTAAAACACAAGGAGAATTCAGAAAGAATGGAATTTCTGGATTGCTTAAAAGAAAAATAGACGCCTGCATATTATTGTAGAGACACATAAAATATAAACTATGCTTTTACATGACATCCAATTTGTAAATAAAGGTATTCTGACTAGATCTATTCGTTGCATAAGGATACGTACATTAAACAGTCGTGTTTAGGCCTACTGCTTCTATAGTTCTCTGTTTATAAGAATTGTTACAACGGAACTGAAAGCATGAATGTGGAAGTATTTCTGTAAGAAATCATTTCTTTTAAAGTAGAAAGTCCATTATTTTCTTACAGTGGATCAGGAACTAGCAACTGAATGAGACATGTACCATATACATTGTATTAACTTATCACCTTTCAGTTTCAGACTTGTCATTACTTGTCAAACTGGTGACACTAAGAGAGAGAGAATCATTAATCTTTAATTAGTTATGCCTACTACCCCTTTTGGGGCATAAGCCACCCACAAGATTTCTCCAGGCCTTTCTATCCAAAGGAATTTATTTCAGCTCTTTCCATGTTTTTCTTGTTCCTGGTGTCCCCAGACACAGATTATTCTAACTAGGTGTCGGCCTCTAAGTCAGACTCTCTACTTGCATGGGGTTTCACGGCCTTACCCCTCTTGCATTTTCCTTAGGGATTCCAGGACAGGGTTTGCCTTGTGGTGTTAGTATGTGGCTTGTGTAGAATGTGCCTTTATCCACTTCAATCTTTTCTACATTATCTCCTCTTCAGTTGGGGCTTGGTTTGTTCTCAGTGCCATAGTTTGGTGTTGTTGATTTTGTCAGGCAATCTAATCTGGAGGATTTGTCATAGACATGTATTGGTGAATATCTGGATATTGTTGTTGTAGCACTTGTCCTCCATGTTTCTGGCCTATTACAAGAGCACTGCCTTAACATTGCCGTTAAAAAGCAACAGCAGCAACAATGAATTATTCCATTCACCTTAAAATCACTCAGTTATAAAATATTTAGTCTCAAATGTATAAAGAGTTAGCTTTAATACAACTAAAGAATAAGTCTGTGTTATTAAATCTACTTCCTATTTTTTTTTTTTTTTTTTTTAGACATGTGGGTGTTTGAGCAATAGTTGTACAGAATGAGTTGGTGGAACACATCAAGTTTCTCCAGCTTTGCAACACAGGCTTTGAAGAATGCTCAGAAAAAGATTGATAAAGTCCTTGACATTAACGAGGATGGGGCTGTGGTAGAGACTCCATCAGTATCAGGTAAAATTTAAATGGCTAGAGAAAATTTTACAGGTAAATTCCCATCTATTATAAGAATTGCAGGTACTCCAGAAGTTAACTGATGTAAAACATGTATGGGTGATACTGGACATTGACTGTAAGTATAACCTTACCATTTAAGGAAATGATTTAACGTAGGTCGCGGGTTTGCTGACGTCGTTAAAATTGGGTACGCAATTTATATGATTTGGGCGACTTTCTTGTGCACATTTGATTATGACGTCACAATGAAAAAGAAATCTGCGATGATTTTTGTTTTATTAAATTCTTCAGTATATCATTATTTAGCTATAACTTTTCATGGAATTGGTAGTTTAATGTTATATTATTTAAGCAACAACTTATCAAAAATAATGAAGGCTTTTTACGATTTGTATAGTCGATACAATACTTGGATATAACTTTTGTTGGAATTGGTAATTTAGTGAAAAGGGCTTATTACGATTCGAATGATCGACACTGGAAGTATTATAAAACGTTTAATTATATTTATTATCAATCGAATCTTCTCGGGCCTTTCCTGCAAGCTTTTAAAAACAAGTGGTTGTTTTTCGGCTGGTCGGAAAGGCCCGAGAAATTGCGATTGATTTGTTTTCACTTGGTATCCCGAAACGATATGGACACAAGGTTCAACTGACTTTTTTTCCTTTGATCGTATTTGAATTTACAGTTTGATTTATTAATAAAGAAGCCATTATTTTAAAAAAATCGAAAATACACCTGTCACATCAAAAGATTAACTTTATTTTTAAAAAGGATATTTTTAAAATATATAGATCTACAGTTTATCATGAATTAAATACTGTTAAGGTACGATGAAACATAAGACAATTTGTTAGCGACACTGACCTCCTGTTAGGATTTGATTCTGAAGGAGAGGGGGTGGCAAATTTTACCGAGACATATTGTTTATTTTCATGTCGGTGAAGGACAGATTATTTACTTTAAGAAAAAAAACAAGGACAGATTATCTATTTCTTCTTCAGTGAAAAAAGTCTTACAAGCAACAAAAAAAAAGGAAAACATCAAAGTTGAAAACTCCCCTGGAGGGGGGGGGGGGGGGTGCCAGAACTAGCCATGGACAGTTTATTCATTTTTCTTGCCCAGTTGCTGACAGATTATTATTTCCAAAATCTGTAAGGATACATCTAATCTACTAAAAAATGCAAAACAAAACAAACAGAAAAGAAATGGTAAGAAAACAACACATAAAGAAAGTAAATTGGAACAAAACTAAAGGATTGATTCATTTGATTGTTGTTTTACGTCCCTTGCGAGAATTTTCACTAATATAAGACGTACAAAAACCCTAATCTGAAGAGAAACATGTCTAGTAATCATTTCATTGATATTGAATTATTATGATACGATTCATGGGTCACTTGAAAGCAGATAGAAGTGAATTTCTTTTTTATAAAAATTATTTAATCTTATTTTTCTGCACTGAAAACAGGATAGATATTCACGACGTCAAGCATGACGTCGCGATATTTTATGACGTCGTTCTTAAAAATGTTACATTTTGTGATATAAAAGCAATTATCCGCATTTAAATTACGCGAAAACTAACTCGAAGACATATTAATTTTTTCACATTGATTTATTTCAAATCAATTCTTTGTTAAAATACCAAAGGGGAAAAAATTTTGTCTGCACCATTTAAAAGTTATTGATATTTTTTGAAACAAAATCTTGCCTCAAAACGAGCTGAAAACGACATTTTTCTTATATAATTCAATAGAATAACGCCAAAAATGTCACAACAACAATGGCGTGTTTGGGATTAAATTACACAAAAACGATGCAGACGGATTTTATAAAATTTTCAGAGAATATAAAACGAAGGTAGAGGACTCATATAACTAATTTTCATGGTATGTTTTCGGACACTTTTAAATTGCCTGCAAACCCGCGACCTATGTTAAGCTGACTTTTATTTGGTTATTAGTAAAGTAAAATTGCAGTACATGTATCTATGATAGATTTAATCCAGGTTAAAAAGTAAGTTTTGATTGATACATTCTGGAAAAGAAAAAAGAAATTAATTTTTAAATTTGATAATGAACATTAAAACTGTTTTACAGAAAACAAAGTTGCCAAGTCTTCAGAGGAACCTAAAAAAGTAAAAGACACAGGTTCATCGTGGTCTTCCTGGGGGTCGTTTTCTTTGGACAAAGGAAAGGATGAATCTGTAGAGGACACAAGAAGTGCCTGGTCCATGCCGTGGGGGATGGATACCAGTCTTACCAAGCCTAAAAAAGAAAAGTCACAACTGGATAAATCTAGTGAGGCTTCCACTGTCAAGAAAACTGAATCATCACCTGTCAACCCAAAACCTGGTGGTTTGTCATCTAAAACTAAGAAAGGGGCACTGAAATTAAAATCCAGTGTACAAAATGAAAAGACTGAAAACAAAGGAGTAGGAGAGAGTGTGGAAGAAAAATCAAAGCCAGAGTCACAAAATGTGGAGAGTGTAAAAGAAAGTGATTTATTAGATACCACAGGAGACATTAAAGTTCAGGAAAAAGAAATTTGTGAAGATGTAAATAACGAAAAGGAGATGAATAATGATACACTTAAATCAGTTAGTGATGAAAAAATTAACAGAGATAAAGTAACAGATGTAGCTATAATTAATCAAGAAAGTGCTGAAAAATCTATATGTTCTGAAGACAATAAACGTTCCAGTTTAACAGAGTTAGAACGAGAGCGTTCTGACAGTGAACCGCCATTATCCAGTGTTTCTGAATCAGAGGGTGGGTCTAGTGAATTAATAGTCAGTGAACCGTCACACGAAGAAACTCCACAAAGCCCATCACCAGTGATTCATTCTGATTTCAAGGAAAATATAGCAATTACTGAAGTGAAAGAAGAAGGAGAAGAGAGTATTGTGAAAGAAGACAATTTAGTGGAGTGTGTACAAGATCAGGTACAGTTGAGAGTTGATGAGGGTACTGAGGAACAGATTCAAAATAAAGTAGAAAGTCAACAAGAAGAGGAAGCTATAGAAGCCCAAACCAAAGAAGTGGAAGACAGAGAAATGACAGAAACAGTGGATGAAGGTACTGCAGTTGGAGAAGAGGGCACAGTTGTCTGTGTAAGAGAAAATGATGTTAATATTCCAGTTGGTTTTGATTCTTTAGCTGAAGTAAACAGATCTCAACCAGTTGACATTCCATCTAATAGTCCAGATATCGATCAAGAGAGGCTTTCTGGTTTACCTCTGAGCCCTTCAACAGCAAGTTCACTTGGTGGAACAGACTCAGACACAAACAAACTGGACAGTAGTTTAGACACTTATACATCAGATGAAACAGTCATTGAAAAGAGCTCAACAAAGATGACAAAATCTGATGATAGCATACCAGAAGATTACATTCCAGAAAATGTTCCAGAATCATCTGAAAATCAAGACGTTGAGCCCTCAGAAAACATGGGAGAAATTTCCCCTAGTAGTTCATATGTAAAGTGTATGATTGAAGATGCAATGGATGACAGTGCCAAAATGGAGGATAATGGAAGTGACACACCATCAAAGTCAGAGTGTTCTCGCAGCACGGGAGGCCATGACTCGGGGGATGAGATATCCACAACTACATCCTCCGACATAGAAATCATATCACACGTGTCAACTCCTACTTCCAATGGAGATGGGTCTAAAATGGTGGATTTATCTCCCTTGAAGATATCCCTTCAGAAAACGGCACGTAGAGGAAGCAGCCCCACCCACAGGCGATCTGATAGTCAGTCCAGCTCTAGCACCCACAGTAGGGAGGGACAGTTTGAACAACTCAGTCCAGGGAGGGATTATCAAGATGAAGATGACCATAGGGGAAACCAGCATATGCATGAAGGTTAGGATCATCTCAAAAGATGTTATTTTTTCCTACTATTTGACATTTTGTCTAATTTTATTAAAATCAGATTCTTTTGACTGGCTCAAAAAAGATCTGAAGTTTTTTGAGCTGATTAAAGGATCTAATTTTAAATAGATTAAGATTTTTACAGAAATTTTATATTTATTGGGTATTTTGTAGGGGGAAAACATGATTTGTTCCCACTAAGTGAACATTTTGAAAATGATCAACAGCAGAAGCTCATTAAGGTAACAGTATGTACTTGTTCAGATTACGCTTAACACTTGGAACAAGAAGTAACATAGGACATGCATACATTGCTTGTTGTTATGAGCATGTTTGGACATGATAATATTGCCAGCTGTTTGCTTAGTATACTAACATTTGATTTTAGCTATGGAATAAATGCTTTTATCATTATTTCAATTATGTTTTAAGTTAAAAAAAATGTTTGTTAAATCTCCAGAGATACTCTGCATGGAAAAATACAAGAACTTTATCTCCTGTGAAATTTGATTAAAAATTTACATTTTTCTTGTTAAGCATGTAAAGCCAGTTCATGTTTGTTGTTATAAAACATCATTTCTGCATGATATTGAGAAAAAATAATTTTTATTTCAAATGCCTGTGAATTAATGTATACAGAACAATTTGGGTTTATTGAGTTGTGGGCACAAAAAACAACTTTTTTCAAGGTGTGGTCAAATGCAAAGACTGAATATTTGAGAAAGTATAGCATTAGAACAGTGTATGACTAGGGACTGGACTCCTGGTGCTGGATTAGAAATAGGAAGTATTTATAAGACGCTGTATGTTTTAGTTACAGACCGTCCCTGAGAATACGGACACCACAAACAGTGATGTAGTATACCAGCAGGTCAGGGTTTGTGTAGGGGTCAAAGGTCAAACAACCTCTACATAGGGACCATCTCAGCACTGTTTTTGTCAGATATATATACACATAGCTGAATTTATAAAATATCAATTTACCAACTTTTTTTTTGTTGCAATATTCTTTTTCCTATTATCAATTTGACAATTTTGTTCATCAATGCAATAAGAAAGACATCCTTGTGGTGTTGGTGTAAATTTTTTAGGAAAAAAAAAGTTTTCATAAAACAATTGCAACTCTCAGAAAACCATAATAAAGTGTTGTTTTTTTTTTAAATTTGAATTGAAACAGAAGAAAGTTGTGATATAATATGATAAGCTGCAAATACTGTTATATTTATATAAACATTATTGACCCCTGAGCAGGTCCCATTTAGATGTTGTTTGATGTTGGTGTGTGCTACAGCTTTCAGTGTTTCGTGGGGTTTTGCACTAACACTATGTATTCAATGTTTACATGATCATTCCATTTTCAGTTTTTGTTTGTTTTTTTTTTTTTCAATTAAGCATATAAGGTAAAGTACCAAGGAAGTAAATGGCCAGCTATCTGGTGGAGCAGAATTCAATAATACAAACTATTTTTTTTAAAAAGGAGACTTTGAATAAAAAGTGTGTGAATTCAGCTTTCTCTGAACATTTGTATAATTCTGTGATGTACATGTAAAATAACATGTGAGTTCACTCAACATTACTTGTTATTATTGAATAAATGAAGGTGCTGAGCAATAATCATTGGTCTTCATTACATCAAGCACATGCAACATTCATCATATTTTTTTTAGCTCACCTCAAGAAAGTTTCAATGCTATAATCCTAGTTTTAATGTAGTTGTATGTGTCTAGGGTCAAATTCTAATGCAAACTATTCCCAAGTAAAGGCAAACAAGATCTGGACCAATTTTGCATGAAACATGTACATCTAGAAATGTATACACCAGTCATTCATTAGATGTTGCAGTGACATTGGGTATCAGAATGAGTGACCAGGATTGACATGCTTTAAGCAGGAGCATTCTGAAGAACATGTATATTTTGACCTTTATTGCATTGTATGAAACCTCCAGCAAAAAAAAAAAAGATAAATAAAAGAAATAGGAATAGCTCTAGCTAGCCCTGAAGTCCATAATTTTTTTCAGAATTAATGCAGGAATTACTAACATTCTTTATAATTTATTTGTTCAGGGAAAACATTACTAGTCTTGGCTTCAAGACTGACAGATACTGTTCTCTTCCTAACCAAACTTGAACAGAAGATTCAAGCATGGATGGTTACCAATAGATTTGTTTCATTTGTTACACATGACTATAGTTGCTAGATTACAATGTCCAGGTCTTTAGAAAACTCTAAGGCTTACCATAAGGATTCTGCTGGAGAGAGATGATGCTAGGTATCAGTTTAATTTTGGATGTTGATTTTCCCTCATAGTAATGAAATAGCTCATTGACAGCATCACTCATATATGATAATCATTGAGGTGAGCTATGGTCATAAAAGGTTGGTTTTTCATCCATCATTGGGGTTCCTTCAATATAACTATGTATGTTTTGTCCTTTTTCTTTTTTCATTTCTGGTAGTAATAATACAAAGCTATCAAGTGTTTAACTTGTGTAAAGATAAATAAGCATGCTTTTTCTCATTGTATAACTTTTGATACATGTATAATTCTCCATCAGTTTCTAAGCAGAGGCATTTCAGGATTTGCTTATTTTCTTTCTCTGTGACATTAATGCTCTATTTTCCTTGATTAAATATAGAGGATTTTAGAGTAATGAAAAATAAAATAACTTCACCCTTTGCTTCAACCAGCATGCAATGTATTCGGGTATTTTTTGAAGTATTAAAACCTACATTCATGTAATACACTGAATAGTTTTCTACATTCAGGTACACAATGATGACATTTATTTTGGATGCACTTTCAGAAAATTGCTGAGCTGACGGAAATTCTACAAGCCAGAGAAAGTAAACTGGTTCAGATGAGTAAAGACAACAATGACCTGATGGAAACCAGTAACATCCTACGCAAGTACGTCACAGAACACACACAAACACACATACAAACTAGTTATAATTGTAACGGGGACCGTTACAGATGTTCCCCAAACGCTCCCCAACACCCTTTTGGTGCCTTATTTCCTGTAAGCTTCATTAAATAAGCCAATGAAGTATATTGATAGTTTTTTGCATTTCACGCGCGCGCACGTGCATGCATGTGCAGGATGACCATGTCATCTCATCTATACTATTAATGCATCTTTATATTCTCAGTATTAAAACATTTCATCAAAAAATAAATAAGTTCCGGCTATATGAAGTATATTGGTCATCTTAGCATTGCACGCATGCGCACCTGCATGCATGTTCATAATGACCATGCCATTTTGTCAACACTTATAATATGTCTGTTTATTCTTAGTATCAAAGCTTTTCATAAAAAAATATAAAAGTTATGGCTACATTAAGTATATTGGTCATTTAACCCATTGCGCGCACGTGCATGCATGCATGCATGTGCATGATGACCATGTCGTCTTGTCTACAGTTTTAATATATATGAATATTTTGAGTATCAAAGCATCTCATCAAAACGTATAATAGTTACGAGTATATCAAGTATATTTGTCATTTTACGCTTTGCGCGTGCGCACACGTGCATGCATGCGCATGTTGACCATGTCATCTTGTTTACACTTTTAATATATCCTTATATTCTGAGTATCAAAGCATTTCATCAAAAAATATAAAAGTTACAGCTATATCAAGTATATTGGTCATTTTACACATTGCACGCGCACGCACGTGCATGCACGTGCGCTCAAAATGACCTTGATTCCGCAAATCTACATAACATGCCCATTAACCCTAAAAAGGTTTCACCTCAATCGGATGAGTAGTTGACGAGATCACTCGCGGACAAAAAAGTACCCAGGAAGAAGAAGAAGAAGAAAAATAATAATAATAACTAGACTCTTGTTGCCATGGCAACAAAAAAGTCTTCCGTTCTTCTAAATCTGTAAGAATTTGCTTCTTTCTGTGTAAAAAACATACATATCATATTTACTGTGAAAGAAAAAAATAACTGGAAAAAAGTCCTTTCAGTACTTAAGGTACTTTGATTTTCATTATCAATCTTGTATAATACATTTGGCACCTATAAGAGATATACGTATATCATTAGCAATTTAAAAAAAAATGTTTGCAATCATTTCTAAGACAAACAAACAGACGAACGAACACCGTACTATCATAAACTTCACTGTGTGTATCTTTTGGCATAATTGTGATGGTGTTATAAAAAAATATAATGAATTAAGTTAGTATCACATTAAACGTAAAGTCACTGAGTTTTGTAAAGTTATAATATCAAGATTTGACAACATACCTATAAGACAAATTATTCAATTACAGTAATTCTTCAGCAATCGATTGATTGATTGATTGATTGATTATACGTATGTTGTTTAACGTCCCTCTCCAGAATTTTTCACTCACATGGAGACGCCACCACTCGCCGGTGGAGACTGTAAATTTTTGTCCTATACTTTGGCATTTATCGCAATTGAGCAGTGGGGAATCTTTTTTATGCCAGCATCTTCTGCGACAAGGGACCTCGATTTATACGATCTCATCCAAAGGACCGGTCTCTACGTCCCACAGTCGAAGTTCATAATACCGAGATATTTTATTTTTTATTTTATTCTATTTTTTTCACAAGTTTGTTGCAGCAGATTTACTTAAAGATCATACTTCAAGATCATTTCGAACTCAGGCTACTTAATTGCAGTGCATACAGCGTCAAGTGATTTTGATTGACAGGTCAACACACGTGCACTTCGTGTGATACTTTTTAAGCTGAAAAATATACAGGATGTGACCATGACTGACTATGAAATCAGAAAACATCTAATAAAGAATGGGTGTGACCGATAAAGAACTAATTTTTGGTCTGGATCGGGATTAAGAGGGAATCTCTCCTCTCTCTCTCTCTCAGACATGTAAATTGAACATTTCATAATTATAAAACATGAAATTCTGTATACATGTAAATGGTAATGTTATTCACATGTTCCAGATTTAAATCTAAAACGAATATATAATTCAAATTCAAGACGGGGGGGGGGGGGGGCTTCAAAGGAATTAGATAATTTTATGAATTACAAGGAAAAGTACGGACGTCAGTTGCATGCACATGATTATATATCATTGCATAAAATTGTGTTCATTCAGATATACTTATCCCACATATCAACAGACTTGTACAATTTTTTTATCATGTTTTTTTTTTCAAAAGAAACATATAGCGTACCATTATTTCACACACTCTTTAACTCTTTGAGTATTTCACAAGAATCCAAGAATCGCCTTTTCACATCTTTTATAATTCCTTGGGTATATAGAGTATAGATCATGTGTCATAAATAATTTAACCTTTTATCAAATATATATGTAATAACCAAATCTAATCTATAGATTGATTTTCTTTCTTTTCAGTGGCAGATATCAATTTATTTATAAAGGCTTTAAAACAGTACTGTATTACAATTTTCTATCGCTTAATTCCTTTTTTGAGTGTATGTAATATTTTTTAATATCGAAAGTAAAACTCGGAAATCGGGATAATTTCGCATTCAGATCATAGAGAATAATAAATCGTCTGCATTATAGAAGGCTTATAACTATCGTATTCTGAACTTAATTTACGAAATAGATAAAACTGCATGCCTGTCCATCACTATAAATGTATGTTCAGTGCTTATTATATATTTACTTTCAAGAATTAGCTACCTAGCATATATATATTAATTTTTTTTTAGATATATTCATGTGTAAATTAACTAACTGTCAATACAGACTTACACTACACTGGCAACTTCAAACTTTACATGCACTGGAAGCGGTAACCAACGTCCTCCTAAATTTTGAAGAGTGAATATAGAACGTCTAAATATTTTGATATGGAGAGTGTATATGTCTCTAACGTCATCGATACTATTTCCGCCTTTATCTCGAAAGTTCTATTCTCACTTACAAGTCAGAGTTATCTTTCTTTGCCCATTGTCTACACACTAGGTAAATAGGGAAAATGAGGGTACCGAAAATCTGCAAAATGTGGAATCTGATTTCAAAACAAATAATATATTTAGTATTTGTAGAATAACCTCTGTTATACATAATAATATCTTGAAAAAATATTAAAAAACAAAAAAGTTGAAAATTGACCAAACACAAGTTCACTTCCGGTTCGGACAGGAAGTACCGGAAACACACGAAAACAACTTCGAAACAAAGAGAATGTCATGATCTAATACTCCTGTAAATTTCACATCTTTACCCCAAACCGTTTCCGAGAAAAATTCCGGACAAAAGTCCATTTAAAAATTGGAAATTCGGCCGTAACTTCGGACCGGAAGTGAATTTTTCAAAAAACGGAATTTTATATAAACTTCATATATCAGCCTACTATCATGTGAAAAATTGTGAAAATCTATCCAACCATCTCTGAGTAATCGCGCTCACAAAATTTGGGAGGAATAATAATAATAATAATAATAATAATAATAAAAAGAAACAATACAATCACTATAAGTCTTCCGTTGTGAACGGAAGACTTAATAAGAAACAGAGTAAAAACAATATGTTCCCCAACTTCGTTTGGGGAACATAACTAGTACATCACAGCACACACACACATACAAACTAGTATGTCACAGTGTACACACATACAAGTACATCATAGTACACACACATACACACATACAAACTAGTATGTCACAGCACACTCACATACAAGTACATCACAGCACAGGCATTTGTATATTGTCAACAAGTGCAGTACGATTAATGATTAAAAAATTAACTATAACCTATCAGATTTTCAAATTCCTCCTCCAATGATTCATGATACAATTCTTTTAAGGACTTAAGTTCATTACATACAGCTGCAATAATGTTGATGCTTATTTGAGCGTTTCTGTCGACAGTCAAATTCAGCAGTTAGAAGAATTAAAGGAAGCAGAATCGGAAGATGTTAACAACGTCACGTCAGAATTCACAAAGAGGCTGTCGGAGGCCGAGAAAAAAATCAACCAGGTCATAAGGGTAGGTATATACAGGCAAATGAATAGAATTCACAGTCTTGTAGGGATAACTGAGGCCATCTTTAACAAATTGCTTGGTTGCCCTCTCCCGACTGACTGGCTAAAAATGGCTCAAAACCTTCTTTTTTTTTTACATTCCAGGACACAATTTTTATTTTTTATTTTAATTCCTTTTCTCCCGTCTGCAAATATATTGCAATTTTCTGGAAAAATGATTTTCTAACCTACCTACCGACCCAATCATGAGAGGGCAAACAAACATTATATTAAAGATGACCTGAAAGTTTTTAATTAACATGACACCATGCACATGTCCTTGTTATGTGGCACCATACCTTTGTTATGTGGCACCATACCTTTGTTATGTGGCACCATGCCCTTTTTGTGCAACCATGCCTTGACAGAACACACAGGTTTGTATATAGTGATTAAATAAATAGAGTTCTTGTTCCATGATGAGTTAAGTTTAAATAAAATGTGTAATATCCATACAGTAATAGTCCCCATTCAAATTTTTACCATATTCAAGGAGTAAGTTCAGGTACTAAGTAAGATCTATCAGACGTATATTCTATGTATTGTAAATTACAGGAAAAAGAAACCATGAAGAAACAACTCCAAGACACTCAAGACGAGTTAGCTAAAAAGTAAGTTACCGAGTTCACAGATATTCCTCCTCATTTTATTTATAAATACATGTTTAAAGATTTCACAACTATTGCATGGCAAATGAATAAGTGCATTTTATATACATTTTTTTGGTGGAAGGAAAGAACTAAAAGTTTTGTATTATGTTCCAGAACAAAAGAAAAATCCAGTCAGATTCAGGAGAAGGATCAACAGATTAAAGAATTACTGCAGGAAGGTACATGTATGGTGTGGGGTCATGACAACAAGTAAAAGAATTTAAAAACAGGAAATTTTGGAAGAGGAAAAATAGTGTTAGTTACAAAAATAATTAAAAAAAACTGTCATCAATGTTACAGGAGAGAAGCTTTCCAAACAACAGCTACAGAGTAATAACATCATCAAGAAGCTGAGGGCTAAAGAGAAAGAAAATGACTCCCTCATTACATCTCAAAAGTAAGTCCACAATAAGGCATCCTGGGAAATGACTCCCTCATTACATCTCAAAAGTAAGTCCACCATAAGGCATGCTGGGAAAATGACTCCCTCATTACATCTCAAAAGTAAGTCCACCATAAGGCATGCTGGGAAAATGACTCCCTCATTACATCTCAAAAGTAAGTCCACCATAAGACATGCTGGGAAAATGATTCCCTCATTACATCTCAAAATTAAGTCCACCATAAGGCATGCTGGGAAAATGACTCCCTCATTACATCTCAAATGTAAGTCCAACGTAAGGCATGCTGGGAAACTTTTCATCAGAGTATAGGTAATATTTTGGTAGAAATCATCTGCTTGTTTGTGCACATTCAAATAAATTGTACTAAGTATTCTTTCTTGTGAACTAAATTGATCATTAAAATGGGCGTCTTAACTTCTCTGCCATATTCTGTTTTCTGTTGGCTTAATTTTTGTCTTTCCTTAGAAATAATGTATCATCTTTATGATATCTGGATTGTGTTGTGACAAACATGTAAGTGATGTAGCAGATATTGTTAAATTTGTCACTGAAACTGATTTTTGATTTTATTTGACAAATATTCTCTCAGTTGATAAGTGAAAATTGTACCAGACGTTATTTTAAAAGTTGTAGTTATATGTAATTACAGGAAAAAGCTGGAGGATCAGAAAACAGAGTTAGAGCACCTGCGGAAGGTGTGTGAAGTCAAGGATGATTTAGAGAAGAAACAGACAGGTAAACGGATTTCTCGTAGAATGTGTGGAGATTTGGGAAGAAGAATTAGTGAAACATTGAAAGTTTTTATATTAAACATTTGAAATGTAATATTTTCAGAGTAATATACAGTGTATATGGTGTTCATATTACCAGTAAACACTTTTATAACCTAGAGTCTTATTTCAGAGGCCATCAATCAGTTAAATACAGCTGTACAAAAACAGGAAAGAGAAAAATCCAAACTCAAGGTGAATACATATAGAAAGAATACTGCAAACATGAAAATCAAGTTGATGATATAAACAATTACAGTCAAACTTGTCATAGCGGTCACCTTTATCCAGCGGTCACCTGTCCTATGCGGTCATTTTATTTCCTCCCATTGAATTTTCCTATATAATGTAACTCTATTAAGCGGTCACTTGTGTAGCGCGGTCAGTGGTCATCAAATTTCATGTAAAATCGCTGTTTTACCTCGTATATAGCGGCCATTTTGTCCGATCACGTGACCAGATCTAAAGTCAGGTGACTCCCAATTTTTGTTACTAATGTAAATAATTGGTCTTGTTTAGCGAGATCATGGAACAAAAATAATTGGCCTTATTAAAACCATTTAAAATATTGGATATTTCATTTGTGTTTTTTTAACAAAACTAAACAAGGGTGATAGTGACCGAAAAGGTTATCAGGAAAACGGACTTACGAGAATCTTAATCTTATTGAATTGGAATCTTGTTTAAAAAAATCTGAATGATATTAAAAAACAAGGCATCCTTATTTCTCTATTAATGGATACAATAATTAGGTGTTTCCTAATTATTAGTTCACGTTTGGCATGCCCAACTCCGATAGATGTAATTGTGTAGACGCATGGCAGGCCATTTTTAACACATAGGAAACGTTATTATTTGTAGAAACCCTAATTAACTGTTTTGTATACTCAATGTGTCCTGATTATCTTGTGATTTTCAATTAGATAAGACTACCGTTAGGATTAGTCACGCTTCAATGCTCACAACACCTGTGAATTTGATATCAATTTGCATTATGCACTGCTTTGATAAACTGAGAATATTATGACTTGTCTGTTTATTACGCTACTTTTAAACATAAAATTATCAGGACTAACTAAACTTGTTTCTTTAGACATGTTAGAGGAAGTTCAGATAAAAAATACATTATATCTTATTCATGGCACAACTTGATAATGTTATCTTATAATAAAAGAAAGTCTTGTTGTTTGGAGGGAGGATAATGCAATGCCCTATTAGACTCAATATATTTTTGTTGGAGTCATCAAATTTAGCTTGAACTTAATTTAAAATTTAAAAAAAATCTAACTGAGACCATTGATGTCCAAAACACATCCTTCTTTAATATTCTATGATGTAGTATTTTAAAAACACAGAACATACATAAATTGGAAAAGAATTTTTCTTGAAAAAAGATGAACCTCTTTTCAAAGGTCACCTCTCTATAAGGGTCACTTTTAATGGTTCCCGCAGGTGACTGCTTAATACAGGTTTGACTGTATACTGTAAACATGGAAATAAAATTGGTGATTTAAATGAAGTAAGCAAGAAATATATACAAATGGAATGAGTCTGATTTACATATGTTCCAATGTATAAATATCCTGACAACTGTACATCACCTGACATTTATCTGGTTTCTTATTCTAGATTTCCCTATAATTTTTAATTAGTGAATAGAAATTAAAGTACGTGAAGTATTGTTTGTCTGTGGATTTCTAGATTAATAAAATCCATTTTATTACAACAGAGTGACCTGGAAGATGCTCAGGAGAGAGTCCGAGGATTACAAACAGCCCTGGACAACTCTTACAAGTAAAGTCATACTCCCCCCTCCCCCCCTAAAAAAAAAATGTTCAAATGACTACAGTATAGTCTGTATGTTTAAATCCCCTAGACTTCCCTTCATTTGAACTTACAAACTTTCAGTTTGCTGAATTTTTTCTGTAATAATTTTTTATGCTTTTGATCTATACATTTTTGTCAGTGATTTTATTCTGTTATAATTTTTGATGTTTTCTCTCTGTGATGTGTCTTTCTTTATGATTACAGGGAGATAGCAGAGTTACACCGCTCTAGTGCAGCACAGGACAGCAAAGCTGCCGAGACAGCACTGAGTCTCGAGATGCAGGTCCGAGAAGAACTGAAGTCTCAGCTTGAGCAAGAACGCAAGAGTAACCAGCAGGAGAAAGAAGCTCTGATCAATCAGGTCACACATCAAACATATAGTATTCTCTGTAAATTAAAAGAAAAGATTCTTTCTGGTAATTGTAAGTGTTTGGTTCTGTCATTTAGTGTGTTTCAAAACTGCATGTTTTGCTTAAGAAACATAATTTAGGAAATTTCATAGAACTGTATTTAAAAAAGTTAATATCAGTGAAAATATGCAAGTTTTAAAAGTACACTGTGGTGAAGTCATTTTACAGTTCTAATAACTATGATAAACACTGCATAAGGAAATGCTAGTACATGTATGTAATACTTTCTTCATACGGTACAGAGAATGAGAGATTTATTTGTGAAATATTTACATGTGTGACCCCATTATTAGAGACTGACTTATGTGATATTGGTTTTACAGATAGAGGATCTGACAATAACTGTGTCTATGTGTTATTGGTTTTATAGATAGAGGATCTGACAATGACTGTGTCTATGTGTTATTGGTTTTATAGACAGAGGATCTGACAATGACTGTGTCTATGTGTTATTGGTTTTACAGACTGAGGATCTGACAATGACTGTGTCTATGTGTTATTGGTTTTACAGATAGAGGATCTGACAATGACTGTGTCTATGTGTTATTGGTTTTATAAATAGAGGATCTGACAATGACTGTGTCTATGTGTTATTGGTTTTATAAATAGAGGATCTGACAATGACTGTGTCTGTGTTATTGATTTTATAGATAGAGGATCTGACAATGACTGTGTCTATGTGTTATTGGTTTTATAGATAGAGGATCTGACAATGACTGTGTCTATGTGTTATTGGTTTTACAGATAGAGGATCTGACAATGACTGTGTCTATGTGTTATTGGTTTTATAGATAGAGGATCTGACAATGACTGTGTCTATGTGTTATTGGTTTTATAGATAGAGGATCTGAGAATGACTGTGTCTAGGATGGAAAAGGAACACAATAGGAGGGAAGACATGCTACGACAAGAAATCTTCGATCTACAGCGGGTAACACGATCTTCTTTATTTATCTAATCTACATCACATCATTTTAACATTGTAATCAGTCAATTGAAGATGATGGAGACTTCTTTTTTTCAAATTAGGTCATTTCTGGTCCAGTTTCAGTGATGTTTTTATGCATACTTGTCTGCTTGAGAAATGTTTACAATGACAATTTACTTCCAGCATTTACAAGAAGATGAAGCAAGAAATCAGGACCTCACTCAAAATGTAACATCTGGTAAGGCAACATTGCCATTGTGTACTAGGGATACGTTTTCTAATGGATATTGATATCCTTCATTAGAATGTCTAAGAAAAGAACTTACATGTTTACATATGTGTGAGAGATATTGGTGAATTTTGAGCTGTTGTTTCTTTCAGCCACCCGCCCCCTGCTGAGACAGATTGAGAATCTTCAGTCAACATATGCAGCTCAGTCTCTGTCCTGGGAAAAACTAGAAAAGAATCTCTCTGACAGGCTGGGTATGGGGTTGTTATTTGTAACATTCTGTAGATTCCTTATTTTGAATGCCGTCTATGAGATTGATCAACCCAATATATTTCGTAGACAGCAAGTAAGAAACCTTGAGGCACCTTTGTTTACTTTAAACAATTTTTTTCTGTTTAATTTTAAATGTTTTTCTTCTCTCATTTGAGTGAATCTCGGCACTTCCATCTTTTGTGACGCAAGCAATACAAATCTGATGTCATTTCTTAAAAGGGCCACTACTCTAATTTCAAAACGAAAACATCATGGAAAGTGGTTTCTGTAATAAGTGATTTCTGACATCGATAGGTAACACAACATGTTTGCCATATTACCATTCTACCTGCTGGACATAAAAATATAGCCAGCAGTCACATGTTGCGTTTGATCCATTGAAAGTGTGACATTTCAATCCGCTGGAAAATATTTAGGAATCTACAGTATCTTTTGCATTAAGCAACATACTTGGTGTAGCATTACATGATATGTGTGCAAGATTTACCTCACCATTTAGAATCCTTTCAAATACCTTCAGTGTAATGTACAATTTTGAAATCAAAATCAATAGAATAATGATTGTTGCTTTTAGTTGAAAATCAGACCCAGTTGGCCATGGTGACGGAGAAGGAGAGATCAGCGAACGAGAAAGTGATGGAGCTCTCAACTCAAGTTGCCTCACTAGAGTCTCAGAACAGTCGACTACGACAGGAGAAAGCTCAACAGACGGCTCAGACTGAGATGTTAAAGACTCGAGTACAGGTGCTAGAGGATGCCAAACACAGGTAACTATTGTGAGATAACTCATAAAGCTCAGAGCAGTCCACTCAGGCTTGGTTGTAGGGATATTTCAAAGTGAAAAGTAGAGCATAGTAAACATTCGTTACATGAAGAGGAGAACTCAGATTAAGTTGTAAAATTTTTTAAATAATAACCATCACTGTAAAATCCAGGGTTATACTTGTACCTTCAAAAAGAGATCACATGATGTCAGAGGGCATGGCCAGTTAAAAATTGCATGACTTGGTAAGAAAATGGTGTTGGAACAATATTAAAAAAAATTTAAAAAGCAGGTACTGAGTATAAGGAATAAGTATCAATTTATGGAGTTTATGAGGATAATAACTAACCTGGGTGCACTTGTTAATTCTTGCATAACTGCCCTCACAGTTATCAAAATTATTGCTGTCTCCTAGGTTCTTTATCACTTCATAAATGCCAATGTTTGGAAACTTAGTTCACAACGATGAAATGTTCATAAAGTTTGGCTAAGATTCATGATTTCTTTTGCCCACAGTGAATCGGTTCAGATTGAGGCTGTTAAACAACAGATGTCACAGGAAATGTCTGACCTCAGGAAAGAAAAGGTAAGACCATTTCAGATATTATAAATATTTTACCATAATGTCAGAAAATTAAAAAGTATCACAATTCTAAAAATTATTAAGAGACCCATCATTTCTTTGAAAATATATTAATGTTCACTGATGTATAATACACTGTTACCTATGTTTGTCACTGACTTTTTTGAAGTCACCATTATAAAAATTTTACGTGGTTGTGAGGGTAACGTGAATTGTCACCCAGTGGCAACCCATTGTTGACTGAAGTGAATCGTAGGTCAACAATAATATTTAAATGGGTGACAATTTCACATGTTTTCCCTCACAACCATGTAAAAATATTTTCTGTAATATTGAATGTTTTAAATATGCAAACCTTTCTGCAAACTTTTCTCACAGTTATCAACTTCATAATTTTACAGTTGTTATCTGACTAATTTACATAAAAGTGTAACCATCTGTTATAATGTACATATATTTTCATGTAAGTTAGTTGAATTCATTGAGAAACATTTGCTAAAAAGCACTATTACCCTCTGAATGATGCACCCTCTGTGATAGAACAAATCAACAGTCTTCTTTACTTGACAACGGATGGTATTCAAACAAAATTATTAACTGTGCGGAATCTATGCCACACAGTCCAGTTATTTGTATTTGCATAAAACATTCAGTATAATATACCAGTAATAAAAACTACATGTAGTTAAGGATAACATTGAACATGTTCACCCCAAGAAAACCATTGTCAACTGAAGTTGCAGCCTTGGTTGACAATGGTTTTCTTAGGATGAACATTTTCAGTGTTACTACATGCACTATTTATATATTGTTACAGGTTTTCCTGGAGACCCAGCTGGACATGGAGAAAAATAAAGTGGAACAAGAGAGGAAGAAACTGACCCTGGCTCAGGAACAAATCTCACAGATGGTACACACATCTAAGTCTCTTATTCTTAATGGATATTCACAAATTTCTTGTCCAGTAGAAATGAATTTCACTTTTCCAGAAAAGTCTGTACAACACAAATATTTTTGAACTTAATAAAAAATTTCACATTTTCATGAACCAGTGATCAGATACTGAATGTGTTTCTAGGAGAAGGACCTCCAGCGCCCTCAGTCCCGGGGGTCAGTGTCACCCCTGTCTGTGTCCAGATCTGAGAGTGTGACTGGTGACCATGGGTCCATGTCTATATCCTTCTCACAGGTAACCAGTATTCTTCTTGATTGTAGAAACTTTGGCTATACTCTGTTGAATGGTCTTAGTGCATTGACAATTTATGCAATACTGTTGTCAGTCGTATTTATCAAGAATACTTTTCAGTAGTTATTCAAGCCTTACTACTTAGTTTTTTAGGACTTAAAATCATGATATACCCCCCCCCCCCCCCCCCCCCCGATAGGTATTTAAGCCCCCTCATTATGGAATGTGGGAGAATTGGCGTTCTTAGTAGTTAATAACTTGATTTTCTTAAAAGTTTAATCTTGTTGAAATGTTTTAAAACTAGATTTGAATATGTGACGTGGTAGCGTGTATTTAATTAGTAGTCTCTTTTTATTCACTGCCTACAATGAGTAAGTGATTGGAAACATTTACAGTTAAACTTCAGTATCTTGAACATCAATATTTCAAATACCATGGATATGATGAATTGTCTGGAAATCATGTCCCACCTACTTTTTCTTTATGTAATTTTACCTCTTTATCTCAGATCCTTTGATATCTTGAAGATTTTCTTTGTCCCGTCAAGTTTAGGTTTGAGTGTATGTTATATGTATAGTAGGATCACTTAATTAAATTGAAAGATCAAGGTTAATATAAGCATTACTTGGCCTTTGTAGGATGATTTGGAGAGAAGTTTTGTGATGTCTCCTGTGTCCAGTAGATCGACACTATATGAGAGTATACGACAAGGGGGTGGGGCTGCAAATTTGATTGACAGCCTTCAGTCACAGCTAAAACAGCGAGATGGTGAAATTTTCCAATTAAAAGTAAGTTTTTCAAACAATATCACTAAAACTGATGATGAAATATTTTGAATTGAAGAATAAAACATGTATTTTAGCAATTAAAAATGATTTTAACTACTTGTATTATATCTTTCATCATTCTGAATATTGGTTCATTAACTCCCTAATATGCATTTACTGATAAAATTTTGTTTGCATTATTTGAGTTATTTATATGATGTAGAGTGATATTCAACAATTGGAGAGAACCCGGGAGTCCATGGCTCGAGAACTCGTCAATCTGACCAATCAAAATGAAGAAATTCACGAAAAGATTGAAGAGTTACCACAACTCAAAAAGCAGTATGAGGTAATTCTTTTTAAAAAATTAAATTCAAAGGACATGCACTTTTCATTTATAGACTTTAACACTTTTTGGGGTCATTTATAAACGTACATGTATAGCTAGGCAATAACAATGGGAAATAACTCTGACTTATCTGGTTAACATAAGAAAGTTGCATCTCGCAAATATATACAATGCTTTTGTGTCTCAGAAATATAATATTGTAACACAAATATATAGATTTACCATAATCCCAAAACTTGTTATCAATATTACTTTATATGAATAATTTGTTAAAGTAGAACAATTAATATCTATTCTGGATGGAAGGACCTAATTGATGTAACTGTGTACTGTAGGATTTGAACCAGAGGTATGATGCACTGTTACAAATGTATGGAGAAAAAGTGGAAGAAGCTGATGAACTGAGACTAGATCTTCAGGATGTCAAGGAGATGTACAAATTACAGGTAATCAAATTCTGATTGGTTGGATGTATAAAGAACTAGGCACGCTAACTCCCGATTCCCGCCTACATTTTACACCCATTTAAATTAATAATAATGGCAATTTGGCCGTAAAATCTTTGTTGAATGCAAAGAAGTGTTCAATGGTAATTGAATAATATTTTTTATACCAGTGTTGAATAGTTAATTACTCTTAATTCCAACTCTTTTTATAACGGGGGTAGATGATGGTTTCATTGAAATCAGGCTTGAAAGCATAAGCATATTTTAAAATATTCTTGGATGACGGAAAACGTCATCAATGCGCTACGCGCATTGATGAAAATGTTTTCGGTCCAAATTTTTTCTTTGATATTTCGGTCAAAGAAAAAAATATTACATTCATTTCTTATCATTTAATTATGATTTTAAAAAAATAAAATGAAAGTTTCTTTCACTTTAATATTTAATTTACGCATCAAATACTGTGCGTAGGTATACATCACAACAACGTTGCTAAATTTCAAAATGGCTGAATGTACAGATCTACGAGCATTGAAGAAATTTACCGTCCAAGTCTTCTTTGATACATCGACCAAATAAAAAATAATAAGATTTATTTCTTATAATTTAATATTTATCTTTCAAGATGAGATTTAACCTGAGAACGAGTGACTGTCCAACATATACTTTAGTTAGACTACCTAAATTTTCAGACGCAGAGTAATAGGGAGAAACAGCGTTTTCAAATACTGTGTCATTACCAGCTCTTTCTGACAATTATAAGAGTTTTTACATAAAAAAAAACTTACCTGTTGTGTTATTAATTTTTGCTATATCCCAATGGGTATATTATCCCTGGTAAGCTGATATCTTTAGGTTTGTAAATGTAAAAGGAAGCTACTCAAATATAACCTTAACAACTTTTTCTACAGGTCACAGAAATTTTGGATTTCATTTGCGCATTTCTTCATCTGAATTTCAAACCGAACATATAAATGTATACGTATCACAACCTGTCCATGCATATCACAATATGCTGTAAAATCTAAAAGAGTCGGTAGCATTGAAAGAATTCCGTCCTCGCTCAGTGTCGTTTTTCTCATGCATTCGTTTCCTAAGAATTAACAGATTAACGGCATTTCTCCTCTTTGGTAGCATTAAACATTTCTTCACAGTTCTATTGTTCGTACCAGTTATCTCAAAGGCAAACATATAACATACATATGATGATTTCTTACCCGCAACTGCATTGTTGACATTGCAGACGATTTTATTTGTTTAGCAAAGGGGGATGGATAATTCGGAAAGAAACGAAAGTAGAAAATAAATCAGGAACGTACCGGACAAGTTTTGAAATTCAGGAAAAGAGAGCAAAAGTATTTCATTTTTCTTTCACAAAGTAATCTGGAAGCGGGAAATATACATGTAAAGTCAGCCAAAGTAGTTTCGGCTGCTAAGTGCATGTGAACTCCAGATTTTATTGATGCAGTTATCAGAAGAATTTTTTATCCAATCAGAATCAATTATTTTATAGAAATGTTCTTTAAATCTTTCCTTTTGTTTTACGCATATAAAATTAAACATATGTAATTGATAAAATACAACGTTAAAGTTGTAAAACCCTTCGAAATTGGTAAAAAAAAAAAAAAAAGAGAGCATTTTTGTCGTTTTTTTTATCTGTAAACATATGTCCCCCCCCCCCACACACACACCCGTGAAACACAAAAAGCTTTGAAATGAATTTGTGAAATAACAATCCATATTACCCGTAAAAAGGAATTTTTGTTTCAAGGGGGGGGGGGGGAGATGTTTTAAAAATATTTTCCATTTTCCGTTGATTTCTATAGTGAAAAACACGTTTTACTCAAATTATAGAGTTATCTCTCTTTGTTTTCCCAAATAAGTAATGTTTCATGAAAATTCATATAAATAACTATATAAAAAGGAAAAATCATTTAAATATGTTAACTTTTGAAAATTGACTTGGAGATAGGCGGGAGAACAATACTATCGTTCGCAGTTCTTACAGATATTCAAACTCTGATCGGTCAATTGAATATTCAGATGTATTAATTACATGTTCTCAAATTCTGATTGCTCAAATATATAAATTATAGTATTATGCCTCAAAAATAATGAAAAAAAGAGCAAATTGAAGAGAGGTAGAGAATATACATGTACATATTGAATTTCAATCCAGTATATTTTGATTGCCTGTATAATGTAGAATGCGTAAATATTAATATATGACTTTTTAATTGTTTAATTGTTATCCTTTCAGATTGATCATCTCCTTGCTAAGTAGTGGACACTGAGTGGACCATTGTGTGATGACGGCGTACAGTTCTGTGATAAAGAGAGTGGACGATGAAGAAGTCCCTCGTAGATCCAATACAAGACGGATTTATCATTTAATCAGAAGCTACACAAGGTGGCAAGAACTGGTTCTACGAAGGCATGTACCCAAGTATGCATTGTATTATCAATAAATTTTGAATTTTTTAACGGTGTAACTTTTATGTGACATTTTTCCGTCAATTTTATTGAAATATGGATAAGAAATACATGTATTTGTCATTTATACGATGTTGAAATTTGTAAGTAGTATACAGAATTCCTTGAATGAAAAAATCAATAAAACGTAATATAAACTTGAAATGATCATTACAGAGTGAAAAGTAATGATAATGGTACTTCCAGGTCATGCATGTTATCGATATAAATAATGAATGTAAGTAATAGAAAGGGCTTTCAGAGTGTGGGAGATAAACTTAATATATTGTCATGTTATAAGTGTGTATTTATTATAAGACTGTATAAGCTCAGAGGTGAGGAGTACAGAGGGTATGCTTCATACTAGTGTGTCTCAGTCATTTATGTATGTTCTCATTTTCATGTGTATTCTTCACTTGTTGGGTACATGTTTCTAAATCATATAGTCAAATACTTTGCTTTGGAGGTACCTATATATAATATAGGGTGTACATTCGAGGTGAAATTATCTTTAGATCCCAGATGTTTGAGCTTACCTTGATGTATATTTATAAATAAATAAATCTTGGTATTAATGATATAAATAAAATATATAACAAAGGTGTTCCTGGCTCCATTGTAAAAATACTTTGCTTATATGGATGAATACTTGTACAGTTTTAATCTTTACTGAACTCTTAAATCAACCAATATTTTACTTTGTTTTGTATGAATTTCAAGTTAAATTATAAATAATTTACCATTCTGTAATTTTGTTTGTTACTAGAAATGCCTGTTTACTGATTGTTTACGACCTGTCGGTGAAATAAATCTACAAGATGCAAAAAAGGTGTTATTTATTTAGCTAAATAATCAGGCTAATTAATTGGTTCTCTCTGTAGTGACATTTTATTCATCATACTTTTATGCCTTGTTAAATAATTCCAGCCAATGAGCTGCTGAGATTAGAACACTGACATTTATTCCAAAATTCCTTCAATTGTTACCAATTATCCCATGTTTAGATTTTTTTTGGTTGGATAAGACAGAGACATGTGCGTCTTGGAAAATAGTTGCTGTCTTGGGGATAAGACAACTGATGTCTATTCTTCACCAGCTGTTCACAAGCATGTTTAAACAAAGACAAAGACAAAAACTGTCTTATACAGAAGTGTGTTTAAAGTATTAAGACATTTTGATTTATATTTTAAAAAAAAAATTAAATACACCATTTTACAAAACGGGTCTGTGTAACAGTCATCCGTACCATGTAGCAACGTGCCTTCGGGTAATCAGCTGTTTTGCTTTGTTTTCTTTTTTCTTCAGCGACCACTTGCGTCTTCTATCTACATCCTGATCCAAAAGCGGATCATACAAAGATTAATGTTGTAATCGCAACAGATTTAAGATAAGATCAAATGACGTTAACACGTGTCAACTGAGATAAGTCCGTGATTAATTACAAGATGCATGATTAATGGATTATTTTTGCAGTGATCGTACTAAAGTTAACCTGCAGTGATTTAATTTGATTTTTTTAACTGGCTTATGATTGATTTGAACTGTCAGCTGATCGCACACTGAACATAATTGTCGTTATTGATCCAACTTGAAATATTTAAAAAAAACTATTAAAACAACAAAACAAAACACTGCTTAAAACGAAAAAGTAAAGCTTTTGGTGTAATTTATTATTCATTTCACTTTTTAATAAAATGATCGATACACCTTTACATTCTAGTTTCTACAAAGTTGAGGAGTATACATACATATAAATTACAGGGAAACTGAATAATTAAGTTTTCAAATTTGAAAGCACTACTGGAATTGGTATTGTGGTATTCTGTTGAGGAGTATACATGCATATAAATTACAGGGAAACTGAATAATTAAGTTTTCAAATTTGAAAGCACTACTGGAATTGGTATTGTGGTATTCTGTTGAGGAGTATACATGCATATAAATTTCAGGGAAACTGAATAATTAAGTTTTCAAATTTGAAAGCACTACTGGAATTGGTATTGTGGTATTCTGTGTCAAATATACAAAACATTGCTATATAATACTAAACCACTGTCACGTATTATTGCACTGTGATTGTAATAAGTAACAATTATTACATTGTAATCTCCAAATTCACATCTACTTTCCGAGTCGGACTCGGGGTATTCCGTACACGGTGAAATCTGGCAGCGATAAGTCTGTTGATGATTTTCGCATGCTTTTGGAGGCTTCCTGGAAACAATTGGCGCTGGACGGCACTTCCTCTTTTGTGTCACTGTCCACTTCCGCATACAGCTGGTCCACCACCAACACGTTATTAATCAGCTGTTCGTTCACTTTGATTCGCCAAGTGGACCACCTCTGAATTTCTTTCCGATCATCTGTTGCAATGTCTGCCACTTCGCAGTAAATTTCACTGGAGCCACACTGTGAGGCGGGGGGATAGTCTGGTTTTTCCTCTTTGTTCACACTCTGAACACTGTATTTTTCACAGTCTAGAAGCCACTGACTGACGTATCTGTCATTATTGTCCATAAACACGATAGTGGGTTTAACCCAGCCGGAGTCGGGAATCTCTGAAGGGTAGTACTTCATCTGGAATTGAATAAAACCACGAATAAAGCATATAATTTAACACTGACTTCTCACACAAAATCAATCACCAATATTACACTTGTCCTGAAAGTCACGATTTGACAAGTTACATATAATATATCACGGAATTCTAGCACCCCGCCCTTTTACAATCAGGGATAGCACACCGATTGTTCAACGCTTACATCTGTGGTTAAGACAAACTGTAGGAACTCTAATAATAAGGTTCATTAGTATAATATTGTGAACTTATTCTCATGTTTAATGATTTGGATAAGGGTACTTGAACTCCCCTGACTTATAAAGGTCAATACAGACATTGTGGACATAGTGTTGCGCAATGTCTAAACATTACGTAGCATTAAAGTTGAGCTTTGTTACACCCGATCATTGTTTGAATTCATTACACTATAGATCATAACCTTTTGACCCAGAGTTTAAATATAGTGTTCTCTTGTTCGTCGTAATATAATAGCAATAGTTTGTTAGAACGCCGCTCTAAAGGGGATATAAATAGTTTGAATGTCTATACTAATATAAAATGAAGAATATAAATTATATAACGACGTACAATAGTTTGGTTGACCTGTGTTACAAGTTGATCAATCACTCGGACGTAATGTTTCCCCACCCGCTGACCCTGCTAATTCGGACAAATCTGTGTACCCAGGTACATACATACATACATAGTAAAATTGTATTTTCAAGTCTTTCATGATAACGTAAAAACAAAGCAACGCAACGGTTAAGAATTTTCTGAAACTAACTGAAGAACAATAAGAATTTGAAAGATAATTATATTTAAGAATTTAAATTTAATATACATAATATTATATTTATTATGAAGTCGAGAGCACAGGTATTTTAAAGTACGCAATCCTCCCGTCTTTTTTGTATATAAGTATGTATACTAATTTTAGAACAAATATAAGTATGAACACTGAAGGTAATATAAACTTCATTTCAATACTAGTTGAACCTTAATTTTCATTGCTTAAATGTCAATTAATGAATTCCTCCAACCAATGTCACGCAGCGACAGACAGGAAGCATATGTCAAAAAGATATTATTCTGAGAATCTACTCTTAATACTTGGGTGGAGCTCCAAGATTCTCATTAATTAATAATAAATTGTTGATCTATCTGCCCTCTCTTTGTTTTGAAACATCATATATATGTTGAGTAACGCAATAACAATAATTTTGTTCAAGTAAGTTTGGTCTATTATAGACTGATTGTCTGAGAAAAAAAAGAGTTCCAGAACTTTAATTTCAGGAAACATAAATTGTCTGATTACAGACAGCAATCTTTGATCTACATTTAAGTCGTTAAAACTTTCACATTCCCCATTTCTGTTTTTTTTTAATTACAGCGCTATATTTTAGTAATTATTTAATCACAAGGGGTCCGACCAGGTAAAACTTACCTTAATATATTGCTAAACCCTTTCCTTTTTTGGGGGGGGGTAACTTTCTCTTGATTAATTTCCAGTTAACAATCACTTCTATACAACGCGACTCACGATTCCTATTATAACAGCGAGTTAGGATCTAATCATTCAACCATGTTCAGCAATCGAACAGCTGCGAAGCATGCTTGATTGAATTTATAGACTATGATTTAACTTACATAACACAATAGAATGGAAAAAAATCACGTATTTTTGATTTTTTTTTCTTTTTGAAAATATGCCTCTGTTTTGTCACCATACAATTAAGTTTAAGCTTCACGTATCTTTCAACAAGTGAAGACCCTTACCTTCCTCCCAAAAATTGTATTTTTCCTGAGAAAATGATTTTTCATTTGGACCGTGTCGATCACACGATTGTTTGTAGAAAAAGAAGCCAAATATTGTCTGTCTGATATCTAATACCCCAAACAAACAATATGTTGACTTATATATATATAGCCTAGGCTTCCTCCGGCCAGGTGTCTGTTATCAGTGATGTAATCATCATCATCGATGTTTTGTTGTGATTGATTTTATATCAACCCGGAGATAGTCCAGCTAATCTCATAACACACCCCGGGTACTATTGTGTTGTCGTTATAAAGGGAACTATTAAAATTAATGTGTCAATATTGACATTAATGGATGTACACGCTTCATCATATTTTGATAAACAACAAAAAATATATATTTCTTTTGAGGTCTTACAGTCACCGAAAAGCAAAATTTTATGTCACAATGCAAATCAAGGAATCATTTTAAAAAAAATCAATCCCATTCTTAGAGAGAGAGAGAGAGAGAGAGAGAGAGAGATTTACCTTTACTGGTAACATGGAGACGTCGTAGCCCGGTAACTAAGAAGCAGTTTTTTTATTAGGCCATTTCCCCTGCCCCGCGGGATTATAAAGCGTCTATAATTACTGGCGATAAAACACTTTGTGAAGCTGTCCAGCGCATCCTTAATATGTTGCGTAAAGTATATTGCGACTTGACATCATAAATATTTGATTAATTCCTCTTCATATTGTCCTGACACGATAAGTACAATATGCAGATTAGCTAATTTGTTTTACTGCATTAATTAACACTGCGTTTCTTTCTTCCTATTTCCCTGTGATGGGTTGTGACAGAAGACAAACGACTAAGCTTGTTGAAATGTCTGACGAAGATTGTTCATCTCCAACTGCTTCAGTTAACAATGACTAGTTAAATTTTATAGATTATTTCACATAAAAGTTTAACGACACTGGTCTTGTCATATTCATTACCACAATGTCAAACTCAAAGACATTTTTAAAACAGCTATATGACAAACACCTGAACCATTCCAGAGAGAGAGAGAGAGAGAGAGAGAGAGAGAGAGAGAGAGAGAGAGAATTGCACGAGCATTTATGTCCTCCACCCCCTACCAAAATCAGTCGAACAAACACGTTTCGAACCATTTAACTGTTTAAAATGCCCCTCCCCCCGGAAATCTTGGTTTCGCCCTTGCTGACGAAAACGACACCGTACAACATGACTGAAGTCCCTGAATGGGAAAAATCATGTTCAACATCTACATAAAGACCAAAGGGAACGTATTTAAAAGTATCAAACAGAAGTTTACAAAGAAAAATCTTTGAACATCTTTTCAGAAATTATTGGGGGGGGGGTACATTTTGTTGCCCTGTACATATTGTCGCCGGCGTGAATATGTATATATACCTGTATATATACCTATACCATCAATGCGCATAGTGCCATCCAACTCTACATACATGTATTGACACTGGAGACAATATGTGCCGATCTAAGAGATGAGCATTTTTTCCTCCATGCAGAATGGGCCACAAAATGTACCTACATATTGGTACATATTGTGGTAGACAACGATGTACGCTGCAAAAATGTGAATACTAGTATTATGTCGCCAAAAGATATTAATGGGGTCAGAGAGAGAGAGAGAGAGAGAGAGAGAGAGAGAGAGAGAGAGAGAAAGAATATTCGCGGTATTTTAATTGAATCATTAATTACAGCATTTTCCCTCTTTACAGTGCAACTTGTGTTTTAAGTAAAGCATTTCTTTAAATTAGAATTAAAAATAATTGACCTTTCAATCTAAATTCTGTCCTAACTCCAGTACCCCTGACACAGACGCCATGAATTCCAAAATTTTTGAAAAAAAAAAAAAGCATTCTTGCACATTATAATCATGCACTTAATTTGTCTTCTAAATATACAGGTGCAGAGAAAAAGATACTCAAAGAATAAATGCGTTTTCCTTATATGATCAATACAGCCCAGTCCTAACTCCGGAACACCTGACCCAGGGCGCATGAATTTCACAATTCTGGAAGAAGCACTCTTGCTCATCATAACCATGCACTTAGTTTGTATTCTGAACACCCAAGAGCAGAGAAAAAGATTTATTTTTGAAAGATTTTAGAATTAATGCATTTTACCATACATAACCATTAGAGCCCTGCTTCAACATCAGAACTCCAGACCCAGGCGCCATGCACTTCAAAACTTTTGAAGAGACACTCTTGATTATTAAATCTATGTACTTAGGTTAAAAAAAATCTCAAATTTTCAAAATTCAATGCGGCAGGCAGGCAGATTTCTTTTTAGCAGGTGTTATACCTTTTTTCATGTCAGTCATTCAACAAAATGATAGATCAAATGATTCTTACTCTTTTTTTGTTCTCTTACATTAATTATGATATGTGTTCAACCTTAAATAATGTTATTCCAAACTTTTGTTTAAAAGTTAATTCATAAAATACCGTATAAATTAACAAGTTTATCTAATAAGAACGTCTAGCTATTAGCATTTATGAAAAAGGGGAATAACTCGATTTTCCTTTTCAACTTGGAAAAATAGAAATTTAATTAGATTGTATTTCCCTTTTCATTATGTCAATAAACTTGATCAATGCGGAAGTTTTTGATCTGGTGCTGGAGGAACTATTGATTAATTTTTTTGGCCTTAGTCCGTGTAATAAATATACAGGGGGAGAGAAGATTTTTGAAGAATTTATGTATTTTCACAATATGATACATAGAGCTCCACCCTAGTACCAGAACCCCCTGATCCTGAGGCCATGGATTTCATAATTTTGACTGAGGGCTCAATGCTTGTTACAATTACGCCAACATTTTTTTGGCTTGATTTCCAGAAGAAAGAAGATTTTTTTTAAATGCATTAATTTTGATGGTTTTAGCCCCACCTCTCAGGCCCCAGGGGGCAGATGGGACAATGAAATTCACAATTTTAATCCCCTTTACCTATAGACGTACATGCCAAAATTAGTCGAAATTTGTTCAGCAGTCCAGAGAAGAAGCAGAAAATGTTCAAATGTTAACGGACAACACACGACGAACAATCATGGATGAAAAAGAGATAGCAATAGGTCACCTGACTCAAATGACCTTTAAAATCAAAGACTCCATGTCTTCTATGAAACATCTCCTGATATTAACTGTGGATAGTATCCAAAGACAGAAGAGGTTTCACTATAGAAAGTCTATTGTCAGTTACTTAAGTTAAGCCATTTGATGAAGTTTATGTTAACTTCGAAAAAACACGAAACAGTCACAGTTTTCAGTTTATCAGCAAGGATTAGCTTAATTGTTCCTAGTTTACTCTTAAAGTAAATTTAGGTCCTATGGTTTAAGAACAGTGTAATTATTGAAAACAATGTTCCCATCCATGTATTACTTTTAAGTAAATTTAAGTTGTCTTGTCTAATAACAATATTCTGTATGAAACAAACTAGCGAAAGAACAAATTCTTACAAATGAACCATGTATGGCAAGGAGTTGGACAAGATAAATTTTCTGTTTTTGGTAAGTTTTACAGACTGCCACTACATGCTTTAATATTTTTACTTACCGTAGAGAGGCTATCTCTAAAACTTAAAAAAGAAACAGATTCTGAAAATGAGACCAGATATCAGAATATAGGTATGATGAGCTATGAATTCATGTATTTTTGTTAAGTTATAGTGTCTAAAAAAATTCTCAAGAAAGGGGGGGGGGTTACACCATCCATATGTCAAGTGCCCTTTGTTCACTCAAAGTGACTTTACTGTGTACTGTAAAAAGTGATAAAACTCGATGGAATGTTTAAGAATTGTTTAAAGAATAGTTGAGCACATAGTCTGGGCAAGACAGTGACAAGTAAAATGTAAATGTTAGAAAATCTGCCTCAGTTAAACTTATAGTATAGTCAATATAATTATGAAATAGAACAAATACAGTGTTAAAAAAATGAAATACTTTAATGATTCAAGAGTGTTGCCAAAAATTACAAAAAAATGAATATACAAAAAGATTTCTGAAAATAAAAAAGACTAATATAAAAGTATGTGTATTCATAAACAAACTTTAAAATTTTAGTAGTTAAAGATAAAAATCAAACAGTATAAATTATTAACAATACATCTGTTTCAATTTTATTAAATTATTTTTCTATACATCACAGCACAAACAAACAAGAGGCCCATAGGCCACAATGCTCACCTGAGTGAGTCACTAATTGCCTGCTGTTCTTCATCAGCAGATTTTTTCCTATATATTCCTATGTAAAACTTTGATTGTCCATTGTGGCCCCACCCTACCCCCAGAGGTCATGATATGAACAAATTTGAATCTACACTACCTACAGGGTGCTTCTATATTAATATGCTAATTCTGTATGCAGGGAAATTTTTGCCCCCATTTTATTTTCGCCCTTTTAACCTCCTCACAATTGGGCAAATTTAAAATGGGTTGAATTCAAAGAAAACAGCATTATCTCTAAAACAGAACTGTGTCTAGGTGAATTTGAAAGGGACAAAATTGTTCGCAGGTGTGAAAGGGCGAAAATAACCCTGTATACAGTAATGTCTTTGCTGTTATTGAAAAGATTTTTTTCTTTATACATGCATTCCTATGTAAAACTTTGATCGTCTACTTTGCCCCCACCCTACCACAGGGTCATAATCTAAACAAACTTGAATCTATGCTACCTTCAGGATTCTTCCATATCAATATCACTTATCATGCCTTTGCTGTTCTTGAGTAAAAGATTTTTAAATATTTTTTCCTATATATGTTAAACATTAATCACTTATTGTGGCCACACCCTATCCCCAGGGGTTGTGATTTGAACAAACATGAACCTACACTACTGAGAATGCTTCCATTTAAATATCACTAATCATACCTTTGCCGTTCTTGTAAGATTTTTAAAGAATTATTTCTATGTAATACTTTGATTTGTCCATTGTGGCCACACCCTACCCCCTAGGGTAATAGTTTGAAAAAGTCTTGAATCTACTCTACGTAATGAAGCTTTCACATAAGTTTCTGGCCCTGTGGTTCTTGAGATTTTTGAAAGATGCCTTTAAATTTTCACTAATTCTGAAATTATATCCCCTTTGTTTGAACAAACTTGAATACCCTTCACCAAAGGGATGCTTTTTGGCAAGTTTGCTTAAAATTGACCAAGTTGTTCTTCAGAAGTCAAAAATGTGAAAAGTTTACAGACAGATGCTGGACAAAATGTGACCAGAAAAGCTAACTTGCGCTTTTAGCTCAGGTGAGCTAAAAGTCATTCTTAAAATGAAAATATAAATATGTTACAATTTTCAGTGCATTCAAAATCATAGCATATTATGGGACACATAAAAAAAATGAAAAGGTCTTAAACAAGTCAGTTTAATAAAAGAATATCCATGTTGTTATTACATATCCTTTGAGGGATTAACTCAAATTCTGTAATGAAAGAATCATATAGAACTACAATTAAATTCAGAATCATACAAAAGTTGTAGATATTATTTCATTTAATGTCTGATTCACAGAAATGTTAACAGGTATTCAGCAAAAATAACTGCTCTGAAATTCATTCAACCATGACTCTTGCATGATATTTGCATAAAGTGGATAAAATGTTATCCTCCTTTTTGAATGTCACCTACAAAATCTCTGAGCAGTTTTAAAAGCATGTCTCTTTGTACTTGTTGTGAGATGAATCTAGTGAGGGCTTCTATGGAGGAGGTCCCAACTAATTCCTGTACAGCCTTCACAACCTTCTGTTTCTCCTCATCATTTAAATTTTTTAACACTTTAATCATAGCAGTGTACTCATCAGAACAAATATAACCAATCATGGATCCTGCCACTCCCCCAACCATGGCGCCAGGGGGGCCTAGAAGGACTCCACCCACAGCTGTCCCTCCAGCTGCCCAAGCCATTTGCTTGAAGATACCTCTAGCACTTTTCTTTAGTTCATCATTTGTCTCCAGGATTGTCATCAGTTGATTGTAATAAGGAATAAATGCCATTCCCATCACACCTGCCATTTCTCTTTACTTCAAAAGAAAAAAAAAAGTATCAAGAATCACCCCTTATCTATCTCACCAATAAACTATCATAAAATGATTGTACTAGTACATGTACTAACAAAACACCTCAGCCCTATACATAAAAACTGATACTAGGAAAATGACATACATGTACAATAAGTATTTTTTTTTTTTCAATTGTTAAGTTTAACTTGGTTAAATGCGTCACTGTGGTGCACAACAACATGACAAATAGTTTAGAATGAAATAAAAGGTAAAATGTTCTCGGTATCATGTTTCTAAACTCATGCCATGGCTTCACAGTTCATATTAAATATTTTCAAGGTACAGAAAGGTCCGTACATTCACTACATTTACCTATCTAGCTTAAATTACCTATGTAGCTATTTAGCTACTTGAAGTAGCTTGATTTAGCTATTTTTAATGCAAGTTTTTACAAGTTGGCTTTTTATTTAAAATTGACGAAGTATGTGACTACTAATATTTGTACAATAGAATTTTAAAAAGAGCAAAGACAGCTTAAACATTCATTGCTACTTTTGAACAATTTTAAGCAAAAGATTTATTTCTATTGTTTGAGTAACTATGCACCACCTTGTGTGCAGTTAGACATTGATAAGTATGATTACTTCACATTGTGCTGAATTTTAACCAATAAATTATCATGTTAACCGGAACTGGTCTTCTTTGTGTGATGGTTTGGTCCATGGATATCGGCCTGGATGGCTTAGTTGGTAAAGCATCTAACTGGAGGGGACCCAGGTTTGAATCCTGATCTAGTCCTCTCCTGTTACATATATGGTGATGTGCCATGCTTTGGATGTGAAAGGTGAAAGAACTGCATGGGAAAAGCCTGGGTTGGTATCTTGGTGGGTGTAGGCCATTGAGGATGGAGGAATACTGCGGTCAGACAGGTTTAATCTCTAGTGGCCACTGGCCAGATAGCTTAGACTGGAGATTCAGGAGGCAAAGGTTTGAATCCTGGTCTGGCCCATTACATTTTTTTCATCTCCTGTTACATTTGTTATTTCATTCACTAATAAACTTTTTTGTCACAAATAAACTGTTGTATATAGCTTCAAAACTTTTTATACTTTGATTTGATTTGTTTTCAGATCAGTTTAAAGTTAAAAACTTTAACAGCATTAAAGTACAATTTTTCAATCATGCTGAAAAATGCTCATTTAAGAAATAAGTATGATTGAGTAGCTAATTAAAGCTACTTCGAGTAGCTAAATAAAGCTATGTAGGTAATTTAAGCTACGTAGCTAATTGTAGTGATTGTACCGGACCTGACAGATATATCCTCGACGATAAAAGTTAATGTTGTCAACTTGTTCTATACATTACATATACAGAAATGCTTCATGATCGGCTAAAGATTGTCCCGTCCTCACTGACAGATATAAATCACTTACATTTATGTCAGTGCATGAAAGATCCTCTTTTTCCTTTTCTGACTTAATGTTTACAAAAACAGTTACTTTCTTCTTCATGGATATGAAACTGGAAACTGATGTTTGACCCTAATTGACAAATCATTTGAAACAAGATTGAAAACTCCGGAAAACGGCGTCGTATGAACGCTTAAGAACACAGACATCTGAATACTCCTAAAAATCGATGTCTAAAACACGTTTGCATTTCCAAAAATGGCATCCGGTAGCCATGTGGATGTCAATGAAAGGCGTCTTCGTCCAATTTATGATTGTCTGGATAACGGAAATAACAAGAAAGCCATACAGGAGGCAGAAAAAGCTCTAAAGAAACACAAATACTTCCAATGTGCAAAAGTTTTGAAAGCACTTGCCTTGTTGAGACTTGGTCGTCATGATGAGAGTACCGTGATTCTAGACGAAATTCATTCTCAACACCCTACAGATGAAGCTACCCTACAGGCATGCGCTGTTTTTATTCTGTCTCTGATGTGAATAAGAAAACTACAAAATTTAATTGCCCGTATGAATAGTACACTGATTGAAATGCCAGTCTGATCTCAAAGGGCAGATAATTCGTATTTAACACAACATAAGAAAGTTAAAAATAAATGTTTCAGGTTATTGTTCTGTAAAGGTATTCACAATGTTTGAATATATTTTAGGACAATTAAGATATGAGTTTTAAAAAAGTTGCGAAGAAGGCAGGGCACTTTTTTGTAAATCAAAATAAAATTACCCCATAATATGAAAGGCGAGGTATCTTAACTCCAAATTATATGGAGTACGACCTTAAGGAGGAATGCAGTCATTTTCGCTTTCGGTAATATTCCATCTTGATTATTTCCACAGGGCAGTCCGCCTGCACTTTCCCTACTGCCGCCCAGTGCTCTTTTTAGGACACTCCTCCTTTTCCAAAATCCATGACTTGATTGTATTATTTTCGTGTTTCAATGCATTTTTATTTGTCGGTAAAACTTCCTCAAAATCAATGTGCATCAAATTTAATATTGATCTGTTTATCTTGACAATTCAGGTTTTTGTTTAGGCTAAAAAGCCAGTTTCCAAAAACCAAATATTTCTATCAGTCATTCGGACTGATGACTCAATGTGCCCTATCTGTCAAAAGCAAATTCTATCAGTCCGAATAAATTGTAGTATAATTCATGACGTAATTCAAAAGAAAATGGCATTGTTAGAGACTGGTTATGTCACAAGGTTTAGGTATGGTTGATACTAACGCATAAAAACTTAAGTTATTTATAAAAAGAATTACTGAACCTAGAGAGCAATTGCTTTTAGTGATTTTAACAGGAAGCTTGCAAACTTCTGTCATGTTATTCAATCTAGTTTAAAACTTGCCACACCAATTTATATGTTACCTGGATCTTTATGATATGTTTACTCTATACAATAATATCAGTCTGTTCAGCTGTACAGCTAATATGAGAGAATTCCATTGTGTCATGGATAGTCATTTTTAAAAATTAATACCAGTAGGTCTTAGAATTGTAGATTTTATATATTATTTTAAAGTTTTGGTAACAAAAACCATTTCCTTAAAAATATGATTAAGTAAAACTCGCTTGTGACGAAGTCACTGGGACCTGTGAGATTATACTTCGCTATATCTGTAATTTAGTAGTTGGTTATCAAAGGATGAAGTTCAAAACATTGGGTTAATTGTTATGAATGGTAACAAATAAAGTCTTGTTTGATTATCATGCCACTATTTATAATGATTTTTATTTTGCAGGCAATGGCCATATGTTACAGAGAGCTCTATAGACTGGAGGCCATCGCAGACCTGTATGAGAATGCCCGGAAGAATTGCCCAGAAAATGAAGATATTCTATCAGCTCTGTTTATGGCTTATGTCCGCCTGGGTGATTACAAAAAACAGCAGCAGACTGCTATGTTGCTCCATCGACTTCAGCCAAACAAGAACCCCTACTACTTCTGGGCAGTGATGAGTATTGTCATGCAGAGTCAGACAAGCGATAACGAAAAGCTAGCGAAGGGAATGTTTCTTCCACTGGCAGAGAGGATGATCAAGAAGTACATAGACGAGAATAAGATTAATGCAGAGGCAGAAGTACAGCTGTACTTGATTATTCTAAATCTTCTAGGGAAGTGGGAGGAAGCGTATGAAGTAGTAACAGGGCCTTTAGGGGAGAAACTGACAAGTGAAACCTTCTTTAAGGAAAAGAAAGCTGCAGAAATGTTTTCAGAATTGAATAAGTGGCCTGATGCAAATGCAAAGTTCAAGTTTCTGTTGAAAGAAAATCCAGATCATTGGCAGTATTGGAAAGACTATCTTTCTTCTTGTTTGAAAATTGTGCAATCAAAATGGACACCACCAGAAGATGCTAAAGACTGTGAAACTGATCACAGCATTGACATGGCATGTGCATTCATTGGTCAGACCATTACATCTTGTTCAGGAGAGAGGCCATTGCGGGGCCCTTACCTAGCACAGCTAGAACTGATCAAGATGCTTGGGGAAAACAAAGAGCTTTCTCTTGAGCCTACAGGATCACCCCTGGAGCTTTTACAGGAATACTTTAAGACATTTGGAGACAAAAGCTGTTGTTATGATGATATGAAACTGTTTACTGATTTAATAACAAAACCACAACAAGTGGAAATGATTGACTTATTCACAAAATCCCTAGATCTACATAATTCTGATGGCAGCATTGTGTTCGCTTCGGACATGAAAGTTATGCAACGTCACTTGACCATTCTCCAATTGGCAAGGTATCTTGGAATCCTTGACACCAAAACCTTATCAGAAAAACTTGCTTTGTCCAAAGAATGTATACAGAGGTATCACCATGGCTTGGAGTTTGGCAAAGATCTCCTTATCACAGACATTCAGTTTTCTGACAATTTTTTGCTGATGGCAGCCTACCTTTTAGTTGAAGTATGGGAGGAAACAAAAGATCAGCATTACCTTATAGAAGCTATTGTCCAGCTTCAGAGAGGCTCCAAAAACTGCCCAGCCAATTTTCAGTTCAAGGTGCTGCTTATTCACTTGTTTTCCCAACTGGGTGCTTATGGTCCTTGTCAGCAACTGTATGAGAGTCTAGAGGTTAAACACATTATGAATGACACACTTGGATATCTTATTTCCAATCACATGATCAGGCTAGGACATTTTGCTGCTGCTGGTGCAAACTTTGGAAGCATGCTCAAATTCTTTGCTGTGAACCACAAAGAAACTGCGGAGTATTTGATTGCAGCATATAAATATGGTTCATTCAATAAAATATTTGAATTTGTGAGATTCAGGGACAAATTACAGAATTCCCTACAGTATGCTTGTGCAAAAGTGGAAAGTATGCTTCTGGACCTTATTCTGGAGACGTCCAGTCATCAGAGTGCGGAGCAGATGGTGACCTACATGGAGATCGATCCGTCTGAAGAAGGAGCACCTGCTGCGGATTTTGAAAAACTCTGTGATAATCGTGATCTACGAATCATGGAAGCATGGGAAAAAGAATGTTATAATTCAAAAGCAGCCTCTGATTTCTCCTTTAATGAAGAAAAAGCCTGGCTAAGAATTAGAAGTTTGACTTTACGAATTATTGCTTGTGCAGTAAGCCTTGGTCAGGAAGTGGGATCCAACACAAAAAACATGAACAATGGAGTAGGTCCAGATAAAAAGGCTGCAAATGAAATTCTAGAATCCCTTGGAAAACAGCTGTGTGAACATGCCAAGGAATATGAAAAGGAATTCAGCACAGCCTACAACTACTCTCTACAAGGCCCAAGTCCAACACGGATATCCAAATATCTTGCAGATGGACATTACCAAGTTGTGTGTTCAATGATTGAGTATATTTTACATGTGTTCAAATTGCAGTCGGAGGATTTAGAGCACTCAGAAAATGAAAAACAAGAATCACCTTCCCAAAAAGTTCCAGAAATTCTCACAAGCCTTTTAACCAAATACAGAGGTACTCTATTTACAGAAATAGATGGGAAGAAATCCATAAATGCTGCTGTGGCTGAAAACCTCTCTCTACTGGTGGAAACTCTGTCCCACTCAGCCATCTTAACAGGGGTCTGCCACAAAATCTTAAAACCACTGAAAACTTCCTGGAACAAGAGATGTCGGAAGAAGAAAGCCGAGACTCCACCGCCACTTCCTGCCATCTTCTCTAATTTTACAAAGCTTGTTGCTAGTTTTGACTCTTGTGCCAAGGATATGCATGTAGCCATGCGTGACCTTGACCCCGTGCTTTTATCTGTAGACTTTAGCAGTTTGGGTATAGCTGAGACGGAGGACAGTGATTTTCCCGAGGCTACTGAGGTTCGGAAGGAGGTGTTGAAGGGTATTGAGACTAGCTATCAGACTTCATCCCGAGAAGTGTGTGAAATTATCCATAACAAATTACAATATTTCAGTAGTCTAAGACTGTGACATAAAATTTTATAGAATATTACTATAAAAGAGTTTTTAAAAAACACAACCTGACTTACTCCAGAGCTTGGAACACTTTAAGTACTGATTTTGATACCATTGGGCTGTATTTGTTTGTTTTTTTTGATTGATCAATATACAATGGTTTTATACACGCAACATTGTTTATTTTTTCCTGTAGTGTTTGTATATAAAAATTAATTCATGACCTTTGAGATAAAAGCATAGCCCTTTCGCTGCCAACGTAAATTTTTGAATTGCCAAAAAACCTTACGTCACACGTAAATGACGTTACAATAGTTGTGACGTTATTAAAAATTGCGGGTTTACGTTGTATCAATGACGTAAATCGCACCTGCTTTATGTATAATTTCAACAAATTTTAACAAGGCGAGGAAGATCCTGTTTCAGCGCATGATCTGGGACAAAGTAATTTTTTAAAAGAAAGAGACATTGGTAAACTTTCCATTTTGCATACTGGTATGTATTTACAATGTACGGAAGATAAATACATTGTTTAAAAATAAAAGTACTCTGAACGCATTCTGTATGAAATTTTATGGGTTTTTCTTCCTAATGAAAAAAAATGATATACCCCAACAAACTCGTTTACTTATAAACCAGCTAGTCTGAAAATCTACACTGATTAG